AATATGACTATATTTAAAATAATGCTTTATGCCTTTTTTTAAATATAGTCATATTTATTTAATATTTAAAATCTTCTCAATACCTTAATTGCTTTTTAGTTTTTAATTAAATTTACAGCATTCAATTTTAATTGAAAAATTTCTTTGAATTGAAACATCTTATGGTTTGTTATAAAAATACCTTGTGTAATGGTAAATACGAGAAATTTCATGAGTTTTTCGAACTAGCTTTTATAAATACAAAAGTTAAGAAAAAAATTCTGAAAATATGTATATCAACTGTTTTTATATTATATTGAGTTTTCATGTCATTACTCATTAATTATAATAAGAAATATCGAACTTAGTTAATAAAATTTTATTTATTTATAAAATTTTATTATAAAACTAAGGGACATAAACTTTATGAATGCTAAATATTAGATGCAAATAAAATTTGGTTCAGATCAATAATTTATTTATATGCTTATGCATTCTCATTTACTTTGTTATAATCTGACTAAAATTTATATAGTCTAACTTATAAATTTTTTTTTTATAAATAAACAATAAATACCCGGTTGAGTAAAAAGCTTTCCAAAAAGTGAAGATTTAATCATTAGATCAAAAGTCATTCAGAAAGGTCCTTTTTTTTGCCCACTGTACATTTTATTCTAAAAACACAATATTTAACTATTATATGAAGTTAAATTTCAAACTACATTCGGTTTGAGATTACTTTTATTATATCCACTTGAAAATAATGCTTTTCCCATTTAATTGATATTCATAACATAATTTAATGCTAAATAGAAAAAATATTTATTGCAGAATACTAATCCTATACATATATACTCATTTTTATTACTTTAAACTAAGCTCCTAAATTAATAATTTATAAAATAAACATAACAAAAAATACAAGCGTATTAAAATTAAAAAAAAAAAATATGATTCTTGTTTACCTGTAAAGTAACTTTAAGTTCATTCATAGCTTCTTCATGTATATCACTATATTTAGTTTTCAAAGCTGATTTGAGGACATAAAGAATCTTTCTCTGTTCCTTTATCTTTTCAAAGACCAACTGAAAACACTATAAATAAATTAAAAAAGTTTAATTAAAATTTTCAAAATGACATTGTGTATAAAGAAGCACTTTAAATCAATAGCTTATTTCGTAGGGGTTTTTAAAAAAAATAAAAAGTTTATTTTTTTAATGATAAAATGATTTTTATGCTTTTTTAATGGTATTTTTAATTAAATATCAAAAAAAGTTTTTTAATAGTTTAAAGATTAATAAGTTCAGAAGATTGCTTTGAGATTAAGAACAAATCAATAAAAATGCTTTATCTCCAGTTTACAAATAAAAATAATTAAAAACAAAATAGACATTGCAAATTTATTATAAAATATTGTCTTCAATTGGAAACAAAATCCATAAATTTTTTTTTAATAGTTTGTCTTCCTTGCATCGTAAGATTTAACAATCTGGTATTAATCTGGACTTAATATTCATTAAATATAGACATTAGGTAACCATATGAATTTCTGAGTATTTCATCAATTGAGATTCTTATGAGGACAAGATGGTTAAATGGAGAGTTTTTTTCTTTGTAAATTAGACTAAATTTTGAAAGAATTTAATACCAGTCAGACACTTTAGATGATTTAAGATTCAATGCAATTTGTATAAATTACACTTAAATCAGAAAATAATATCTCAAAATAACAAATAATAAAACTATTGTATTGATTTATAGAAAAATCAGTAAAGTAAATTCAACAAAATTACTTCTTTTTCAAAACTGGGATAACTGAGAGCTTTTTCTAATATAGAAACAGCCACTGCCAGTGAATCGATAGAGTTCAGATCAATCAGTTTACACATCAATTTGGTCCACTCGTCATCCTTAGGTTCCCTAAAAAAATAAACAATATTAATTGGTATTGCGAAATAATATAAATTGATATTGCAAAATTTTATAGAGATTACAACTATTGTTTAAAATTTCTTAAGGTGCTATGAGCATGCACAAACATTATGTCCTAATAATGACATTTAAAGAAATTTTTAAACAAATTACATATGGTCATTAGAATAAGTTTGTCAAATAATTATGAATTAAATATTAAAAAATACATACATATAATGTACAAAGCAAAAAAAAATCAGTCTCATCTTCATGTAATAAACGCCAATCTTAATGGTCCGATCGATTGACCCAATAAATATGCTAATTAATAAGTCTTAACTAATAAGTTAATAAATAACACAAAAAAAGTAACTTTCTCTAAATAAACATACCATTTCCGACAGATTTCGATTCGTGACAATCGAAATAGGGAAGCTCCATTCAAAGAAACATGAACCCATTAGTTTAGCCAGGCAAGCCATTATACATCCATTCCTGCCAACTTATATGGTCGTTGAAAAAGATTTTACAAAGTGGTAGTAAGACAATTAAGTTTGGTAGAATTTTCGAAAAACAAAACTTATAAGACATCTATAAGCATTCTTAGCCAACAAATAAATCTTATTTAGATATTTTCTAAAAATACTGATTCGTCGTGGTAGTTTGAAAATTTTTTGTGAAAATTAAAACTTCAAGATTTAATATACCAAAACGCTAATGTTGCTACCACTAAAAAAAATTTTCCCTACGGCTGTACAAGTTGGTATCTATGTACATCACTTAGCATATGAAAATCTGCTACTTTAAACATAAGTTATTTAAGATTATATTTTTAGCATACTGTAACATTATCACATCAACAGAGTAACATCTCATAAAGTTTAAAAAAAATATACATCTTTTAGACTTTACAATTAAAGTTGTCTCTCTGTTTAGACTTTGAATGGACCTTGAAAAATTATTAAGTAGTATGTGTCCATAAATAGAATTTGTGACAAAAATAACACTTAGAAAACTTTTCTTTTCATATTTCTGCATATTTAGGTCTGACATTTTTTTTTCTTAATAAATTAGTATGTCAAAAAAATTATTTTCATTGCACAAATTCATTGGTAGGTAGGAATAAAAAAATTAATTAAAATGGGACAAGAATGAAATCGATTTTTCAAAAAAGATATTGCTGATTATTTCAGTTTAGGTCTAATTTAAAAAATTTTTCCTCCCCTTTTTTGAGCCAATATTAGAGCAATGCACTTTTTTAGCTTTAATTTAAAAAAATTTTTTTTTAAAAATTACAGACTCACAGGTTAAAACAATTAGAATTGCAAGCATATTGAAGTTAATGTGTCACCTTTTTTCAGTTAGCGTGAATGAAGGCCAATGAATGAGTAGTTTGGAAAGAGACTGAAAATGCTCAATATTTCGGCATAAACTTAATAAGTTGTCAAATAACAACCTTCTTTGGAATTCTTCTTTTATTTCTTCATCAGAAATCTATAAATTGAAATATGAAAACAAGTTTAAAAAATCACAAAACATAAATAAAAAAAAAATAAACACTACAAACTTCATATTATTAGTAAATTATCAACAAATAAATAACTGAATGAATTTCTGAAAAAGGCTTTAACAATATTGAAAGTTCTTATAACAAACATAGGTGATATTACAATTCGTCTAGCACCAAATAAATGTTAAATATTTATTAAAAGATGCGATTATTTTAACCCTTATTAGCTTAATAATTTTAAAAATACTTTTCAAATTAATATTTTAAACCAATGCACATTAAGGCACAGTTAAGTTTGTGTATATTAAGCTTTGAATTAATATTAAACCACTATAAGTACAAAATAGATGATAAATATTATTTTATTACACTTTAAACAACATGTCTCCATTTTAAAATTTTCAAAAATAATTTTTACACCAATATAAATTTATTTCAAACCAAAAAACTAGAGTTAAGATAAGAATAAGTTAGTGTAAAGATCTGACATAATAAAAATAAACCATAGCGCGAAGAGAAATCTACTCTATTATGTAATAAACAGCTATAACAGTTTCATCAAGTAACTAAGATTTTGTTTTATGTACTCAAAAAGTAAAAAATTAATATTGAAAATATAAATTCTATTTTATCTAAATCTAAAGAAATCTACCTAAATTCGAAACATATTCACTGATAATTTTTTTTTCTGAACTCAATAAGCAAAAAATAAAATTTTAAAATCTAAATTCTAATTAATCTCTAAATCTTAATGAAATCTACCTAAATTCAAAGCACGGTATTCTACTTATAATTTAGAATCAATACAATAAATACTTACAACTACATCTGGAAACATAGAGGAAACAACAGCTTGCGTTCGATAGAGCAGTAGCAAATCACCATATTCTGGGGAAAGGCAATCGGTCTGAAAAAAATTTATTCAAATCATGATATATACCACCAAAACTTAAATAATTAATTATGGAAATCCAAAAACAGAAAACATTTGGATTAAAAATATTTGATTTTTTTTGATAACTGATATACTTTTTCCAAAAGCTGGAGAATATTCAATCTCACGGAAACTGAGACATCTGAATCTTGGCAAAACTCATTTAACATTTTTGCCGCAATGTCTTCAATCATCAATTCCTCTCTGAAATGAAACATTTACCTACTGTATATCAAACATAACATACTAGGCATCATAAAAAATACATATACAGTACAAAGTCCCGGATCAGAATGTATGTTCACCGGAAATATCTGTTTTCTGTACACTTTTTAACAATCAAAATAAAAAAAAATCGTTTTTTTTTTTTTTTAATCCTTTTATTTTTTTCATTCCTTGCACTCTGTTAAAGAAAGCATTAGTAAAAAAATTTATTTAATTTGTTCTTTCTGCCTTATGAATAGCTAAATATTTATTCTGTTTCAATAAGCGCACTAAAAGAGTTATAGAAAGAAAACAAGAGTAATAAAAGAAAATCAAACTTTGGGGGAAAGAATAAACTATGAATAATAATGAAGCTGAATATTAATAGTGTTTAAAAAGGGCACTAGCAAGCCAGCTTTGTTTCCCTTTAAATTAAAAATGTTTTTAAAAAAATCTGATTAATTTAATTTTGGAAATGGATGTTTCTTTTTAATGTAATTTTTATCTAATTATCTGTGCTGCTAATTAATCAGATCAAAGGGAAAAAAGAATAGAAAAATCTGTCTTTATTCTTAAAAAAGAAAATTCAAATTATCATATGCTATAATTCAAATATATTTACTAATGAATGCTTAATTAACATTCATTAGTAAATTAAATTTCATCCAACGTTTTGGAAAATGTTGTCTGAAACTGATCTTAATAATTCTTCATTTGTTATTTTTTTAATTAAGTAATGCAGGTTTTGATGTTTACTTTAAAGCTTTATTATCTTGAAAAATCTATTTTCTGGTCTTGTCAAAGTACCAACGATTCTGTATATAGGACACTAGTCTCATCTTTTTCCAAACTTTCAATTGCATCTGTCTGGTTTTTTGATGCAAGGCTTTTCTGCAACACAGAACAGGTTTTCCACATATTTTTCAATGGGAAAACAGTAACTAGCAGAAAAATTTTGGTAAAATTTGGCCCAGTGAAATAACAGTTGAGGGTTACAAGCTACAAATGCAAAGTTTTATGACTTGTAACCAAAAATCAAAATATGTTTAACAGTTTTTTTTCTTCTGAATTCATAACCCTCATTTGTTAAATCAAAATGTACTTATTTAACAGTTTTTTTCTGAATTCATAACATTCATTTGTTAAATCAAAATGTTCATACCATATAAATATTAGCAAAAAACAATTCATACAATTTCATATAATTTTAAATTAGAATAAAATGTAATTACACACTTGAGAAAAAATATCAAAATTAAACAACAATATGAAGTTTTACAAATAATTTTTAAAAGTTTTTCAGTAATTCAGATGATTTCATTTGCTTATATTACAATATTATAATTATTATTATTAATAAGCACCAATATATGAAATTATAAGCAAAGCTATTCAAGCTGTATATGTATCATAAAAAAATGTGACTTTCTATGATTTTAATAGAATAAAGCAAATTATTCAATTAAATAGGATTTAATATGAATCTAAAAAAATATCAAATAAAATTACTTAATTAAAATGATGCAAAAAACAAATTAACCAAGTAAAAATAAACCTGGAATAAGAAATCATTACTTTTCTTTTGATATATCTCCTAAAATAGCCTCAACTGTATGAATTAAAGATGGTGAATTCCCAATACCTAAATTTTGAGATTGCCTGAAAAAAAATTAGATGCAGTTTATAAATGAAAAGAAATTTACCAATTAAACTTAATCTACCAGAATAAGTGTAATGCTTAAAGAAAATGTAATGCTATATTACATAACTTCCACAAACAGAAAATATTTTAATACAATAGAAAATAATATTTTTTGTTGCAAACAATAGTGAAAACTGATAATTACTTCAATTGTTTTAAAATTTTGTTGATTGCTTCAATGTAGGCATCTGCAGGCTCCCAACCAATATCAGCTGGACAACAGGATAGGAAAGTTTTAAGGAGTTCTAGATCAGGACCTTCCAAAACAATTTCGGTCAAAAGATCTTGCAACTGTAAAACATGTAGAAAACAATAATTTACAAAAACAAATTTTTAAGAAAATACTAAAAAAATTTTTTTTTTTTAGGAGAATCAATAATGCTCCATGGACCAAGACGTTAGAAAAAAAAAACTTGAAGCAAAGTTCAGCGACTAATCAGAAACATTGAAGTAAGGAAGGAAATTCTTAGACATCAATCTCCTTAAAGCCATTCAGATTATTCAGGAATCTTGGTAAGAGGTAAAGGAAAGTACAATTTCAAATTGTGTCCGTAATTCATCTCACCTGATACGGACAAAAATTAAGAAAATCAGGAAAACCATAAATTTTTTTAGGGAAGTTTTAGTACCTTATAGGAGGAATTCCAGAATCAGTTTTTTGGATATTGATTTTGACAGTTCAATGTAATTGAAAATTTTAAAATGACTAACGCTGATATCCTTCCTTAGGACCTGCACCAAAGATTTCAAATTATTAGCCAGTAAATTAGCCAAATATCTAAATTACTCTGCAATTTTCGCAAGTCTTCGCCAAATGCAAATCTAAATAATGTTTCATGGTAAATTTCCCCCCCATAGAAAACTATTTTATTGTACTTTGTTTCAGGCTTATATTATTTGGACCCAATTCTAATTGGTTATGCGTGGCAACTACCAAAAATAAAAAATACTGATTTGTTTAAAAAAAATTCATTTATACATAATTTTGAGGATCAAGTTAAATACATATTTTTCTTTCCAGTGAAAAAAATCATTCACCAATGCTTTTGCCGAAACACAATTTGATTTGTAAAATAATGATTTGATCCCGCTAGGCGAGGTGGCAAATGCTTAAGTGCGGGACCTGCTTCTTGGCATTAATAAAGAAAAAGATGACTCAAATCATGAGAATGGAGGTCATCTAGTTCTCTTACTGATCATCAGGTTCTCACTTCAGCAGAAACTCTTCGATCATATATTCAGGCATAGTCAAGTATTGAAGATGAGGTATTTAGTGCTTTGTAAGTTTTAGAGAATTTCTTTAATAAAAGAATGAACTTAAAACAAATGAAAGTTACAGACTTTTTTTCAAACAAGTTAAAACGTAAGTTACAAATTCTGTCATTATTTTTAATAATGAAACAAAAATGTTATATAGATTTACTTTAAATATTAAAGAATTCCTTTTGAGTTTTTGAACGATTTTTATCCCTAATAATGGTGAATATTGGTTTTATTTTGTCTGCTTTTGCTCTTTGTCTTGTTTTTGGGACTCGGGATAAAATCATAATTTTACACACACAGTAATTGTAGCCCATCTCGATCCAAACTTTTCCCACTTTCTTGTTCCAGGGGGTCTAAAAAGCAATATCTTTTTTATTGTAATGTCATCACTTATTCAAATCACTGGAGCCATTCAACTCATTCTATTTATTTTTAATAATATCAGTTTGTTTATAAATCTTGTACAGTTCGAAGTTAAATCTCCTCCCATTATTGTTTTCATTTACACCACCAAGTATACTCCGCAAAATCTTAAAAAATAACTTTACAAAAGCAACTAAACAAAAACTACAATTCAAATTTATTTAAAAAAAACTATACTAGAAACAAAAATCTAAGAAAGTCAATGGAAAAGAGACATTTGCAACTTACTTTATTAATAGCTGATTTCGATAAATCAAATTCTTTGCAATAGTTCTTTATTTTGGGATCAAAACATTCCCTTAACTGAACAAGAGTTTCATCTTCAAGTCTCTGAAGATGAGATTGATAAGAGGTAAGAGTTACAACAGCATCATTCCACTCATTACTGTAAAAGAAATGATGAAAATTACTATCTTCATAAGAGGAAAATTATTATCTCATAACAAGAATTACTAAAATACAAATCGCGATATTGCATTTTAAAATCACCGAATACGAATACCAAAGCATGATTTATAGAGTGAATACAATTCATAGAATTTTAAATCAGGTAAATACAAAATTCTATGTTTAATATTAAAATCACATGAATATAAATTACGATATAAGCGAGTTCTGGCATAGTTTCAAATATTCAATATATTCCAACAAACTAAAAAAAAAATCAAAACTATGGAGGAGTCACGTATATGAAAATGTCTTGTTAATGGGATTTAGCAAAGGTTCTAGAATTTAAATTTTAGATCATGGAATTTAATTCTTACTTTAAATTTTAGATTCCAGCAAAAATTTCGCCAGATCCTAAATTTTGGTTTGCGGAAATCTGCAAAACAATGGTCTTGAGATACGCAAAATCCTGTGAAAAAATTACACACCCTGCTTCTAGTTTCCAAACCTGGAGGGATGATATGAAAAACTCGGAATACAATCACCCCAGGATAAAAACTAAATAATTTATTCATAAATTGAATTTAATTTTTTTTATTTATTTGGGCTACAGATTAAAGGTATAAAATTTAAAAAGTTCTTCTCAAATATTGAACCAAACTTGAAAAGGTGTAATTAATTACTTTAAAAAAAATATGCGAACAACTCTATTGTTTATTAACTAGTACAGTTATATAAAAATGAAATATATAAAAGAACTAAAATATTTAATAACATTTAGCACTAATTCATTTTGTAAAATGATCTAAAAATTAAGTTTTGTTACCTGAGTAACACATTACTTTTGTGCTTTGAGCTTTTAGCTCGACATAACTTTATAACTTGTTTCACAATATCTGACCTACAGTCAAGATCCATCTTGAAAAAGAAAAATAATGGCAAATATTAGATCAAACAAAAGCAAAATTATAAGAAATTTAAATACAAAGTATAAATGTTGAGCAAGTATAGATTCAAAATAGATATTACAGTTGAAAACATTTTCTGAAACATGTCTAATGCTCATCACACATTTAAACTAGCAGAACATGATTTTAAGAAGAAAAAAACATAACGAAATATTTTCAAAAATTTCAATAATATTGTTTAAAACAAAAGTAAATTGACTTACGTTTTCTAAAGCTTTTTCTGAAAATATCACAGCATCAACAAATAATATTACATCAGAAGGATTGAGACGTTGCAGCATATCTGAACAGGACTTGAATCGTAAAATCCATTCAGTCTGTTAAAAAGTTTATAATTTATTACAATGAAATATACTTTTCAAAAACTGCACCATGATTCATTCAAATTTTTCAGTATGATGCTATATCAAGAATATACTATATATATAAAAAAAACTATGCATTATAATACATGGTACTGGTTCACAAAGGAGAGCCTACTTTGAAGTAACTTTTTGGTGAATATATTATAAAGAAATATACTTTTCAAAAATATAAATATGAGTTATGAGGAATTCTGCCATATTCATGAAAAAATTCCATGCCCTATTTCTAGTTATTAGACGAGAAAGAATGATAAACCTTGGTAGGCAATTCCCCCTTGTAGAGGCTGTTAATTGTGATAGCCAGAAAATAATGCGATTCCAGGGTAGAAGGATTGAGGGTTAGGTCGAAGGCTGAAGGTAGGAAGACTAAACTGAATAGTTCCTGCTAGGAAGGATACCCGCGGAGGAACACAACTAACAACTCCGGCTAAGAGTGAAGAGTCTGCTGTCCAATATTTAAGGAGAGGATATTTTGCCATCGAGGTTGTTGAAGCGTCCGAGACTCCGTCCCAACACTTCGTTTTGCCCGGTGACTCCCACTTTCAAGAAGAGATGCTTGCATTCGACAGTTTAAGTTTTTAATTGTTTTAATAACTACTTTTAAATATTTTTTACAAATAACCTTTTTCTGGAGTTTGTTTGTTTATTAATGGATTGTTAACATTTTCTATTAAAGAAGATGTTTCATAGCAATAGTGCTTTATTTGACATTTTCCAGTTTATCATTAAACAACACCCCTGTTAACTGTTGTAAATCACTAATGTGTATAAAAAAATCTTTTAACTGTTATACGAGAAACAACATTCCAATTATTTCAATCTTGTTTAAAACTACAGAGTTTATTTTTCCCTCCAAGGGGAACATTGAAAAATTAAACAAAAAATATAATAAAAAGTATTAAACATATAGTTTAAAGTTTAGGCTTATATCAGTATATCTCAAAGTATTTAATATCTTAATAAATTTTTCCATACTCTGTTTTAACATGAGTGAAAGATAGAAATTTTTTTTGCATAACTGATTAGGCCAAATGGAGCTTTTCTGAATTGATAAATGATAAAAAAAATTTAGACAAAATTAAATTAAGATGCAATGGCAACCTGTAGTCTTAAATAAGTTACTAATATCAATACTAGTAAGACATTTCATTTTTTCTTAAAACACATACTAGTGACAAAAATATCGAGAAAAAAAACAGCAACATTGAAATGCAAACTGAAAATTTAACTTTAAAGAAAACCTTCATAGATTGCAAGTAAAAAAATAATAATAAAAGGTTAGAATCATGATAGAAGTCTATTGTACCTTGTTTGACGGAACTTTTGTGGTGGATGAGTTTCCTTCAAAAAACTCTTTCTGAGTCCAAAGACAATAAATATTTGATGGCTCATAAAAAACTTCACCCTAATATAATTTAAAAACATAAAAGGAACACATAAAAACATTGTATTTCATGTACATAGTTAAGAAATGAACTAAGAATGAGAATAGAAATGAACTAACATGAATTTAGTGCAATTATTAAGGTTTAGATCAATAATATTAACTATTTGCACAATAAAAAAACAGTTGGAAATTAAGTTCATGTGAAATCAGCTAGTCACATAATAGTTTTTTTTTAAAATTTGAATTTCAGGCACATTACAAAAATGCAAAATTTAGTTATTGATTACACCAGTGTGCTTCCTAAGCAGTTTTAGAAGCGCGGCCCGACATATCCGCCCTTTAATCTCTATAAATGTGTTCTAGTTTTCCTTTTTTTGTAAACTAAGCCCCCATCTCATAAAAACTCTGCCTTTTTCACTCATATTCCATTTAAAAATAAATAACTAATTGTTTGAATAATAATTACACACTGGTAAAATTATATGTATTTATAGGTTTAATTCTGATTGTTTGATTGAATAATTCTGATTGAATTTGTTAAGTTTCTCTTTTTTTCAAGGTAGAGGGGTACATTAATGAATTTTTTAAGTGATCTTAAATTTTAAAGTTATTTTCAAATCATGCCTTTTTTTAAAGAAAGCAGAATTTTCATAATTTTCAGTTTAAATTCTAGAAAAAGCTTTCAAGTGGTTTATCAATTAATCATTTTTTTTAGTTTAGTTTATTTATTTTTTAAATTTATGCTCAGAGATTGTCTTTTAGCACGCTTTTAATTATTTTTTTAATAAACTAAAAATTTTTGTTTTGTATTGATAATTTGTGGGAATTACTTTTTCAGATATAGACATAAAATATTACAAGAGAGAAATTTAAAAATTTTTGAAAATCAAATTCAGTTGTTACATAATATTACACAATTTGATAAATTGCTACAGTGTCAAAAGTGTGTCCTTTCAAAATTCAAAGTGCCTTTTTTAATTCCTAGGGAGAACTCTGGATTACACTACATGCTGTTCATTTTAAAAAAAAAATTATTACATGCACATAATTGCAATTTTATAACACAAATTTATCAGAAGAAAAAAATCTTATTTGAGTGTTAATGATTTTAATGTGATGTTTTGTATAAAGTAGAAAATTAATAAAATGTGTAACTAAAATTTTTATTTCTGTAGTAAAAGGAAAAGAAACACAAAAGAAGTCATATTCTAATCAGAAAACTTACAAAAATAGAAAACACAAATAAGTATAATCGTTTTTTTAAATTAAATATTATCCTTTTTATTTGAGCTATTAACAATGTTTTAATTTATATTTAATTTTTATTATAAATTTCAACATAAAAGTAATGCTAATTTCTTTGGATCAAGAATTATTTTTTAACTCTATTTAATTAAAAATAACAATGATTACACTGGGAAACAAATTTTTTGTTGCATTCATAGAAATATTGATATTGCTTAATTTGGGGGTGGGGATTTCAATTTATATATTAGTTCAATTTATAATAACTAAATGAAATTAGTTTTGCTCTTTTAAGTTACAGTTTTTTTTTTAAATTAAATTTTTGCCTCTCTTTCATTGAAATGTACAAGCTATATCTATAAGGGGGTCACATAAATGTTGGGATAAACTTCTAGGGCAGTTAGGGCACATCATTGGGATTAAAATTGCATAACCATAAAGAAAAGTAAGAATACCATAAGGAAGAGTGAGAAGATCCATGAGTAAAGTATTTCTTGTTTGCTGCAGCTAGTGGTCTAATACCCTATAATAAGGTGGAGTGGAAAATAAAAGTTTTCGATAACTGAAAAGCATTATTTCTCAAAAGTTAATTATGGACTAGTTATCTATGAATTTCAGACTTTTTATACACCATTCCCGCAAAAACCATAAAAATTTTAAGTCCTTTTTTTTTTTAAAATTTGTAAAAAATAAATTATTTTTTTAAACTTGTTGAAAAAAAGTAAATTACTTTCCAAAGTTACATATTGAATTAAATATTATCGGTTAATTTTTTCATAATTTTCATTCTATGCAATTATCTTCAATTATGCAATAATTTAATTAAAATATGTTGGTAGTTTAATATTCACAAAATATTTAATTGCTTAGTAAATTAGCTGAATGGGTAAAATAGTAGCCCAAGAGAAATTATTTGTAATTTAAAGCCAAACAGGAAGATAAGTTGGGATGTTATAATTGAATTTGGTTATAATAGAATAACAACAGACAGTAGAACGTAAGTCAGTGGAATTAAACGATAAAGTTGCTATCAAAGTATTTGGTAAAGAATTTCAATTCCAATTCTACATTAAGTAAGAATCATTGCTTTAATAAAAAGAGAACATGAGAAGATGGAGAATCTTTAAAAATTGCACAATTACAGAAAATAAATCTCAAGGTTTGAAAGTAAAACCCAAAAAATTGAGATGCATTCAAAGGAGAATCTAAGCTAATTTTTGATAACGCACCATGCAATTTCGTTTATCACGAGCATTGCAGTTGCAAAAAAGTTTAAAAAAAGCAGGGTGTTTATATGACCTGAGAACCGTTAGACAGATGTGTATTGGTTCTGTTAATTTGGGAATCTCTGAACAATAAGAAAAACAAACAGGAAAGACCGAAAACCAATCTAGTTTTAGATGACGCACAAACTTCCAAATTTCAAGAAATCAAGTAAAATCCAAACATTGTAGTTGCATTAAAAGGAAAAGAAACACATTCTGAAAAAACTCCCAATTTGATGTCAGAGAAGTACTAAAAATATTGCACTTTCAACCACATTCATCCTCAGTCAGATCTAAAACCAGAATCAAACTTGGGATAATTGTTATAACATGTGACCCATATGGTATTTCTGGAACAGATTCGATGCTACCTTTGCATGAGCTTTACCATATGATTTTAAGAAGGTTTCAGATTGATGAAGTAAGTATGTAATGTTCCATAAGGATGTTATATCATGTAAATGTTCTTTGACCAACGTAGATAGATGTATAAGTTCAAAGAAGAAAAGAAAACTAAAAAAAAAAATATCTGTAAAATCAAGTAGCAAGAGAAAATTGCTATCCTTTTTCCCATCAAAGTAAATCCATGCATTTACTTTGATGGGAAAAAGGACAAGACATCATAGAGGTGGCAAAAATTCCCTATAATTCCCCCATTGCATACTTAAAGTAAAATAGGAACACATCAAATACGAGGTATTAGAAAGCTGTTATTTGTCTGTTTAATATGAGTTTGCACTGGATGATATTTGAGGTTAACTTATATGATGCAATAGGCATATTAAGAATTATCTGGACTTTCAATATTTGGCTATTATAAATTTTAATAATTGGCTTTTTACTAAAAATTATTTTTCATTATTTAAAGCAATTAATTCATGCAGAAATGACTATAACTTTTAATTAATTAAAGTTCAAGTAATTATTTTTCATGACTTAAAGTAATTTACATGCAATTAATTCATGCAAAAATGACAATAACTATCAATTAATTATAATTCAAGTTATTCTAAATAATGTTTTAGTTGCAAGTGTAATAGTTTTTATGAATCCAAACAACCAAACAGAAAAATATGGTTAGTGTTGTACTAACAATTATTATGCGGCAAATCAAGATACCATACATTAAAATGCCAAAAACATATATGTAGATAAATATTATTTATAAAAGAGGTAAAAAAAGTCAATTGAAGATAAGTTTTAATAAGTGTTATAATTAATACCTGTTTTGGAATGTTAGTAGCTGCTTTAGCAAAGACATGTACACTAGATTCATTGAGTAGACTCATTAAATAGCTGCTGGATGTTTCTGAACACATTAATTTTTTGTAATCAATATCTGAAATTAAATAACTTGTTTGTTAGTTGCAAAAACATGGTTACAAACATTTTGTAGCATTTTATAGCACTAGGTATTACTAAATAATTTACTAATGATTTTTGTACATTTAAAATCTGATAAAGATTGAATTGTAAAGAAATTATAAAATAAATAATCCCAAGAAACTGAAGAGGTAAGATATTACCTCTTATAAAAAACTTATTTTGCTTCAAAAATATATAAATAGGAGATAACAGACAACATGTTTCCAGCACTCAGAAAATGCCCATTTTCAAGACTTGCCAGACATGAATGGAAACATAAGTGATTTGAAATATAATACGAAAAGTTGTCAATGAAAAATGGAAAAATGAAGGTGAGAAACAAAACTAGGAAAACCACAGTAATCAAAAGAGAAAAAAAAAGATTAAAAACAAAACAAGAAAAACCACAGTGGCTAAGAGAGGCAAATCAGGGTAAAATGCATTTCTACATGCTATCAAAAGGTGATGAGGAAGGAAACCTATTTAGTGCTTGAAAAATGTCGACTGCTACTTCCTTTTTATGTATTTTTGGAAGGGAAATGAAATTTCTATTCGAGTAACGCAAAGAAATTATTTGAAAATAAGTTGCTTTTTCTTCAAAATTAAATAGAAAAAATCAAATATAAGCATATAGTCTCATAAAAAAGCCTTTAAAAATAAATAACATAAAATTTGTCATTAGAATACACCATGATGAAATTTTTAGTAAGAAATAAAGAGCAAAACCTTTAGGAAAATCAGATAAAAATAAATTGTTAAAAAAAAAAAGAAATTCTTTGCATATATTTTCATGGAGAAAACTTATAATGTAAAATTATGTCATCATTAACACAATGGTAAGACTAAAATGAGGTATTGTATTTTTTTTTCCAAAAAGCTGTTTGGCAAAAAGCTATGAAAAAAAATTTATATTATTCAGCTATGTTCTCGTTGACGTATGCAATTTGGGCAGAGGGGGTACGATTGTTCTTGCTTTCCAGTGGCACCATCTATGGCCAAGAATTAATATTCAACTATGGAAAAAATGTATAACACTTACTTGCCATAGCTGCCTTAAACTTTTTCAATAGATTTTTGTGAACGCTGGGTTGAAGCTTCAAATCATCTTCATTGTCCCCACAGTCTTCCAACAAAGAGAAACAAGTTGTTAGTTTTTCATGGTCTTTGCCATCAATACCCGGATAGATATTATTTCTCAGCCTGACTTCAAACGCTTTCTTCTGATCCATAAGTTTCTCCGATAACTTGAATCTTTCAATGCGTTCAGTTAAAACTGCAGATGATACACTGAAAGTATAAAAGGAAATTCTAAAAAGCTGAACAGATCATTACACAGTTATAATATCATTACACAGTCAACCGAATGGGACTTGAAATATGGTGCCGGTGGTGTAGTTGGTAAAGGTGTCCCTCGCTCCACGTGTGGCGAGCCAGCAGCTTTGAGCTCAATCCGAAAAACCAAATCAACAATCGGCGCGTATAAACGGCAAGAAGCACACTAAATCTGTGATGGGTTCTCTTGTTGGTTGTGGTGTTGAAGTTTGGAAAGAGAGGCACTAGCTCAGGCGCCGTCCATGTCCTCTAACCGGATCAAAATTACATAGCATACCAACAATGGCTGCTAAAAGATAAAGCACTGAAAAACTGGGCTAGGAACTTGCCATGGTTGGGTGATGTATGCATGTTACTTGAAGTACAACAACTTTGCCTTTTTTTTAACGATATTCTGATCTTTTTATCTCCAATTTTATATAAATTATTCTAGATCACTTGATTTTTACGCTTCTTAACTCACTCTTCTTAGAAAGATTACTTCATCTTTCATAGCTAAAAAAATTAAAAATAGAAAATTTTTTACAAAAAAATAAATAAAATAACCACAGCCAATGAGGAAACCCCACACGGCCCCTTCTCTTATAATTTGTGGCCAAAAGAAAATGCAGAAAATGCATTTTCTGTTTAGAATTAGCTACACAACGTTTGTGGTGATTTTTTTCTCCAGATTTGTATACAAAATTTAGAACAGTGTATCTTTAATTTGCAAGGAGGAACTGGGGAAAGAGCAATTAAAAAAACTTTAAATATTTTAAAATGCTTAGAATATAACTAGGTAAGAATTTCTCTAATTTTTCAAGAATTTCAGCTTAATGATCTTTTTAATTTTAATATAGCGAGAAATTTTTCATGACCCTGAAACTAAGTATAAAGTATAATGAAAGAGATGTTACCTGGATTCAGAAAACAAATACTCCAAATGAGTCATGTATAAATCCCACAGAGATATGTGATAATGGTTGGCTAAAGTAATAGCTGTTTGGAAGACACTATCATCCAATGTCCTAAAAAGCAAAGAATCAATAAACAAAAATGCTTTCTGAATTTCTCAAAAAAGAATGTAAAATGAAGGGATCTGAAAAAGGTTTTTCTTTCCTCAATGCCTAACATTAAGAATCTTTTAGAACCAGCAAACTATTTGTGAGTTTCATTGAGAATAAAATTTTGTGAAGAAGCAATAAACAATGGCGGTTTGACAATGTTAGTTGGAAACAATGCACACGTTTTAAAAATGATATGTAATTATGAAAGTTGGAATGGGACTAAGCACTTTTCTGAAAATCATTAGGTGAGGGAAAGATAGGCTTAACGGCAGCGAACAACAAAAACTCATACTATACAAATAAAATTTTAAGGAACAATTAGATGAACAAAACGCACATAAAAATTTTAAAAATTAGAGAAGAATAGCAATAAAATGAAGGAAGAATAAAGTTATGGCGCCAGGCATGGTGTATAGTCGCCAAGGGAATCAGCTGGACGACGTACACCGGATCGGCAACCTTGTACCCTTCTTCAACATTTAAGAAGCTTCGAACATTGCTCTGCGCACACTCATACTTAACTTTTACTTTTCTGTTTTTATCTTATTGTTATGTTTCAGCTGGTAATAAATGTTGTTTGATTTTGTCATAGTTCCTTAACTTAATATGAGAGGGTTCCACCCCCCTCATTTGGTGACCCTTGTGTTTATTTTTTTTAAATACGCTATTATCCGTTGTATTACAATTTGGAATAACTACTTGAATTCGGTAATGTACAAATTTCCTCTCTTATTTAGTCAACTGCTTTGCTTGCACTACTTAAAATTTAAACTTAATGCATAGTAATATCTTTGTATTGTATTATATTAGACTGAAATTTTTTTAAACATTATTGTAAGAGACTTTAATTAGTAGCTATTGAATTTGAATATACGGACTTTAAATGCTGTTGTATTTATTTCTTAGTATAATATTTATAGTTCTGATACATTCTTAGTTGATTCTTAACTGATTAGTTACGTAAATATTTATTTTTACTGTAAATATTTCCAGACATCCTCTAGTTATTGAATTGCTCTAATGTATATATATATACAGTAGGGAACCGATTATCCGGAACGATAGGGAACATCGCTATTCCGGACAGCTGATTTTTCCAGTTTTCCGAATTGCTGCAAAAAGCCATTTTTTTATTGTTAAACCCAACTAAAAAAAAATTTTTTTTGTGGAAATAATCTTAAAAAGAAGAAAAAACGATGGAGTAATACACTAATGATTATTTCCAAAATGATGGTAAGGTAAACATCTTTCAAAAAAGAACGAAAATTCCAANACATTTTAGCAATATCGGTAGTCTCGTACAGTTGTAAAGCAAATACAGATGAATTTTGTATGTGTTTTATGACTTCTGACTTGATATTTCGTGACATTTCGTAAATCCAATTGCAATTAAACAGTGAGTGATGGCGCTTCACTCTTTATATGTACACTGTATGGTATGCAGCATGCAGGGATAATGCATTTCATAAAAATTTGGCGACCCCCACAGGAGTCGCGACCTAGTTTGCACACCACTGATCTATACTATACACTAAATTTGGTTATAAATAAATTTCTTAATAATATCACTGCAGATTTTCAATAATGCATGAAAATGAATACATAATATTACAAAAGATGTGAGTTTTCAAAAGTACAAGATTTTGGTTACTATTCAAAATATAAGTGTTTCTCCAAAATTTTAAATTTATTTTTTCTAGAACATATTTAGAAACACTATCCTTTAAAAATATATAAATTTTATGTATTAATTAAATTTCACATATAAATATAGGTTTTTGACATTTTCGACATTTTTGACAGTGAGGTTTTTGACGTGACGGTTTAAACCATGGTTTAAACTGTCAAAAACTGTCACATGTCAAAAACCTGCCAACCCTGACAGAGATATTAAAAAAACTTTAAATATTTTAAAATGCTTAGAATATAACTAGGTAAGAATTTCTCTAATTTTTCATGACTCTAAAACTGTAAGTATAAAGTATGATGAAAGAGATGTTACCTGGATTCAGAAAACAAATACTCCAAATGAGTCATGTATAAATCCCACAGAGATATGTGATAATGGTTAGCTAAAGTAATAGCTGTTTGGAAGACACTATCATCCAATGTCCTAAAAGTTAAAAAGCAAAGAATCAATTAACAAAAATGCTTTCTGAATTTCTCAACAAAGAATGTAAAATGAAGGGATATGAAAAAAATTTTTCTTTCCTCAATGCCTAACATTAAGAATTTTTTAGAACCAACGATTAAGCAGGTTTGTTAAAAACCAACAAATATTTGTAAGTTAAATTGAGAATAAAATTTTGGGAAGAAGCAATAAGCAATGATGGTTTGAAACAATGCACACATTTTAAAAATGATAAGTAATTGCGAAAGTTGGAATGGGATAAAGAACTTTTCTTAAAATCATCAGGTGAGGGGAAGATAGGCTTAACTGCGCAAACAACAAAAATGTAAAATAATAGAAGCATATTTATGAACAAGAAGACTTTTGGTGGAACTAACCCATATTTGTGCTACACGGAAATGAAAACCCAGAAAACCTATCAAGGTTAGCCTGACAGCAAGGGAACTCTAACTCATGATCCATCTATCACTGAGGATATTTTACCTCAGCACTGTGGTTGGTGTGAACCGGGTGAAGAATTCATATCAGCCAACCATTGCTGGAATTTGAACTTGGGTCATCTCATTGAGAGGCAAGAGCTCTATTCTCTGAGCCACTAAGAAGGAAACTTTCCCCAAGGCTTGATCCAGAGAGCATAGAGAATAAAGCATTAAGAATAGAGGGCATAGAGAACAGGTGGCATAGAGCACACATCTCCCAATGAGGTAGCCCGGGTTCAAACTTCAACAATGGTAAATTCCGCACCAGGCTCACAATGACCACAATGCTGATGTAAAATACCCTCAGTGGTAGACGGATCATGGGATAGAGTTTCCTTGTTATTGTGGACTTTCACTCCGCAAATGCGAATTAGTTCCACCAAAGAGTTCTCCCATGATGGCAAAGTTCGCCCAATACTTGATCCAAGAATTCCCTTAACTTATGGATTGGGTTTAAAATTACAAGGCTACAGAGTTGAACATTGGTTGTCGTAAATTCAAGAGTTGAGTCGGCTGTTCACACACTGTTATAAAATAAAATAATATAAAAATAAGGTAACTGATATGTAACTTGCCTACCATTTATTATCATTATTATAATTTTTCACAAGATGTCATCAATTTGCATTTTACACAACCATACGGTGAAGCTAATTTTTGCATGTTCATTTCTTTTTTACAATCCTCAATGGATTTTATTTTATCCTTCAATGTAAGGAATATTTGCTGGCGATAGTCATTCATATTTTGAATATTCATACAGACATATACTATTTCAATGTTTAGTACATGAAGGAAAAACATTTAATCATTTAACAAATACTGATCAGGTGCATGTACACATTATTTATTTTGCCCAAGTGTTGCCCATTTCTATTAACTCCTAAAATAAAAGCTGACAGATGACACACCAACGATTACTGATCATTGTGTATGATTCTTGTAATTTCCGCAGATCACTAATAATAAATGCATTTTATTTGTAACAGGCTGAATTAAACTGCCATAACTACGACTGACTTCAGCATGACCGATTAAAAATTTCAATTGAATAAAATTTCTGTAATTTTAGCCGATCACTCTACACAGATGCAGCTTATCTGTAGTAGACGCAACTGCACTTCCAAAGCTATGTTTAACTATTGTATAAATGCTTAAGAATTGTTAACAATGACTTAAACTCAATGACAGATGCGGAAAATATGTTTACTAATGAATATTACTGCAGGTAGGAGATAAAAATTGAAATAAATTGACTAAGATACACCCTGATACAAAATGTATGTTAACAAAGAGTGGCTGCTGCTCAGAGGTTCCCCATAACGTAAAGCCTATAGGAGACGTTCAATACCATAAATATATGGTCGTTCTTTGGAGGTTGAAGTTCTTTAGAGATAATCATTAATGGAAGCTTTACTGTATATGTTCATAAAACAAAGAATAACATTTAACATGCTATCAATGTAAGATATGTGATAAACATTAAATTTGCTAATGAAAAAATCATATAGAGATTTCAGCAAAAAGAAAAAAAATGAACTTGCTGTGGTCAGTTAAAGGATAAAAAGATATACTCCCATTAATTACTGGATTGTTCGTTTGGAACTAGTTGACAAATACACTGTATAAAAAATGGTGCAGTTTTAATTTAAAGAAAAACAATAAATAAAAAATTTATTTTTTATAGAATGTGGAACAAATTTGAAATAAAAACTCATACTATACAAATAAAATTTTAAGGAACAATTAGATGAACAAAATACACATAAAAATTTTAAAAAATAGAGAAGAATAACAATACAATGAAGAAAGAATAAAGTAAGTAAAAATCAAGTTAAACAACGTTCATGTTATATAACTTACAAACATTCAAATGTATAACTTACATAGAAATTCCTAAAATGGTGTCCTTTTTGTATTCATCATCATTGGCAAATCTAGTTGCATCCACACCTCCTCCAATGCTATGCAAGATTTCTGCTTGAATAAAGTCATATAACATCTTGTTGTACTTTTTCAACAATTCCCAATAACGTATTGACTCTTTATTAGCAGCCAAAGGAGGTTCTGAGCTTCTCATTGCAAGTACCTAAATTTTAGTAGAAAATATTAAAATATTCAATGCAAAATTGCTCACCTATTAAAATATAAGAGGTAGTATAGTTACTAAATAACAGTATGTGAAATGCTGGAAATAACTAACATGCACATTTGGGACAAAAAGCTAAACACTCGAAGATAACTTTTGATCTAATGATTAGATTTTCATATCCTAAGATAGATATTTCATTAATTCAAAGGGCTTATTCGAATCAGGTTAGTAATAATCAGGTAATGAATTGTGATGGTACAGTGCTGAAGGCACTGATCTGCATCACTGGGGTTCTATTCTTGGGAAGATTTTCAGTTAACCGAGCTGCTGGAGAGTAAAAGTGGCTGGGAAAGCTGACCATCATATGGATGATCAGGAAACTGTGCAGCCTTAACTTACATGACCCCTAGGCGATTGCGGGAATTCCTTACTTCAATAAAATTCGACACAATTTACAGATTTTATAAATTAAATTTTTTTAACATATTCAAAATTGAAAATAGGGGAAAAGTAAAATTTTTAACAATATAGTAGCAGTAGTGTAATTAATTCTCTGGCAGTAACACAGATTGAATGTAGTGGAAAGTAATACAGGTAGTGGTAACAGTGATACAGGTAACAGCTATATGTAGCACCTTACACATGGGAGGTGAATAAAAATGAAATTTCAAACAGTGGACTTTTTAATATTTCATGGATTTTGTTCAAATTTTGCATTTTATCCTATAAAATTAAATTCTTTATAACAACGAGTATAATTAAATAAAATAACAAATAATTATGAAAATCCATTTTTTGTGTGGAATTACTTTAAAAAAATGAATTTCATAATTGTATGCAAAAAATAAAATTAATATTAATTTCTAACATTAGACCGGTCCAAACTTTGGACCGTTCTCTTGACCTAACTATTTGAACCATATTTTGGGGGAGAGAAACCAGGATCCTTTGAAAAAAAAAGGCACATTTACTCAGAGAAAGTACGATTTCGGGACTGATTTTGCAACACAAAATATTTGTAGCACTATCCAACTAGCATATTTGAGGTCACCCCCTCCAACCATTGAGTCTTTAAACATAAAATAAGATTATTAGATCAAAAGTAATTCAAGAGATTCGATTTTTTTGGCACATTATACATAAACTAATTGAATGCTGTTCATTTTCTTTAAAATTTAAATTAAATGCAAACACGCGTTAAAATTCAAGATTTCTTCTTTTGTGTTAAAAAAAAGCATCATATTTCACAATTGCAATTTTAAAATTAAATCCCCCATAAGTTTTATAGCACTATTATAATATATTTTTAAACAATATAATAAACATTTAAGATTTCTCTCACTTTTTCTATTAAAGAGTTTGGGTCCATTCCTTCTGTGGTATCTTCAGGAAAAGGAGACATATTCAGTGAAATGTAAATTTTTATTGCATAGTATAAGCTGGCAGCCTGTATTACAATAGGAGAACTTGGAAGAGATGAAAAAAGAACCTCAGCTTCATCTGCCTGTAAAAAATAATATGAATTTTAAGTTAACACTGAAACACAAGCCTTGTCTCACCTAGAAAATTAAAGCTATAAAAAATTGTATACCGAATTCTTTGTAATACCACTTTGTTTGAAAACGGCAATAAATGTTTTCAGGCTGCTTATTAAAATCTGAATCCACACTTAACTTTAGAAGGGCTGTAGCTATAACAATATAATGTTTAGGTATGCAGGGCCCATGCTAAGGATTTCAAATAATTAGCAAAATATCAAAAGTATTCGCCAATTTTCGAAAGTCTTCGCCAAATGCAAATCTTAACAATTTTTTTCATAATTAATTTTGTTTCCATAGTAAACTATTTTATGATAGCTTATTTCAGGCTTATATTATTTGGACTCAATTCTAATTGGTTATGCAGAACATCTACTGAAAATTACTGAAATCGAATAAAAAATAATGATATTTTAGAAAAGTTCATTTTGAGGATCGAGTTAAATACATACCTGTATATATTTCTTTATAGTGGAAAAAAATCATTTGTCAATACTTTTGCTAAAACACAATTTTTTTCCCGAAAAATTTACAACTGTGGGCCTGGGTATGATACAGCTAGCTATATACTTGTGCTTTGCCCCATTTATCATTTTGTCTTGTTTCAGATTAGAAAATTGCAAATAAACAAAAAGACATTTTTTGTGTTCGTTTTTAGAAGTCTATTTATAGTACTAAAAAGAGAAGTGTACATTTGTAAAATCTTGACAGGATAAACCTTGGATAGGGTGAAAATTTGCTCTAACTGTCCCCAAGGTTAGATATGCCCCCTCAAAGTTTCAGTTCATTTCCTTATAAAAGAATGAAAATTTCAAGCTCTCCTGGATTCGTTGCTCAGTGGTTAAGCTAACCGTCTTCTAACCAAGAGAACAGGATTTAAAATTTAAATTGAGACATTTAATTTTGTTTCTAGATTTCTAATCTAACAAGATTGATAACTATTTAGTATAAATTTTGTTACATTCAATATATAAATTATTTTTCAATTTAAATAAATTTTTCGAAAAGTTTAAACTCTTAAAAACAAAAACTTTGATAGATGGTACTTTTATCCTGTAAATAAACTAAATTAATTATTTAAAAAATCGCAATAAAATTTTTTTTTAAATTTTGCAAATTGGATTTTTATTTTTGTTTTGCAACAAATTTTTTTTAATTTTTATTAAATGTAATAATGAAAATTTTAACAAAATTGCATTATATTTCCTAATAAAAAATCATGCATTACCAAAATTTTTTATTTTTTTATTTTTGGTGACATAATCTTCTTTTTCCGTAACAAATAGTTCTTTTCATTTCATTCCTTCTTTCGACCTTTTTCACAAGAATTAAAATGCAATTTTGTTTATATTTTCGAAATTAAATTTAATAAAAACTAAAAACATTTTTTGTTTTTATAATAATATATGTTAGTAAAAAAATATGTTAGTTAAATTAAAAAAATAAAATAAAATTTTTTTGTAAGTAATTAAGTCATTTTAATTAAAAAAAATTAAAATAAACATCTATAATTTTATTTTCTTTTTTAAAAGAAATTAAATTTAAAAAAATAATAATTTATATAATGAATAAAATATACTGAATAGCTACATCTATAATTTTCTTTTCTTTTTTAAAAGAAATTAAATTTAAAAAAATAATAATTTATATAATGAATAAAATATACTGAATAGCTACATCTATAATTTTCTTTTCTTTTTTAAAAGAAATTAAATTTAAAAAAATAATAATTTATATAATGAATAAAATATACTGAATAGCTACATCTATAATTTTCTTTTCTTTTTTAAAAGAAATTAAATTTAAAAAAATAATAATTTATATAATGAATAAAATATACTGAATAGCTACATCTATAATTTTCTTTTCTTTTTTAAAAGAAATTAAATTTAAAAAAATAATAATTTATATAATGAATAAAATATACTGAATAGCTACATCTATAATTTTCTTTTCTTTTTTAAAAGAAATTAAATTTAAAAAAATAATAATTTATATAATGAATAAAATATACTGAATAGCTATTCTCTCTTGTTAGATCAGGAATNTAAACGCATATAACTTTGCATTTTTTTTAAAGTGATACTTACACAATCAATACTTAGTAGGATAACCCTTATTTTTTAAGACAGCTTCACAGCATCTTTTCATCGAGTGAACAAGTGTTTAGAGCTCACCTTTCGTAATCACATGGTACCAAGAATCAATTACAGCTTCAATAAATTGTCTTTTATTGGATGGACGTTTTTTTCTTACAAGAATTTTCAAACATCGCCACAAATTTTCAATTGGATTGAGATAAGGGCTGTTCCTGGCCATGGTAATATATCTATGCCTTTATTTTGAAACCATGCTTTGCATACTTTTGCTGTGTGGCATGGAGCTGAATCCTGCTGAAAAATAAATGGTGCGTTGTTGGGGAAGAGATCCTTGATGGAAGGTATTAATTTTGATTACAGGACAGTTTCGATGTATTTTTTGGCATTTAGGATGCCAAATCAGGCCGAAAAAAATGCACAAATGCTAATGCTGATAGAAAAATTAAACAGCTATGCCTTCAAGATGGAAAAGTTTCATCAGATGCCATTAGATGTGAAATGAATGCAACGGGTATTGCAGTAAGTTCAAGAACAATAAGAAGAAGGTTATCAGGATTTGGACTACAAGCTAGAATTCCAAGGAAAAAACCATATTTAAATCAAAAGCAACGCGAAAAACGAGTTAAGTGGGCAAAAGAACACATTAAATGGTCAGAAAATCAATGGAAGCTAGTAATCTGGAGCGATGAGAGTAAAATATCGCTCTTTGGTAGTGATGGTAGAAAATATGTGAGACGTAGAGTAGGTGAAGTACTTCATCCTGATTGCATTGAAGCAACTTCAAAAAACCCAACAAATGTCATGATTTGGGCATGTATGTCTGCAGATGATGTGGGCCGCATTCAAGTGATTGATGGCATCCTGAATGCCAAAAAATACATCGAAACTGTCCTGAAATTAAAATTGATACCTTCCACCAGGTATCTTTTCCCCAAAAACGCACCATTTATTTTTTCTGCAGGAATCAGCTCCATGCCACACAGCAAAAGTATGCAAAGTATGGTTTCAAAATAAAGGCATAGATATATTACCATAGCCAGGAAACAGCCCTGATCTCAATCAAATTGAAAATTTAAGGCGACGTTTGAAAATTCCTGTACGAAAAAAACGTCCATCCAATAAAAGACAACTTATTGAAGCTATAATTGATTCTTGGCACCATGTGATTACGAAAGATGAACTCCAAACATTAGTTCACTCGATGAAAAGACGCAGTGATGCTGTCTTAAAAATTAAGGGTTATCCTACTAAGTATTGATTGTATCACTTTAAAAAAATGCAAATCTAAGATAGATCTTACTATTAGTTGCATAGCTTTTTTTGTAATACAGATATTGTAATTCTGTTTTTATTTTTAAACTCTACATTAATATTACCTTCAATTTGATATATAAACGTTTGTATTTAAGTGAAAATTAATATATTCTACAAGCACACAAAGTTGAAAAACATGAAACTTTCAAAAAATGTCCACATTTTTACCCACCACTGTATAGTGCAAAAAAAATCATTTGTCAATACTTTTGCTAAAACATAATTTTTTTTCTCCAAAAAATTTACAACTGTGTGGGCCTGGGTATGATACTGTAATTACTGTATGGATACTGTATGGATATATGTAATTAATTTATTTATTTCTATCTTGAAGCATTTTTTAGAAGGAACATAAACTAATCCATTTTCTTCCAGGGCTCCGTCAGAAAGCTCGTCATGTAGCACACAAAAGCACGTAAAGAATGCTCGTCATGTAGCACACAGCCATTTTAACATACCAAACACCATTTTATTATAACTATAGCTGAGGCCTTTTAAGAGTGAAAAGGGCAGATTTGAATTTCAAATGGCTCCCTGCATAAATTGAAATTGTAAACAACTATTTTTATTTTAACTAGGTATTTAAAAATACAGTTTCACACAGTGCAATAGGAAAAATATGCTTTATTGAAAATACTAAATGTAAAAAAATTTGAATTCGTCAGAAGTGTAATTGAATAAAATATACTTTGCTTAGTTGCATAATATCGAAGTAGCAACAGTATTCGGGCAACATCAAGCTGTAATAATGATGAAACATGTTTTGGGAATATTTTAATACTTATTGGAAAGAGGTGTCAAAAGATCAGGAGTTCAATGATAGGAGTTCCATTGTATTTAATTATCGTCAAATATTCTTCTCAAATACGAGTTTAATTTAATCTTACCTTTTTAAGACTCAAGAGAACCGAGAGTGCATACGTCATATCTTCCGGCAAGTAAGCTTTTGCAACATCGAGTAAAACTAAAATTAGAAAAATGTATCCTTATGAGGTACTTAAAAAAGAAAAATCAGCCACTTATGCACAATTTTGGAAAAAGTTATTTTTTAAAATTGGAACTTAATGGGTTCAAAAAATTATTCCATACCAGAATTTTCTATGGAAGATGCGGATGATTCATTCTTCAATGCATCCTGAATCAATGAAGCTCTTAAAATAGAAGAAGAAATTTCTAACTGTTGATGCAAATCTGGTCCTGCATATCGCTCATAATTGGCCTCAATCTGAAATGAATACAAAATTTATTGGTGATGATGCAACTGTAAAAAATTTCAACTTAAATAAAAATATATAAGCAAGTTCATAAAAAATGATTGAAGTGATAGTTTTTAGAATTAATTTATACTAAATTGCAGGCCAGTAAATTAAATTCTATTAATTAATTAACAGGGAAAGTGAAATAACCTTAGTTTTTAATGCAAATTTACATTTAAAAAAATCCTGTATGACCAGAATATTCTAAAGCAACATTTTTTATTACTAAGTAAAGATGGATTACTAAGCAATACCCATCTTTGTCTTTGTTGTGATGTCAGCTGTCACTTTCCGCCATCATTAACAAATCAATAGTTTGAGTGTTTCAACACTCAAACTCCTAAATTCTATTTTCTGAGTAACTACTATTGTTAATTTTAGGATGTCACTAAATTTTTTGAGGCTTTCTGGTGTTGCTATGGATCGCCATCAAGCCTACCCTTTTGAATCCTCTTTTTCTACTGAGAGGCACGTGATTGCACTTAGAGCCTACAGTATTCTTCAAATGCCCCCTGTCGGGGGGCTGGACAGGGTTAAGCTTTGATCATTAACAAATCAATGACGACAGTCTTTAACTGTAGAACCATGGCACTTCCTCCCAATCCAAAGAGTACATAGGGACTTCAATAACTGATGTTTGCTGATATTCTTCTCTTACCCAATTGTTAGCTTGTCATTCTGTTATACATATTATGTGTTTTATTGTTGGATAATTAAATATAGTTTCAAGTTAAGATTCTTCAATGAGGATACCTCGTTAAAGATGTACACAATATAACAGTCTAAGTATCCAAAGTAGAATTTAAAGCTCAGCAGCAAAACACTTTTTCTTTTGCTTTTCTTTTTTAATTTCGACATCATATACACCAAGAAAATTAAAAATTTTAGAATTCTTAACTTTAACAAACACTATTTAGATAAAAACGAAATATAGCTTCCAAAAGACTTGATTAAAGTGTTCAATTTTAAAGATATTACCATTTCAGTAAAATTTACCTTAGCATCCATGAAATCAAATAATTTAGGCATACAGTATTTGAATTATAACCATAACATCGGTACTTATATAAAAATACAGTTGACAAAAGTAATAACACAAACAAAGAATTTTTTTCTAAAGAAGTTGAATTAAGAAATTAGAGTTATGGAGTTAAACATAGCCGAAACCTAGCCTTTTTAAGATTAGTGCTGATATTAATCAGAAATCATATGAAGTTAGTTACAGATAGTTGCCATGTCATTTCGATATGAAAGAAAGACAATATTTTCTATTTGATTGTCAACTATAAATTTTTGAAAAGTTTTGATTGACTTCTACACTTCTGCTTTTACTTTATAGTTTCTAATATCTTGACAATTTATTTTAAGTAAGTCCACCATCTGATAGGTAAGTAGATATTTTTATTTATGTCGCACTAGGGCTGCACAATGGGTTATTGGCGACGGTCTGAAAAAAATTCCTGAGGATGATCCAAAGACATGCCATCACAATTTTGATCCTCTGTGGAGGGGATGGCTCCTCTGCTTTGGTAGCCTGACGACCTGTGCTGGAAGTCGAGCACTTTACAATAGAATATTCTAACAAGCACTGATACCGCACACCCTCAGTTCCTACGTAGGCTGATTAAAGTGGTCACTTACCCCCTTACTGACCGCAGTCAGTGATGCTAGACTTCGGTGTTCTACTGAAAACTATGTCTTCACGGTCAGCCCACTGTAGGACTCCACCATCTGATAGTAAATAGTTAATTTACCCTTTAAAATTATTTACCCTGTTTTACATTAAATTATATGTACTTTTGGAACTTAAAGGCTAATTTATTATTAAGACAAAAATATAAGGAAATTTAATTAAGCATCTCAGGAAAAAAGAAAACTTAAGAACCTGGTTCTGTCCAACCTTCTCCTACTTATAGTAAATAAATAAAATTGATTCATGTAAATTATTAGAATAACAAAAGCTATGATATTTGTATTGAGAACGATTGATGAATCAATAAATGCACAGTACTGTACTGGATGCAAAATCTAGCAAAACTTGCGATTGATAGAAATTATTTTCTGGCACAATGAAAAGTAAGATTTATATACACAAGGAGTTTCATGAAAATAAAATTCTGCAACATTCAAGTTATGCCGAAGGCTTGAAAACTGTAACCCCTGGCATATAAATATTTAATCTGAATACAGATGAAGGAACTTCTCTAATTTTGAAAAAAATTTTGAAGATGCTAGATGGAGGAAATACTAAAAATGAGGGGGAAATATATTTGACAAGATCTGAATGTTAATAAATCAAACTACATAATTAAAATTTATAAAACAATGCTATCTGAAGATTTTTAATTAAAAAAAGTTGACCTCAACAGCTGCTAGATCATCAAACTTGAATCCATCAGCTGCATTTGAACATAAACATTATTGCATAATTAAACATTACAAAAGAAAGAACGTATGTTGAAAGTTATTCTCTTCCCAAGAAAACTTAATACATATGATAATTGACACTTCTTTGTAAATAATATTGCACTACATGTACTCAATCGATGCTTATTTATGCTTCTGATACAATTTCATTCCAATGATTATTCTGCCATGATTCTGATTTATGCTAGAAATAAAAGTTTTGAGGAGGTATAATGTCATATATTACAATTTTCGTTCGGGCATGTATTAGAGATTAAATTGCCCATAATAAAATGTAAAAATTTTATGACTTTTTGAGCGCTTCAACAGTTTTATGTAAATTCCATATTACATTTGGATTCTTGTAAATCAGGATTCTTAATAAATACGCTTTATTAGGCTATAAATTTTTAAGTATGTATTTACAACTGATAAAATAATTTTTATATTTAATATGGAGGATACGTTGTTCTTTTAATACTTACCAAACTAATGTGTGAGTTCTCAATAAGACCACTGTAAAAAGCACAAACACCTTGCTTTGTAAGAGCAGCATTGCCATCTTCCTTAACATCAGGTGAACTACCCCATAATAGACCAGGTGGTTGAACCCAGCTAAAATTAATAATTAAAAAAAATCTCGATGAATCAGCGTGACGATTTAAACGGATAAAGAAAAAATTATGAGATGAAGATGGCCTCTTTTAAAACTATAACAAATAAAATATTTTAAAAAATATATTAAAAAAAATATCAACAAAAAAAAACAAAAAAATATCAAAAAAGAAAACAAAATAAAAAATACATTGTACTTATGTTTCTTTTTTTAATATTTCAATAAGCCAAATACAGAAAAAATTTTGAAATGGAACTGCTTTACAATTTTTGGCATTTATAATAATATTAACTATGAGCACTTGCTTAAAAATATATGAGTTACAAACTTATCAATCATTGTAGCAATTTTTTTAATTAGTGTTTCTTTATAAAACTTAATATTAGAAATAAATAAATCTAAATAATGTGGGTTTGGTATTGAAAATCATACAACTAAGAATCATGTTTTGAAATATTATGTTATTACATAACAAATTAGTTGGATCAGTTTTTTTCTTAAACAATTTATTTCCTCACATAAATTATTAAGAAAACAATTTGCATGAGCTTGAAACCTATTTTTAAGTCCTTGTTGATAAACATTAATACAATGCAACTTTTTAACATGCTGCACGATTATTAAAATAATGTTTATTAAAAATGAATAATAAATAGTCGGTAAAGAAACTTGTGAGAAAAGTCTTTGAAAAATATTTTGGTTTAAAAAAGCATCAAGAAAAATTAACAAGAAGAAAAAGAAATGGATTAACAAATCTCTCTCAACTAAATCGAAATTTAATGCTGTTTCAAATTTCAGCAGTAAATTTATTCTCAAAGATTTTGATGATAAAATTATACAAATAAAGGTCAAATAATATTTGGCTTTAAAAGAAAAATTCGTTCAAAATTTATGTTATGATTTGGAGATGTTATTTCAAATATTAAGATGGCCATAAGACCACAATAAAATACTTGGCTTTGTCTAAAAATTTAAAAGAAATTTTGACTATAAAAATTTACCTATTAAAAAATTAATTAAAATTTAAAAAAAAAAGTTTTGTTTTGAAGAATAAAAATTAATCAATTGTATCTAATATTTCCATACATGGACTGATAAACATGTAGACATGTACAGATATCCATCATAGCCCAATGCAGATTAGTGTCTTCAAACAAAGAGTCCTAGTTTGATAACAAAAATCATATTTTGAGTGCTGTTTGCTGTGCTAAATAATCCGGACCACCTAAGTTTCTCTTTTCCCATAACATCTAGCGCTCTCTGACACAACAGACAAAGTCAAGAACTGATACTCTCCACTAGAGGTGAAGACAATTGTACTGTAGGCAACTTCTTCATTTGTTGTGCTTGTAATGTGTGGATTAATCTTCAAGCATTAAAGTTCTTTACCCTAAACTTTTGCCGAACCCTTAATTTACGCAATTTGGTTAGAGACCAACTATTATAAAACCAATTCAAACATTTCAATATGATCGTCAATTTTATATTGAAGTATACATTCTTTGTCGTAAATTTTTGAGTGTAAACATAATGTCTACTGGCCAAACAGATATCACATTTTAAATAGTGCATCATACAAGTAACCATATAAAATAAATTTATGAAAAATGGTAAATATCTTTAAAATATAAACTAAATGAATCGTTTATCACACTGAATATGAGGAAAGACCATATGTTTGTAAAGAACAAAAACTTACCACAATTTGTTTGAAGAAAAAGCACCCTCCACAGAATTAAAAAGCAGCGAAAGAAGTAAAGATGGTTGTGATAAGAATCTTAAGAGGAATTAAGCAGTTGTGAAATTTATTTACTTTTTTACAGTGATAGTAAAAAGAAGAAAAAGTATGAGAGGTTATAGATAAGCTTGAAGAATAATAAAAAAAATGAAAATGCAAATTTAAACTATAACTAATGCCTTATGACATGCAGGAAAAAATTTATATTATAAGAAAAGAAAAAAAGAACACGGATTCGTGAGAAAGTCTTGTTTAAACGAAAAACATTAACTAGGGTGCGAAAAAAGTTTTCCCTGTATATTAGGCGTAACTAAAATCCACAGTGTTAATGTATTGTTTTTAAAATAACAATACTCCCTTAGTTCTAATCACTGGATAAAACAAAGGGCAGTAACAATTCAACAATATTTGATACAAATATACTACGGTAAAAGAATAAAATACACTATGGTAAAAGAATATTATGGAAAAGAATAAAAATATCATGGTAAAAGAATATTTATTGTATTATCGGAAAATTAATACATTATAATATCTAGAATAGAGCAAGGCCTGAAAAATGCACAACACAAATTAAGAGAATGAAAATATTTATAACTTAACAACTCTAGACTACTAAAAAAAATTAAAAACTCTGGTGCAATAAAATACAGAGCAACAATATTGCTCATACTACAATGCACCATGGATTACATGTAATCCACAAGTGCACAGATCTAATATTTGACAATCATTTTCAGACAAAAGTTCTTCTTTTACATGTTTAAGAAATTTTAAATTGACATTCAGTCCTTTCATGCTAATTTACAAAAATAACTGCAAGTCTAATTCAAACACAACTTTCTAAAAATTTTGCAAAACATTTTTGAGCAGAAGCACGCCTTAAAAATACTGCATTAAAATATTTTGTAAAAACTCTATTAGTTGAATCACATTAATACCTTACAACAAGATCCATTTGACATTTTCATGAATTATGATTTAAGGCTTCATCAAAACATACTAAAATTTTTTTATTAATTAATGATTTTTGAAGTCTTAAAAACTCTAGCTAACCCATAACAAATTAGGCAAGACACCAACATACCCTTTCTTGCAATATGAGTATCTGTAAGCATCTGTGAAAATATTTCTCTAATAGCTCATTTTTACAACAAAATAACTTCAAATTAACACACTGGTGTGTTGGAAAAGATTGAATATTGCAATTCCTGTTTCTTGCTACAGAAAATTCATTTTAGTTCTGTCACCCGAACATACATTGAGAAATTTCATGCACCTTATGAGGAGGTGTATTGGAATACAGATGCATGCGCAATGTCATCCTTAGGGAGAAAGTAAAACACAAAAAGAGGTACTACCTAGAAGAGAGGGAAGGGAGAACGGTGAACAGAAAGGAGAAAACGAAATGAATGATTGATGAGCTTCCGTAGTTGGACGGCTGACGTATCTACTTTTGTAATGCGAACTATGATTACACTCTTTATTTTTGCCAATATTTAAAGACATTGGTTTTTTTTTTCAAAAAGAAAAATTCCTGGCATTTTCCCAGTATTTTATAACATTTTAATTCCCTGTATTTTCCCGGTGCTGTGGCAACTCGATTAATATGCAAATTTAAACCTCAGTAGTGCCCTAATTATAGAAAAATTATTTACTAAGAAAAACACATATAAGAGAAAAAATTATTTGCAACTATAAAAAAGCAGTTATGAAAACATATTACTTTCAATACTGAAATTTGTAATAATTTTATAAGAATGACTAAAGAAGAAAGAATGTTATTTCTCATAATTGAATCATTTGCAGAAAATATATATTAACCTATTTATATCCCAAGTTTTATCATTTTTCTGTCAGAATCTATAGAATTGTTCTTTTTTTTTTCCTTTATAACAATTTTTTTAATCTATTGTAACAAGAAAATTGTATTAAAAGAGGCCATCACCAAAATAATAAAAATGAATGCAAAATTAGATCGAATATTTCAAACAACAAAATATATCATAAACAAGAAAAACAAATTTAAACAACACATTTAAATTTTGAATTAACAAAAGTGATTATGCAACAAATAGTCTTAAAGGATAAAATAAACAAACTGTAAAGTTTAGAATGTCATATAAGGTTCGTGATGAAGTTTTTAAAGTGTTGAGAAAAAATGCAAATCAGTGAAGAGTAAGAGTGGAAATAAACATAAATGTTTGCCGTTTTTTACTAACATTGCCGGTCTGCAATGATTCTATTCATATTGACTGCTAGTCAGATCAGTGCTATTTGTCATAACATAACACCAATAAGCAAAAATAGTGCCAAATGTCAGATTGCCTACTTTACTAGTATGGTGGTCATTTTTCGGATGATATTATGTTCCAAAAATGTGCCTTGCACCACTTTCGTCGTTTGGGCCTTGTGAGCTGGTGGGGAGTCTCGTTGAAAAGTTCCATAAGTGAATTGAAACAGTTTAAATATTAAAGTAACTTAATTAACTATCACATGTATAAATTTTAATTTTAAGACCTTTTTCGTTCTAATTATAGATATACTGGTTTACAGAATGTTTTCAGACTAAATATGATTTTAAAAAGTGGTGGGCACAGCATTAATATAAATATGACTTAGATAGTAAAACTTACTGAAGAAACTTTAATTTTGTTAGCATAACATTAGATAAAAAGTAATATGTATGCCCTGGTGGCTCTGGGGAGAGGGCATTTGCCTTCTAATGAGTTGACCAAGGTTTGAATCAAAGCTGTGGCTGGTTGATCTGAATTCTGTTCCTGGCTCGCACCACAGTGTTGACTTAAATTATACTGCATGGTAGATCATGGATTATGAATCCCCTGGCGGTCAGGCTAATCTTGGGAGCTTTTCCTCTCCATGTAACGCAAATGCGGGTTAGTTACATTAAAAAGTTCACCACAAAAACTAGCTTGACCTGATGCTTGATCCAGGAGTTTCCTTGTTTCCTGGATTGGGTTCAAAGTTACAAGGCTACGGAGTTGAACATTGTCAGTCATAAACTCAGAATTGGGTTGGCTTTTCAAAAACAGTTATAAAATAAATAAAAAAAGTAATGTGTGAATGAACCCTTAAGAAGCCAAATTGTCAATGTCTGACCTCAATTGTTACGAATTTATAGACTTAAAGTTGGATTTTATAATTATTAAAAAGCATAAAATAGGACATTTTTCAAAAATTTTAATAATACCAGAAAATATAGGAAAATAATAAAATATCAGAAAGTTCCTGTATCCAAAGATCTCATGCAGGGTTATCACACAATTTCAGAACAAAAAATTTCCTGACTTTTCCAGGTATATCAGGTAAATTTCAATGAAAATCTGAGCCATATTTAATCTTTTCCATGCAATTTTTAATCATAAAACTTTGATTATTTTTTACTTGTAATGCCAAATATTAGATTTTGTGAGCAGAAACATATAATAGAATGAGAATGGAGTCATGGAAAAGTTTCACTAAAAAGTGGAATTTTATAAAATAATTGTATTAGATGTTTAAATTATTTAACTCCAATCACAATAACTTATTACTGTTACTGACAATTCTAAGACTGGTTCTTTTCCAGGTATGATAAAGAAGTTTTCCAGGTTTTTCGTAAAAAATTGCAACTTTCTTTGACTATTCCCTGCTTTTTAGAGTTAAAATTGAATTCCTTGACCCGTGGGAGCCTTGTCATGAAATATTAATTGGATTACTCAATAATTTTCTTAAAATGAATAAATATGTGAATGAAAAAAATAAATAAATGAGAATAATATATTTTAATTGAATAAAAAGGTGACTTTACTTGACAGCATCTTTCCAGAATTGAGCACTTTTAACTGAAGTCAAAACAACTTTAGCAGCAGTGTGAGTTGTAGAATGAAGCACTTTAAGAGTCCTTCCACTTTGTTTTAGTATTGTATTTACTGCTTTACTATCTTCATCTGTCTGTCTTACCTCCTAAGAACAATAAAAAATTGAAATTAAGTGAATGACAAGCATTTGTAACAGGTCTATATTCATTTTTATTTTAAAATTTGAATGACAAAGTAAAAGTATTATATTTTGTGAATAAATAAAATTGCAACCTTTGTATTCTTTCAAGTAATTTGGTTCCACACACTAATTCAGCGTTTTCTAAATGATGTTCCGTGGAAATCTAGGGTTCCATAGAAGAGTTAAAGAGGTTCCGCGAGTTATAACAAGTGATGATATTTTAAACCTTTGATATTTAGACTAAACCTGTAATTCATAAATTATTTAATTTTTCGGTTACCTTTAATAAATTATTTTAAGTGAAATGCCAATGAGATAGAAATGCCATTTTGAAAAATAAAATATAATTTGAAGTTATGCATAAATAAAATAACTAAATTCTATAATAAAAAAATATGTTTCTTTAAAACTATTTTTGATGTCTATAACCATTCTTTTTAGTTTTCATTTTCAAATAAACCATAATTTAGACTTTTTTAATTCATCTCTGGCTTATTTTGTCTATATTCACTACTTGACTTAACTAAAAATGTAAGCATAAAGGACTGAAAATTTAAGTGTCAGACATAAAACAGCATTTAAGATTATTAATGACAAATGAAAAATCTTCATTTTGTTAAATAAATATTTCAAAAATAAAGTAGTCTCTTATCAATTATCAATCAATGCATTCACAATTGCTGTACTAAACTTTAATAATAAAGTCAGGGCTCCTATGAAAGAAGGTTGATTATTTAAAGTTCTATGGTCAAACAAATTTGGGAACTACTACACTAACTTACCCCATCTTCAGAATCTGCAGAAGGAAAATGTGCTGGCAGATCTCCAACAAGAAATTTAACTCTTTCCTGCAAAACCTGGAAAGGAATTACACGGCATGAATACTCAACTTAAGTTCTCAACTAATGAACTGCATGAAGCCAATAGCATGATTACAAACAATTTATTACTCAAATTATAAAAATAAAGAATCCCCAAACAATTCAGGAATTAAAGAAAATTGATCAGAATACAGAAACAGAATAATATGGTTTAAAAACCATTTCAGAAGCTTGAAATGGAAAGATTATAAGAAAATTAAAAAAGATATTTCAATAGATACAACATAAGATACAAATTTAAGAATGCTGTTCTTTTAATAAACATAAATTTAATTTTCTTTAATATCATATTCATCTTAACTGAGACAGAATTCTTTGCGATGGCTGCACATTAAAGTAAATAATATTTAGTTAAAAAGAAATCATTCTTTGGAAAAGTCGTTATAGGATGGTAAAATTTTCAGAATTGTAATTGCTTCAAACCATAGTTATGAAGAATTCAAGAAGCTTTGTAAGAATGTTATGAAAGAGAATCAGGTTATAGCAGCCACAGCAGTTGCCATATACCGGAGAAACAAATTTTAAAAAGTTGTTTTTTCAATGTGTTGTTCAAGGAAGGTAGCGCAAAGAGGTGAGATTTTACTCAGAGCTACAATGCTTAGAGCGTTACATAGAATAACAATCAAAATAAGCAAGTTTAAGTTTTTCGTTCATCAAGGGGAAAAAAACTCACCTGTAATTCCAATTCTGACTTAGTTTTTAATATGGTTTCAATCAAATCTTCTGCACAGTAAGCAAGAGCAAAAGACATAAGAGACTTTCTGAAATTAATAAATGTATTGAAAAAAGAAGAAACCTTGAATGTACAATTAATTACTTAATTTCTATTTTTAAAAATAAAATAAATAAACACATCTAAAATGATTTTGTTAACTATTTTTCGAAATGCAAAGAGAAGAATGCTGAAATTGTAAGACGCATTTAATTAGAAAATAATAAATCTAAATTTCAATGGAAATAAAATTTTTAAAGTTAAAAATTATGGTGATTAGCTATCTTAAGAAACTTGACAGCAGGGTGGGGCAAAAATATTGCCCATTGCTATAATTAACATGTTTGCTGCCAATTTCCTGCCAACACATATGCTACTCTAGTGATTATCACATGCATGCCTGAAATTGGCAGCAAACACATTAAGAAATATGCAAAATCTTATAGCTTTGAATTTGCTGCTTCAATGGACAAAAAATTATGAAAATCAGGCTAAAAATAATTAAAATTGAGAAAATCATTTAAAAAAATCACACAGCTTGTAGTAGTGCTTATTGGTTACCATTTCTTGACAAGAATATTTATGCATTATTTAAGAATTATATAGTTCTAATCAGGGCTCGAAAAACAGCCCGTCCGCGGTGGTCAAAAATTCCCCCAGGACAACAGATTTCTCGAATGCGACGTCCACGCGGACGGCCATTTTCCTGTTAATTGACATTCCAGATAACTTGCCTTTGTCATTTAAATTATTTCGTAAAAGAAATAAATTATTTCATAAACGAAATACTAAGTTACTATTAGTAGCCTAGTATTTCTTTTATTACTGTATAATGTAATTCTAGTATTTGTAATCCTAGTAACTACTAATTCATTGTGCAATTTATATAAATGTTTGTAATAAATAAGAGAAAATTATATTTTTATTTATTTAGAAGCGACGGGTTAGTTTCAAAGGAGGACGGGTACATTGTTGGACAAGCCGTCCTCAGGGACAGGTAAAATTTCTGAGTTTTTTCGAGCCCTGGTTCAAATATTTTCTGTTGTTTCAATGGCATCAAAATTTAGATTGGACCATCAAGGCTTCAAAAAACATTAATTTATAATTAGTAAGCTTTGTACAGATATTTCTGTCAAGAAATGGCAACTTTTTAGCACAACTGATTTTTTAATTTAAAACCTTTTTAGTCAAATTTGTACACCTTTTAGCGTTTTGAGATGGCCGGAGATATAAATTTCACAGTAATGAGATTTTGTATACTTCTCAATGAGGAACGATGGTTCATTGGTTTAAGACACTGAGCTGTCAATTAAAAAGACTGGGTTTGATCCTCAGTTGTGGTTTGAAGTGCATCCAGCATCCTTAGATCAATGGGTACCAGCTTGCCTGGGTAGTAAAGGCGGCTTGTGCGCCATGCTGACTACATTACCACAATCAGGCTGTTGGTCTTGAAATTGCTTTGCATCAACCTCTATGACCCCCTGGTCTCAAAGTAGACTGTTGCAGAAATACTTATACTAATCAATCATTGCAGTTGGAATTTTTTTCCACAGTACAACTAAAGATTTAAGACATCTCTACTATTTCAGTCCCCTCTACAGAAAAGGTGTACCATATATTACTTACTTAAAGAAATAAACAATACTTTAAGTTCATGAGGTTAGTTCTGTAACACAGAGCTAGAAAAATATGCCTTGAAATTCTTCAACTTTCATGTTCAGTTCATCAGCACATATTAGATTTGTCTCAGTGTTTAAAGCACTGTTCTATAATTGAAAAGTACAGATTTTTATCCCCTGTGGTGGCTTGAAGTCTTGCCAGCTTTCAAGCGATGGATCACGGATTGCAAGGGAACTAAAGACGGTTGATACATAATGCTGACAACATTGTCTATCAAGTCCTTGGTTTTAAAATGTTGAAGCCTTAACCACCATGACACTACTGGCTGACAAACAAGTATTTTAATATGTGTGTTTGCCTCACAAATAAAAAAACTTAGACAGCATGGGCTGAACCAATCAACTTTTCTCATATGAATTTTCATTGCAAAAAATACAATTTGAATGTAACTATTTTCCATTACAAATAAAAGTTTTAACATAAAAAAATTTATATAATTTTACTCCCAATCATTTAAGCCAATTCAACTTTTTTAATTCTTGTGAATGGCTTTAAAATTTTTTAGCAAGTTTTACAGGTTTCTTGTCATATAATTTAACACATTTAATGACTTTTTTTAAAAGCTATTCAAGTGATTGAAAATCAACCTATAAAACACGCTAAAGATAACAAAGATTGAAAGCATGCATATCTGTCATAAAGTTTTTGTTTTCACATAATTTACACATAATTTTAACATTATTGATTTACAATGAAATACTTTGTTTCAACAATCTCTTTATGGCGACAATATTTTTACCACATTTTAAATAATTTGAAAAATGCAATATTTAAAAGGATGAAATAATTGCTTTAGCACGTTTTATTTATAATATATGATATAAAAAAATCTTAGATAGGAGTTACCTTGCTGAAACATCATCAAATTCATTACATTGGCCTAAAGTATAGCAAACCAGCCAGCCCTCTTCATAACCACCTTCCATAATTCTCTTACATGAAGAATAGCATTCTTTATAATCCTTAACCTGCAAAGTTTGCTTTGTTACAAATCATTAGCAAAACATGTCCATAGCTGCCAACATGGATAGGAAAAAAATCCAGTAGATTTTACAAGATAACATAAATTTCGTGATAATTGTTGCATAATGTACTAAATATTTCATGCATAGGGAATTTTAGGGATTTTTATAGTCATCAAAACAGAAAAACTGTGATATTTTCCAGTTAGGATGGACATTAGATGAACTTATTTATTATATTTATTGTTAATTTTGAATAGTAACAGGCATTTAATTCATCAAAGACAGTTAAAATATTTTTAAATTTATTTAGTTCTGAATAAAAATAAATGGAACATTTTAGGACAGAAAAGTTTTAAACTAATTTTTATAAATGAGGCCAGCTTATTATATATAATACTTATTTTGATATTCAAGCAAGCAATAATTTGTGCGAAAATCCTATTTCATTAGGACTTCTTTAAACTTACTCAATTTTAGAGAATTTTATTTTCTGAAATGTACAAAAACCAGGAGAATTTTTATCAATAAACCAGCAGAGACTGGAAAAATCTAGTAGTCTACTGGAAAATCCAGTAGAGTTGGCAACTAACTATGCATGTTATTTTCTTAAGAAATTTAATGACAATTTCAGATACACAAGATAAATATGCACAAAAAAAATAGATTTATTAGAAAGTTTCCTGAGTTGAATAACTAATCATAAAAGTATTTATTATATAAAGACGTATTCAACATCTAAAGCACCAGACAGTAATACAACAGTAACAGTCATCTGAAAAATATTCAGGATACGATCTAATCCACCTAATCAAACATATTTATAAAATTGTTTAAAATTTATTTTTTAATTTAAAAGTTATTTCTTATAATAAAAGTTTGCTTAGAAGTTATTGTAAGGAATTTGTAAATGTTTTTACGACTTTGTAAATATTCCAAATGAATCAGTTTGATAAGAAAAATTGCAAGTAAATCTCGTCATTCAGAGAAGAAATAATGCCTAAAGAATATTCTCAGGACGGCTCAGCTTAGTGACATTTTTACCAATTTGGCATCAATCTTGGCACTTGAAGACTATTTTTGCAACAAAATCATAATTCTGGAACTACCAGTTTAAAAAAAAAAAGGATCAATACTTACGGAGTTTTGGGATAATCGTCTCTGATTGATCTCATGAAACCTACATAAAGAGGGTGTCTCATTGTAGAGGAAATAGTCTGTTTGTGACTACAGTAATGGTTTAACCTGAATTAACTCATTGACCTAAAGGAGGTTTTAAATACTATGTATTGCTGCCATTGCGATGTTATTTGAGCTGTATTTGATTTCAGTAAATAGCAATATTTATTTAAAGTTTCTAGTAGTAAAGGTTTGAAGTCTTTTTCCACTTATTTCTAATCCAAATGAATCCCTGTGCTTGGAACATTAACTCAATGACTATTAGAACAATATTTTTTACATTGTTGCAATGTTTTTCAGCTAAGTTTGTAATGCCTGATAACTATCCACTGCCGTAGTGCAAATTAGTAACAAAAAATAAGCACCTTTTAAGCACTTTTCAAGCACTTAAAAAATATTTTTAAGCACTGTAAAAAATATCATAATTAAGCAGGGTTGGAAAGCTTTCGACAATTGACAGTTTTATCTTGTTTTAACCGTCATGTCGGGGGAAAAAACATTTTGGCATTGTTATTGGCAATTGTCAAAAATCATGAAATTTTGAATCATGTAAAGCGAATGGCGTTATCATATGCTACGGACTGACAATACGTCGAAATAGATTGGAGGTTGAATTAATTGTGAAAACGTTGAATAGAACAATGTGAACTTTGTCTTTTGGCATAATTCAAAGCGAAAATCTACATAGTAAAGGAAAAATCCCATTTTGAAAAAGGGAAAATTAAGCACTTTTTAAAAACACCCAATGAAAAAAGCTCCTCTAAGGGCTTTTAAAAAACGAAAATTCAAAATAAGCACCCTTAAGCACTTTTTTGAAACGCTACGCACTCTGACTGCTTAAATCTAGTTTTCAGATAGTATTCTCTGGCCTGCAAAATCTCTGCCTCCCCTATTTATCTCCTTTAAATTTTTAAAAGTGGCTCAGATTACTGAAGTGTGGGTAATTTGATAATTGGCAGCTAATTCTACTCTAAATTGGATAACTTTCAACCACTAACTTGAAAAGCATGATCTCCAAGTAATGTCCACACCTTTCCCTCCCTTTCATGATTGTTGGAGGTTCCTGCCCTTAGTAGAAAAGCAAGTTTCATAATCTAGGCAAAAATAAAAAAAATAGTTAACTAAAATATAAAAAAACAAGCATAATCATTATTTTTTCTATTGCATAAAACAAATCAACTGATTACACTTTGTAACAGATAATATTATTTTAAGTATAATTGTAATTTAAGAAATTATGTTTTCATAACAAATGTATCTTCTTAGCTTCTAAATAAATGCGACTTAAGTGGATTCCTGTCTCTATAATATAAGTTTTGAAATTAATACAAGATACATAATCCGTGAGGCACTATTACAAATTGTAGATTTTAAAAATATTTTTATATTCGGTAAATAGGAAAGCAAATTGCTCATTTGCTTGTTTGACTAGAATATTTTAAGAGGTTAAAATGAAATTTTTTAAAATTATTTTAATCAGCGAAAACTGAGGGCGAATGTAAATTGTATCAATAACTCTCCTGTAGATATAGACAACAGCATTATCAAAGATAAGACAGATTTTTTTAAAAATCTTTTTATTAATTGTATTATTTTTGTTTCAGCCTATGATTATACATGCAAAAAAAATTGTAAAAATAAAAACCTTTAGTTAACTTTTATTTCACTGAAAATGAAATGACAGTTTTTAAAAAGGATATTTTAAATTTTCTAAAAAAAGCAGTTAATATTACAAAATACATTATAATATATATTGGAGTATAAATCAGCTTTTCAAACTCTCAAAATTTTACAAAAATTAGGGGTTGGCCTATACACCTGTAATAAAGTCAGAAATGGTCATGAATTATAGAAGCTTTATGAACAATGAGATAAATATGAATAGCTCTCTCTGATTTTACCTGTTTCAAAAAAATGTATTGTCTTTCATCATTTTTTCTTTACATATAAAGGATTTCTTTTAAAAAAAATCAAGAATAAGAAAATTTAAGATTATTTATTCAAGAGTATTTCAGAACATCATCTGTGTTGGATTCCAAAACATTATTCATCTTTATTTAAAGGCAAATGTATCATATCTAGAGATATAATACACTGTTACTATGTGATATATTTTTAACTTGAAAAAGTTTTGCGCTTTAATTTTAAAAAATTCAGATTTGTTTTTTAAGTGATTGACTTATACAACCGACATACCAGAAATGTACTATTTTGTAATCAAAAATAGTGAGTCAATACATTGAGATATACGGTAAATGTATATAGCAATATCCATGCAAGTTTAAATGAATTAATATCAGACCAGTAACGCCCTTAAATTAAGAACATACTTTTAATAAACTATCATCTAGTTATCAATTTCAATAGAATCATTAAATTCTTTTAGTTTAAGTAACAAAATATACCTTTGCCGACTTTTTATAATTCTTAGCTTTCTTTTGCAAAGCCTCTTGAACAATGGTCATTCTATTTTCACATAACCTGACTATAAAAAAATAGACATTAAAAAATTTATCATAGAATAAAACATGGCTACATCAACTATAGTATTATAACTATTTATATTTTTAATCAATCAATATAACTCCATATTAAATAAATAGACTTTTTTTCATTATCATCGGAAGAGGTTTGTTTTTGTGGGGTCTTTTAAAATTTCTTTTTTATTATTACAAAAATTTGACATGAGTTTTGGCTAATGCTCATGAGTTTTATTTACTTAGCCATCATTAGTGTTGTGGCAAACTGTGTATATGTCCGTGGCTCCATATTTTTAGGAGGATCCCACACTTTTATAAAGAAATGTTTGTACAAATCTAGATTTTGTTTGCAAATTTAATGGACATATTTCTTAGAACCACTCAAAAGTAAAAACTATTCATAGAAATTAAAACCATAATATTAGAAAATAAAATGTTAAAACATTTTTAGCAGATCGTTCAAGAGGGATCCGTAAAACAGAATTTCATATTTCTAATTTATTGGTTATGTTCTTGAGTATTAAAGAATATTTATCTTTATAAAATATATTTGAAAATGAAATAACAGAAAAAAAACATGCAAGGTTGATTATTTTTAAAGAATAAAAGTTTTTTTCCAAAAAAACCTTAGATGAATAATGAAATTTACATACAAAATTTAGTTACAAATATATTGAGGTAAAAGGGACCCTGCAAAAATACAAAATTAAAAAGAGGCTCAGAAAAATACTTTGCTCAAAGCCTCACATAGAAATGAAACTGATTTACAATATGGTTTGAAAAATGTTAATTATTTTGATTGTACTGGTTTGATTAAGCATCTAAATGATTTTAAATCATTTTTTTTTCTAGAATGATATGAATCACATTATTGGTTTTGCAAGCATGTATTTAATTAAGGGAAAATAAATGAATTTATTAATAATAAAGGCACTCTAATCATTTCAAGATCTACATGCATAGTGAATCAGAAAAGGAAAATAACATTTTTGGTTCTAGGAGTATGTATTTAAGCAAAAATCAGCAAACTCATTAAGAACCAAGCACTGTTATCATTTCAAGAGAGTTTAATCAATCTGAAAAAGTATATAAATTAAAATTTACAATTACAGTTTCAGGTTCAGATATGTTAATGAGATATGCAGTCTTAAATGTAGATATAGTATTTCACTGAAAATCATCCCACTAAATGAAATAATGATTAAAAGGTAATTTTCATCAGAAAATATGATCACATGATTTTTGATGCAAGTTATTATAAAAAAGGAAAATATTTTATCTTTTGCAAAGTATGATTTCAATGGTATAAATAGCAATAAAAATGAAGGCAAGACAATATTATTTGCATACCTTGCAAGGGTAAAATAACTACACCCAACTCTTGCAGCAAAGAAAGTGAAGATATCAGATCAAATTCTTCTTCTATGCTAGATGGTACATCCTCAATTAAGTTCAAACAAGATCTGCAATTTTGTGATATTAGTTATAACATAATGCATATCAAAAGAGTTATATTTAAGAAAATTGAAAACCAATTTACAAACATTATTATTTTTTGTTTACTTTATTTTTACAAAATATTATGCTTTATTTTAAAAATATATTCTGCATTTATTCAAATTCAAAATATTTTTCTTATTTTTTAATGAAAATTTACAAAATATGAGACACAGAAAATTGCATACATATTTATTTCATTAAATTTAAGTTGCTAACTTGCATATTTATGTTTGAGGATACATTGAAAGCAATTAAGATTAATATCATGTGTGTAGCAGATTTTTATTACATTCATTATAAAAACTGTGAATCCAATAATTTCCATTATACTACAAAAAAATTTGCAATGAGAAAATTTTTGAGAGTTTTTTCCCCTTTCAATAACAAAAGTTGTATGATTTTTTTTAGTTTGTACACGTTTCTGAAAAGTAACTTCCTGAACATATGTTGTATTAATACAGAGCGAAAAAAATTTATGTTAACCGTTGGCAACCAAATATTCAGGGCTACCAATTAAGTAAATAAAGTTTGACTCGAGAATTACAGAGTTTGAGAGTTACTGAGTTTGATATTAGAGTTGCAAATCAAAGATGATATTTCTGATATTTTTCTTATTTTAAAGACTCTTAATGATATATGGATAATATTGAAACCATTGAGATCTTACGGAAATCTCAATACAAGTGAAAGTTATTACTTTGCAATAATTCTAAGGTATAAGATATTGTATACATCTCAATGATAATGTCATTTTCCCACACTATTCCCAAAAGATTGAGAACACTTTGACTTTCACAGCTGATCCTACTATCTACATTTCGATTGCTCATACAATTAATCTTAAATATCACTCACTTTGCCAAAGACATGCAGGAGTCTGAAGCATCAGCAGCAGAATTGAAATATTCTTGAGAAGCCACAAGGACAAGTTCCACTGACTTCACAAAAGGTAGTTTAAATGAAGCAGGTCCAATGAAATTTTTCTCTCTCTTTTTCTTGTTGTTGCACTCCATCATTTTTCCAGCAAAAGTTATATTTTCATTCTTACCAGAGCAAAGAAGAGAGTGCAACACAATCTGAAAATAATTATTGCTTTAATTAATGATGATATGAGGAAAAAAGGTATGCTTTGCTGAGGCTATTTTTTAGAGGGATTTGTGGGACAATTGGAAGCAAACATTTAAAACCTATATTCTATAGATGTGTGAATCAACTTATAAAACTTATTTACTTTAGCAACCTTTAAATAAATAAAAAAAGTTTAGGAGACTTCACATTATATTTATTTATAGTATATATTTACAGTATTATTTATAGTATTATTTATTTATCTAGTATATATAATATTAGGTTAACAATTAAGTTTTTGCTGCTTCTTTTTTAAATTTTTTTTTACTTTACTTATATTATTAAATGCTTTTAGCACCATGTTATAGATCATTTGAAGGTGGAATTTTTATTCTAAAAGAATCTATCTATTTCAACTTGAACAACAATATATATATATATATATTGTTGTTCAAGTTGATGTTTGTTAATTTCCACAACTTTCAAAACTAATTTCCAAACCAATTTCTACAACTTTCTAGCCTATAACAGTAACTGCTAGTAATAAAATCACGGTATAAAAAATCAGCTCTTTTTACAATTTAATAATAATAATGAAAAAAAAAGCAGAATTATTATAATATTAAAATGAAACTTTAGGGGACAATAAGTTCAATAAAAGTTATTTAAAAGTTAATTTAGTTACATATATNTATATATATTTATACGTATATATATATTTATATATATGTATTTATATATAATCTTTTGTTCTACGGCAGACACTGAACATTCATCCTTTACCATGGAAGACACTGGAAGCATTGCTTATTCAACCTTATCCGATGAGCACCTGCGAACCTAAGTCATGGAGGCCAGCAACATTACCCACAATACACTGCCACTAGATATATATATTCAAATCATTCAAAAGCTGTTTATAAAATCGGCAGCTTCTAAAAACTGCAAGTGAGAATCGAATGAATAGAATCAAAAGTCAGTGGGCAGAGTAATTACTGAAAAAATTACAGTAGAGTAGGCTTTATAATGGAGAGAAATTTAAAATGCATTTACTTCATAACAGTCTTCATACGTCACACACTTAAACAAAACTTTGTGCATTTCAAGAATATCAGACAGCAAATTGGTCCATTCCTCTTCATCTAGAACAGGAATCCTTTCAAAGATAAGATAAAAATTGCGTAAAAAACTAAAATACTTGCAAAAAAAAATTAATAAATAAATAAAAGAAATTAAATAAAATTTTAAAAAAGGAGAAAATGACTGCAAATACCTGTGACTAGCCATTCTGGTCAGCTTCACTAAAACCTTTTTCACCTCCAACATGTTGTTAGAAAGGCTCTGAACCATAGACAATGTTACAGCAAAATTATTTTTCTCTAAAATTTCTGCAACTCTAGAAATGATAAAATTGAAAAAAGATTACATGAAGATACATTATAGGGAGTACAATAGAAAGTAAAAAATTAAACATCAATTTTTATACATTATTATTATTCTTCAGTTGTGTATTAAATAATACTTTTATAAATCAATGTGCACATTTAATGATATTGAAAGTTTTGCTAATGCCCAAATCGATTTTTGATAGTAATAAAACAGAATAGGAAATTTTAGTAAATATATAAGAAAAAGATAAGTTTACAGAAATTTTAGGAAGATTGATATACAATATTATGATTTTTGATCGTAATAAAATAGAATAGGAAACTTTAGTAAAGATATTAGAAAACAAAAAATTTACAGAAGTTTCAGAAAAATCAACATGCAACATTATGGATAATTTAATGAGAAAATGAACCCAATTTACAAAACCAAAAAAGAGACAAAGAAGTAAATAAACAATTAAAACATTAAATCAAAAAGCAGCTAAAGCAGCAAAAACCAAATTTGCTTTATTTTAATTTATGTATTCAAACAGACATTAAAGCAGGAAAAAGTAATAAAATAGAATATGTGTGTCTGTAAGACAGCACTTCTTCAGGGGACACCATGTCTACAAACACATAGGAGCTTCTCTGTTGTCTGTGGAAAAACCAAAACTGACAGGGGCACTGAATTTAAATCTGCAAACATACTAATTTACTTTAAGCTATATATAAACCTTTTAATGATTTTTACATAGTTAACTAAATCAATATTTACCGTATGTGTTTCTTCAAATCAGCTACAGTTGATGGTAAGCTACATAACTTGCGATAAGTTCTGAAATAGAAGTTAGGTATCAGAAAAATAATGGTATAGGAGAAGTAAAAACTCAATAAAACATTTAAATATGTAACATCTATTTGAAATGCTAATATATATATAGCAAATTTTCAGTTATTATCTTTATTTTCCCATAAAAATACAGATTTGTTCCTAGAATAATAGATTTCAGTAGTATACAAGCTATTTCTAAAAGAAAAAAAGTTCCTCCCATATTACCTCATATAGGAATGGAGAAAAGGAAAGAAACATTTAAAGAGATCAGAAAATTGACGAAAATGCCAGAAACTTATGAATTCATTACACCACTACATTTTTTGAAACAGAAATACTTGACTATAATACCTTCATTTTTTTTGCAACTATTTTTCCAGAATATTAAATAGACATTTCATACACATTATGTATGAAAGCAATGGGAGGGGGCATAAACAGAAAATTATATACTTGAAAAAAAAAAACTTACATTTCACTTGCTCACAAAATAAAACAATGAAATAAATACGAAAAAAGGTATTGATGATAGAGTTCTTTTAAAAATGATGTAACTTTAAGATACTTACTTGTTGAAGTAATCAGGCAATGTTAAAAGAATTTCATAAATAGCTGCAGCATTTTTCAACTCGTCAGTTCTAGAAAAAAAATAAGGTTGATATAAAATGACACCAGATTTATGCGTACATAATTTTTTTTAAAAAAAACAACAACATTCCAATAGCTTAGTGTCTAATAAGACAAGTAATTCTTATACAAGCTTTAAATAAGCAGGTATTGAACTATTAAATAAATTTAAAAATTAGTTAACAAACATCTATCATCTGTAAATGAGTGAAAAATTATATAATATAAATAAACATCCCTTTATTTTATAAAATTTAGGTTTTGCTATTTAGTAAAAGACACTCCACAGAACCGTCTTTTTTAATGAGCTATGGAAAAAGCTCCGCTGTCTTCTACATTTTGATGCATTTTGAAAACACATTTTTATGCAATCTGCAACTGGCCAATTGCAGCGTTTTAATCAGTGGCCCAGGGCTCGAAAAACAGCCCGTTCTCGGCGGTCAAAAATTCCCCGCGGACAGCGTATTTCTCGAATCCGACGTCCACGCCATTTTCCCGTTAATGTTCATTTAATAATAATTAACGGGGTCCCGTTAATGATACATTTTCAATTTTTGTTATCTTACAAGAGACTTACAAGTTACAAGGCAGCAAAATGACCCACAATACAGCAACATACTGCGCACGTTGGAATTGATGTTTTCTCTGTCAGGGAGTACTCCAGCGGTTGAAAGGGGCTTTTCAGCAATGAACTTACAAAAAAAAAAACACATTACGTACTGGTCTTAAACAAGAAGCGTTAAACGCAATTATGAACATCTACCTAAATGGAAAACCCCATTCAGATTTCAGTGCAGAAATCTCTGTAATTCATTGGCTTAATTGTGGAACTGGCAAACGTCATATTTAATTCATTTAAAAAACGCAGTACCCTCGGATAAATTGACATTTCAGATAACTTGACCTTTGTCATTTAAATTATTTCATAAAAGAAATAAATTATTTCATAAAAGAAATACTAGGCTACTATTAGTAACCTTAGTATTTCTTTTATTACTGTATAATGTAACCCTAGTTTTTGTAATCCTAGCAACTACTAATTCCTTGTGCAATTTATATAAATGTTTGTAATAAATAAGAGAAAATTATATATTTATTCACTTAGAAGCTACGGGTTAGCTTCAAAGGAGGACTGGTACATTGTTGGACAAGTCATCCTCGGGGACGGGTAAAATTTCTGAGTTTTTTCGAGCCCTGCAGTGGCTACTTTTTAAAACACGTGATCACTCCTTAAAAACTCAAAATGTTTAACGATAAAAAGAACTGTTGATATCAGTAGTGTGGTTGGAGAGCTAGGTGCAGTGAGTTTGATCCTGAAGGCAGCCAAAACAACCAACGTATATATGCAGCAAGGTGCAAGTTAAATCTGGCGAGGCTGAAAGTCCTCTCGTTGGATGTCGTGAGGAAGTTTGGTGAAAAGGGTACCAGCTCAGGTGCTGCCCAAGTCATCTGATCAGGTCAAAGTTACATGCTATTCCTGCCATAGCCATTAAGAGATAAAGCCCTGAAAATGGGGCTTGGTGAATGGACAAGGTTGGATGATGGTGATATAATAAAAGGCATTTTGAAGCATTTCTCAAAATATAGTAAATATTACACAATCCATTTTTTAAAATAAATGTTGAGAAACAAGTAAAATATACGTATATAGTAATTTTCAGAAAAATATATTCATAATAATTTCCTATTCAAGAAAAAAGTTCATGGGTTGCAGTTTTGATGAATAAAGTTGCAATCAGCGGACAATTTCTTAATTGTCATTTGTTATATTTTGTTGCTCTGAGGCTGGTAGCAACTGCTATTTTTGTCCTATACTATTTCCTATCGTAACATTCAGGCTGAATCCCATGCTCCTTAAAAATGCCAGGATTCAAATGTAATTTTTTATTTATTAACAAGTAAATTCTTTCAGAAATGAACACTTAATGCATTTCTTTAGAGTGGTGCAATTTATGACGTTACTATTGTCAATGTCGTGACACACTTAATTATGCTATAACTCATTTCAATCCTAAATATACATATTCAACCACTGTGTGTCATGGCGGCAAAGTTTTCACAGTAGCATGTGCAGAGTTGTAAAAAAATAAAAAAAAACTGAAGAAAATAGTAAGTAATCTTCAGAAACTATACCAAAGTTTGCCTCACTAGGCTGTCAGATATTTTTGTAGGCTTCGATTGTAAACATAATACAGTACAGAACCCGTTATCCGGAAATCAGTAAATCGAAAAACCAAAAAACCGGAACGAAATTCGATAAATTTTCCCGCCATTTTTAACAAAAAAAATTTTTTTTTTTCCTCATAAGATTTTAGGATTTTTCCTTCTTTTTTGAAAGATGTTTACCTTACCATCATTTTGGAAACAATCATTAGTGTATTACTTCGTTTTTTCAAGATTATTTCCAAATATTTTTTTTTTAGTTGGGTTTAACAATAAAAAAAACGGCTTTCTGTACCGATTCAGAAAACCGGAAAAATCAGTTATCCGGAATAGCGATGGTCCCGATCGTTCCGGATAATTGGTTCCCTACTATACAACAAAAATATTGCTCAAAATTAATTTATATGCATAAAAAAAATCAATTTTAATAGCACCTTCAAGAACTAATCCTAAATAATCCTATACTCAGTTCAGCTACTGAAGTATATACCCATCTTCAAGGAGTTAAATGATTTCATAAGGAGTTTAAAATGTTTCATTAAATATTTCTAACTTTATTTTAAGGATAAAAAAAACTTGCACCAAACTCATTCCTAAGTAAGGCACAATAAATGGAGCAGAACTGTTTATTTTTAGCACTGCCACATGTCTTAATTTAACACTTAAAATGAAGACATTTCCTTGAAAACTTACAAATATAATATGAATAAAAAATACTTACCTCTCACATGCATAAACACAATCAAGCCCAAGAAAAACCATGTCATCAAATTCGCACAAAATTGAGCATGTCTAAAAAAGTATTAAAAGATAAGAATTTTTAGGTTAAAAAAATTACAAACTCATTAAAAATTACCTTACAGAAAGTTAAAAAAGTATCTTACACTAAAATAAGATAAGAAAGCATTTAAAACTTTGTACGGTAGACTCTCAATTGAACGGGGATGATCAGGGAATGCCATTTCTCTGATAAGGTTACATACAAAATGATGTAATTGTATAAAAATTTAAATTAAAATTTTTAAAAAATAAATCACACAAAATACAAAATTTGTATGCAGTAGGACAATAATAATTTAATTAATTTAAAAAGAAAAGAATACAAATTTGAAAGTAATTTATATTTATTAGTGCAAACATGGATTCAAGCTGAGGAAGAGGTAGCCAATGCAATATGAAAAAAATAATTTTAAAAAAATGAGTATAACTTTTTTATAACAAATTTTAAAGATGTTGAAATCTTTAAATTTTGTTTGGTGAGATACAATTAAAAATCCACTTTGATCGCTTTAAAAAAGTTCCCCTTGAAAAAAAATATTTAAAAAATATGATTGCCAAAACGTGATCCCAGGTTACTTTTTGGCAAAATGATCTTGTCATCGTTTTTTTTCTTGCTTCAACTCTAACCTTTGGGACCTCGTCAATCCGTTTGGGACCCTTTTTATTAGTGATATTCAGCTGAATTAATATTGAAAACGATCCAGTTTGAACTGTAGATTAGAATTTCTGATTCTTAATTAAAACAATAAAAACAAAAATATCGTTCAAATGACGAAATTATCTTTATTCACAACTCAAGAAGTATTTATGGTATCTCACTGGTCCCACATCTCAAAAATAAACTCGCCAACTTGATGCATAACAAAATTAAGAGTGAAAAAAAAAGAAGTTGAAAAACGTGATGACGTCCAAATAAGGTGCACACGTCATCAAACCCAAAACAACACCCATTTTGCCAATGGGTAAAAATAAAAAATGGGTTCTTTATCCTACATTCTTCATCTTTAAGGTCACCCCTAATAACTACCCATTTGAATAATCAAGAACACGGTTAACTGAGAATTCTATTTATTACTTTAAGACAAATGTAATTTACAATAATGATTTCAGAATGACGATGGCTCAGGGAATAGAGCACTCACTTCCTAATGAGGTGACCCGGATTTGAATCTTAGAATCAAAAATTTAATACGAGTTCCGCTTCTAGCTAGCAAGCACCGACTACGGTACATACATTAAATATCCACTGTGGTGGAAGAATCATGGGTTAGAATCCCATTGCCATAGTGCTAACAGTGGAAGGTTTGGGGGTATTTCCTCTCCGTGTAATGCAAATGTGGGTTAGTTGCATTAAGAAGTCCTCTAAAGAAAGCTAATCTGTCCAAATTCTTGATCCAAATCCTTATCTTCTGGATTAGTTTTAAAATTACGAAGCCAGAGAGTTGAAAATTGAAAGTCATAAACTCAGAATTGGACCAGCTGTTCAACACCAGATATAAAATAAAATAATGTATTCACTCTAATACTATTGTACAGCTCTCAGGAGAACTTCTCCAGTCATGTTTCACGATGTGGCCGGTATTATGGCTACGAGAGAAAGTCACTTTCAATAGGGGTGTGGGATGGATATTGTTATTTCGATCTTGGCACAGAATTGATACCTATGTTTCTCCATTGCACCCCATTGGAAATGTTACAATACACATGTTACAATAGCAGCAGGCTACACCAGACTTTTAGTCTGGAGGAGCTCTCTTGAAACCTGCACAATAGTTTTAAAATATAAATACATCAATTTCAATGACCCAGTAATAATCATTAAAAGAAATGTTAAAAACAAAAATTACTACCTCTGATTTCAAACTTTCCATAAACATCTTGCAGTAACTTAAATCATTACTTGACATATAGAGAATATAATTTTTGAGGAGAGGTTTTGCAGATCCCGAACTATATTTTTCACACTGATTGAGATAAGGTACTAACCACGAATACAAATGAGCAATGAAGTTTTCTTTTGGTGTCTAAAATGGAAAAAAAATACATTGCAAATTAAAGTAAAGAAAACTATAGTTTTACTGCCTAAAATCAACATGGTTTTACTTGAATCTGATAAGTGGCTACAAACATTCAGAAAAAAATTTCCCTTATTTCTATTACTGATGATAAATTTTTAAATTGATTTTTTCCAGTTCTGCCTTATTTGTGCAGATAAATTACAAAGAAATTTTAGTCATTCTTAAAGTTTAAAATCTAAAAATTTTTAATCATCATGAAAATATACCAAATAACAACAAATAACATGGCATATTAAAAAAAAACATAAACAATATGTAAGTTATTGAAATATCTCTGCGAAACACATTTGTTGATTGTTATCATAAACATCTATAATGAAAATCAAGTTTTGGAAATTAAATATTCTAAATATTAAATAAAAAATACTTCCATGAATAAAGAAGTGCACCAGCAACTTTTGGAATAAAACCAATAATATTTCTTACCAATTTTTTAATAATATAGAGTGGAAAAAAACCCCATAGCTTTAGAAAATTCCATAAGAAAGAATTCCCCTACTCTAACCCACATAAAAGCTTGCCCTTGGTTTTTGAATATTAGAATAGAATCTCTGTTCCTTTTTCTAATTTTCTTGTTCTTTAGCCATCCTGTCTAATTAAAATTGCTAGTTTCTTTAAACTTTTGTTTGATGTATTATAAAATAAAAGAAATAACAACTGCACTTTTATTGATGTAAATAACAGACACTAAATGAACAGTAGTAAGTCATTTGTTTCTCCTATTTTTCCCTTAAATTCTTAAAATTTATGTTTGTAAAGCACAGGAATGCAAACCTACGATGGTTCTTTTCCTTTTAAGAGGAGCTATTTTATCTTAGTTTTCTGTAATGATATTTAAATACAAAATAAAGAACTTTATCCTAAATTTATAAGTTAAATTTTCTAGAATATAGATTAACTTTCTATATATTCAATTACAATAAAATTAATTTAATAATTCACTATATTTGATTATAATATTTAAGTTTTGGAACAAATAAATTAATTTGCTCGCAGAAATTTTTTTATTTTTAATAACAATTGTCACATAATTTTTATACACGATGTAATTTATTTCCAACTGAGTATTTATTTATATTTTTTTAATTGGTTTTATAACTAAACTGAAAATTATTTTTAAAATTAAGAAGTACTGAGATCAAAATTTGCACTAAAATCACATTAATCATGTGAGATTTGTCTCTAAATAAATTGAACAATTAAACATAATGGGCAAAAGTTCCAAAAATAATCAAATATCTCATTAATCAAGTATTCTGTATCAATATACTCGAAAATTAATTATCATCCTACTAATGCTTTATAAACATACCTATAGGTTTACGATTCATAGAAAATTAATACATATTTTTTTTACCAGGGAGTGTAATAAATTTTTAAATGCAGGACTAGAAATTTTTTTTAGACTTTTAGAAAACTGTTTTTGTGTCCAACAAAAAGATTTTGCTAGACGTTCATTTTGAAAAAAAGAGAAAATGTTTTGTCTTTTCTAATACTAATATAAAAAGACTTTTCTTGATGTTATTCTCTAAGCATACAATATATATCACAGAGTTAAGATAAAAATAATATAAATTGGTAAATGCCTTAAATAAAATATTTTTCACATTAAAGTGATAAACAAAGAAAACAATTATGAATTCAAGTAAAGAAATAAAAAAGCAGATTAATAATAGTAAGAAATATTAATGCAATAGAATTATTACAATCAAATAAATTATTATATAATTTTTCTTTCTTTCTAGGATAAAGTAATACATTTTTTAAAAAAAATAGTAAACAGATTACTTACTGTGGACATAATGAGCTTAACTTTTTCAGAGTCACTCAGTTTTTGGAAATCAGATAAATTTAGGTCTTTCTTTATTCCACAATCATAAATTAAAATCTCTAAAGTCTTCAAGTCATCATACAATTTCTCCAAACCCTAAATCATGACAAAACTGCATAAGATAATTTAGCATATGGTTGGGGAAAAAAAGTTCAGTCTTCTTCATTATAGTACTATTACAATTAAACAAATCATGAGTTGAAAATAAATACGGCTATAAGCCTAAAAAAAGTAACAAAGTTATTAAATAGTATGTAAAAGTAATAAATATAATATGACACAAAATTCATGCAAAGCATATTTTAATGTTTTTATAGAAAAAAAAAAGATTTTAAATATTAAATTGAATTTAAGAAAAAAAAATGTGCCCACAATTCAGATGTTTTAAAAATCGACATTTAATGAAATATTAAAACAACCTTTTTTTTTCTTCTCAAAAACACTTCAAACTTTCATAACTAAAATTTATATCAGTTGTTTAAAGTAGATAACAAGAAGAATGAAAATGTTAAATCATATAACATTTGATCCATAATTATAAAATAAGAGCCATCTCTCTTAGACCTCCCCAAGTCTCCCGCTAATCTGAGAAACATCAAACTGCTAACAAAACAAAAAATTCTAAGACAGCAAGAAACTTTTTACAGGCAGCAAACTCTTGGAGCTTCCATGGAGAGCCTAACATCATATGCTTTTAAGACCCTCCCTAGAGCTATCAGAGTTTAATGTTCCAGATTGGCCTGGCAGACATGTACAAGTTTCTACAGACACATCTATACCATATTGGACTTGTAGACTCTCCTAACTGCATTTTGAGTGAGAAATCTATTGACATGAATGGCGAACATCTTTAGAACGGTTCTGCCCCTCGGGAGGCCAGCTTTTCTTTATATTTCAAGAAACACTCCAACCTTGAAGATATCTCTTTCGGCATTCGATTGCAGATGTTATGCTTTATAAGCAAATATAAGGTTGTAATTAAAAAAATAATTAAAAAATGCTCGAAAGAAATTATGGTACATGATTCATAATCTACTTCCACAAGCTACACACAATAAAAATTAAAGAAATAAAATATGGGAATAGAATTAATGTTAATGTAAATAATATTGCCTAACATGTGCATAGATTATGATGAATCTATAACAATATGCTAAATAATAACTCTGAACGATATTATCAGTATGTAACTAACACATTTACAACAAGCTTCTTCAAAGGAATCTACATCAAGGAATCCCCTTTAAAATTTGAGAAGTCTCTAGTTCAGGTCTCTAATATTTCATTATTGATCTAGTTATACACTTATACTATTAGAATGCTTACTTGTATGTTTCTTTGCATTCCAAGTTTCAAAAGTTGAAGAGCATTATCTACAAGTCCAGATCTTGCTTCTACTTGCTGTGCTCTTTCAATAAACCATTCTGTAACTACTTCAGATGATAATGAATAATTTCTGGAAATAAAAATAAAACACTTTTAAGAAGATAGAATTCGTTAAAATTAAAGTGGTTATAGATGATGAATTAGAAAAAGTTTTTATTTGAGCATTTTTCATTAATTGTTAATTAAAAATTCACTAGGTTCTCATTAACTGCAGTAATTGTGATTGGACCTACTTTGAGAAATCAAAATATTTGGATAATAGAGGTAACATTGTTTTTAAATTTATTTTCAGAAGTTAAAAATAAAAACATTTTATTTCAAAATCTGATTGCATAACTGTCCCAGATAGTTGCATTCCTTTCTCCATTTTTTAAATAGAACATTTGCACAAAGCAGCATCCGATTCTGAATTGTTAACTGATTTCAATGTCTTATATTCCTTTGTAAGTTTTGTTAGGATTTCTGCTGATCCCATTTGCATTATGATTATTCACTCCAATTGCACTATTCATTCCATTTACACTAACACTTTTTCTTGCACAGGTAACATGATGCTTTCTCACAGTAGAAGTAAGTGCCATAATGGTCAAACTAAACAAAGTAATATTATAAAAGTGTGTTGTAGCCTCAGACTTTTTTCACAACTTAATTTTCATTTTCGATAATGACAATCACATTAATGATAAAAAGATAAGCGTTAAATACACAAATGTTTTCTTTTCAATATTTGAATCATGATTTTTTCATCCTAAACAACCTTAATATGACAGCCACTTAAAGTAAGAATTGCAAAAAGTAGAGTCACAGCAACATCTTGTTGTCCCTTGGTGCAATTTTACTTGAACCAATTTTATGTCATAAAAATAAACATTTTAATTCTTCAAGGCACTATATTAAGGAAATATACAGAGAAGATGCATTAATCTTAATTGGCTATAAAAACAGTCGATGTAGAATTGTAATAAATGAAGAAAATATGAGCTTTTATATCTCAAAATTGCTTACAATATTTATTGCAAAAATATGGTGTACATTAATATAAAGTCTTTGAGAAGTTATTTTCCCAATTGGATAATGCAAGAATTATTTTAAGGAATACAGGAAGGAAGACAAGAATTAAAACTTTAATAAATTAGAAACTCTAGTTTAATCTAACCAGTGAAGTATATTCTACACTCTTTTAGAGAACAAACTAAAAGTATTTACACTTCCAAATAAAAAATAATGTCATTGAGCGCAGCCTCTTCTTAAAAAATTCTGATCAGGTCAGTTCATAACGCTTTAGTAGATCTGGTTTACTAGTAGAGATACATCTAGTTGTGGTGCTTTTGCACTACTTAATGTAATCAGATTAGAACCATTCACTACACTTTATCAGTTAAAAAAAGCAATTCTATTAGGTTCTAGGGCAAAGAATCTGATTGTTTTAGAAAAAGAAAAATTATTTATTGAACCAAAATACACACATCAAAATTTTATGTTATAGAACAAGTTCACTGCTTTTAAATTCAAGACATGAAAATAAAAATATTTTAATTATACATTTAACTAAAATATACTTCTTGTGTTTTAAACAGAGAATGCATTCTTTTATAGTAAAAGATATGAAAACTATTAAAACTTACGCAAATGCTGTACATTACAAAATATTCTTATGTACAAACATACTATCGACACAATCCAAAGATACAATCACTTCACTTTTTTTTCCTTCCTTTTTTTAAAAAAAATATCAAACTTGTAATCACTCTAAATAAAATTATCTTTATTTTTTTGGAACTGAAATATTTAAAACATTTCTTCTTTTACCAATTAAAATTCAGTTTTTTTTCTCTAAAAAAAAAGAAAAAGTAAAGGATTATTTCTAAAAAATGTACTTTCTTTCACAAAAACATTAGTTCAACATGCAAAACGCTAAGTTTTACTCTGATGACATCCATAGCTTAGGAATAAATGTAACGCTACAGTTAACACTAAGTTCTTATGTCTCAATTACCAATATATATCAACGTAGTTAGTTACATTTCGTCTTAAAGATTGATTTTCAAATTATTTATAACAGCAGTTACAAAAAATTCTTAGTCCTCTATTTATGATAGTATACACTTTGAAAACCACAGATTATGCCAATGCATAGTATCGGATTTAATAAAAATAGTGTTTGTAAATTCTTGAACTTAACAGAATAAAAATATAGAAGATATTAAATTATATTGACACAAATGAACACTACTATGTTAAACATTATTAAGCATAGATATTATGTAAGTAACCAAATTATAAGTAACCAAAAAAATAAAAATACCTATATTTTAATAGCCCTTTGTTTTTTTCATAAAATTCTTCTATGTATTCTTCAGGGATAACAATCCTAGAAAAAATTTATCGATATTAACAACACTACAACTTATTTTTTTAAAGAAAATAAGAGCAAGAATAAATTAGCACAGGTACAAACGCTTTATGATTATTAGTATAGAAAAAAAGACAAATAAAGCTTAAAATGTTATAAAATGCTTTTCATTCTTTCTAATTGAAAATTTCACTGAATAGAAGGACCAAAGTTTTTTCTTCAAAAATTTATGTAAGATCCATTTTAAATTTTAAAATTAAAGCTTATTTTCTGATTTGAACAGAAAATCTGACTTGGAAAGTATATTAATATTTATTATTTTCACAGTACTCATAATTAGTAATAATATAACAGAACAAAGTTTAAAGTTAATGAATACATTCTTAAAATGGTTTATGCATTTCGATTGAAAATAAAAAAAACTACAAAATTTTTTGAATTAAAAAAAATGAAAATTCCAAATGAAATTTAATGTACATTTGCTTTAATTTATATACTTTAAATAAATAAATAAAATAAATAAACATTTTTCTGATTGAGAAAAAAAATCCCAAAGAGTCGTATCAAAACTGGGACTTAACGGTTACAAGATATATATTCTTACCACTATTTCCAGTAAATAAGAATACAAAGTTGCTTAAAACTTAAACTTTCAAATAAAAAATGTATTGTAAAAAAACGAAACAAATAACAAATATCAATACTTGGCGAAAGAGTAATCTAAAAAAGAAACATAGATGATTTGCAAATATCAGTTTCTTTTTTATAACACTTTGTCAAGATAATACTTATTAGATAATTAAATTATAATTTGAATAAAATATGTTCCGTGAAATTTTGCTTTAAAAAAAAGTTTTTTCCCCGTAAGTGGCTAAATTCATTTTAGTGAAAATAGGTAGCCATGTAACTTAATGCATGAAAGTACATTAAAATCTGAATACCTTTAACACAAGTTTTCTTTACAAATTAGCGACCAAGCACAGTTTTTTTATTGAATAATAACGTAATATACAGAAAAATGAATATGTTGCGCAAGGAAATAACCAAGTCTAACCTTAAACTAAAATCACACCGGACAGTTAAAAGATAGATATAATAGCTTCATCTTTTTCAAAACTTACAAACAATTAAAAAACATTTACAAATTAAAAACCTGGTTTATTTAATTTTGCATTAAAAAAAGTTGAATTTAAATTAACAACTAATAATGTAACACTTACTTGTCAAATTCATTTTCGCACCAGTCAGGATCTCTAAGTTTTTGTTCATGCCACGGATAAAAAACCATATCTAAATCACTGTCAAGAAAAAGACAAGAGAATAAAAAAATTAATTTCATTTATCATTACTTTGAAAAAATAATTTAGCTCAAAAGACAAATATTTTCAAATGCTGTGAAAAGACAAAAAAATCTAACAACTATATTTTTTTCATAAATTAAATACAATAATTTTTAAAGACTACAAGTTGCACTACTCTGGTATTAAGTTTCTGTTTTAATAGAATTGATGCTAAAGTAAAAAATTATTAAAGATTATAACTTTTTAAGAAAGAAATATTAAGTACATAACGTCCTTTGTGCCTTCTGCAATGTAAAAGCTGATGCGTATATCATTTGTATACAGAATGTAAAAACAATAATTAACTGTCATTAGAAACATTTTTGTCTTGAAAGCACAAAATGATTGCTACTTGTTAAGGCAGGGAGGCTAACTTGGCCCCTGGCCTGCAGGTAGAGCCGTTTTAGACAAGTACAATCTTTTAGCCAACGGTCCCTTGTATCAGTAAATAAGTATTCTTAATTTTTCCTCTTCTGAAGAACTTAGACTAATATTTGTAGCTTCATACAAAAAGCAACAGAATAGTGTGCTAAATAAAAAAAATGAACACCTCAATATCTTTTTGCCTAATGATTTTATCTTCATGTACTAAGACATTAAATTAATAGAATTATGAAGATAACATCTTAGTGCATGAAAGACTATTAAGGTGCTCGCTTCTTTATTTTGCACACTGTATATAACACACTTGTAACAAGCAAATTAATAAACATTAAATTTTTGATTTAATGAGCAATCCATAATAGGAACTTACTTGTAATTTTTGCCTTTTTTAAAGAACTTAGACCAATATTTACAGCTTCATTCCTAAAGTAACAATATTAAGAAAGCAAACATTCAATATTTTTTGACTTAATGATTGGATCTTCATTCACTAAGATGCTATCTTAATTAAAGAAAAGATAGATTATCTAATTGATTTGATTAAGATAGCCCCTTAAAGGATGAAAATCCAACCGTTAGATCAAATGTTATTAAGGTGCTTGCTTCTTCATATTGCAAACTGTACATAGCACACTATTAACAAGCAAATTAATAAACATTTATTATAATTTTACTATATAAATTTATGAGAAATCCACAATAGGAACTTACTTGTAAAGAGGTAACAGAGACTGGTAATCGGAAGGGGAAGTGGTCTCAGGAAAATTACTGAGTATTCCCAGACGGTGAGGCAATGTTTCTGTTCCCATATAAGTGAAAAGCGTTGCTACTGCTTCCCAATTAGAGTGAAAAGCAAACTGAATGGTTGCTTCCAGGCCACATTGAGATCGGAATTGTTTGAAAAACTTGGGATCAAAATGCTGCTGTGCTGCAACAGCTCCACCTAGGATTATCTAGAGAAAAAAAAAATTTCTTAAACAAAGTTAAAAGCTTGACAATGTTTGCATTCATACATTAAAATATAACGAACATCCCTTCACCAGCATCTTGCAAATTTTAATTAAAAATTTGAAGCACCCTTAATTGGTATTTTATGGCATTCTGATTAAATCCTAGATGGTACTCCTCGGTCAGGTAAATCTTAGTTTTATGGTATTCTGATTGACCGATCTAGTCTAAAATATTTACATACCTAGGTAAAAAAATTTCAAAATTAACATTTTATTAAAAAATATAATTTTTTCAAACTCAGGATATGCTGGGCAATATAATTTTTAATTCTTGAGTCCCATGTGCATAAAATATTCAAGAGTTGTTAGATGGTAAAGGGCAAATTTAGGAAATTTTGGTAACAGCCAGTTGAAGCAGTTCTAACAGTAGAAACTTTTTCAAAAATATAAAATTTTAAATGGTTAAAAATTTTCAATAAAAAATAATATCAGGCATTTCTTTTGAAGCATCTCTCAAAATAAATTAAATATTACAAAGCACATTTGTAAAATGAAGAAAATTTTTAAAAAACAAGCATGAAATGAAGTAATTTCCTAAGTGTTTTGAAATATTCATATTAATTCGAGATTTATTTAAAAAAATAAAACTAATAATAAAGTGCACATTTTTAATAAAAAATGGTGACTGACAGACAAGTTTTTAATCACTATTTGTTATAGTTAGCCATCCTGTGATGATCGTTAATTTTGATCTAAGCCGTAACTCATAACCAATGATAAAATGTTATTGGCTTGACAGTTGCTAAATTTTGATAAGTGAAAAAATTTGAATGAGAAATGACAACAATTGAGAACACAGTGAATATTTTATCTTGTATTATAACCGTCGTTGAACAGCCGACCCAATTTTGGATTTATGATTACCAATGTTCAACTCCGTAGCCTTGTAATTTTGATCCAGATCCAGAAGACAAGGGAAATCCTGGATCAAGTATTCGGAGAAATTTGTCTTTGTGGAGGACTTTTTTTTCCATGGAATAAACATGCATTTGCGTTACACAGAGAGAAAATGTACAAAATCTCCCACTGCTAGCCTCATGGCAAAGGGACTATAACCCATGATCCGTCTACCACTGAGGATATTTTACATCAGCACGGTGGTCGGTGTGAGCCGGGTGCAGAATTTGTATTGACCAGCCATCACTGGGATTCAAACCTGGTTCATCTCATTAGGTGGTAGACGTTCTATCACCTGAGTCACTGGGACTATCTTGAAGGGCAGTTTAGATATTATAAATAACAAGTGCTGGAAATATTTTTTACAATATCAAACACCAAAACGTTACAGATCCAGATGAAATATTTCTTTATGAAATACAATGATGGCATCTTTGTACCATTGTAATATCATAAGGCATGCAAGGTGAGTACTTTTTGTGCTCTGTACTTTAGCTTCATTTAATTTTAATATTTGCTTTATTTTATTTAATTTTGCTTTTTCTTAAACTTTAAGTTGCTGACATCCTCTCAAGAAAAAAAAAATTCTGTACACTATTTATCAAAGTAAAGCAGGAAAAAAAATCTGTATGGCCTTGATTGGAATATTGATGCTCAGAGGCTCAAAACAAAAGTGACCAGTAAAACAAAAGATAATAGAGCAATATTTAATGCAAAATTTGGTTTAGCTTTTTTAGTCATTCACATTTTTAAGGTAAATAAGTAAATTTAACTTGATTCCTTTATTCTCAAAAAGAATAAATGTACATGACTCAGCTACTATAAATATAGTTACATCCGAGAAGGGATTGGCAAGTGATGAGTACAAATTCTTTTTAATTATTGCATATGGCATTTTTACAAAAGTCATACTAACAATAACACTGAATTAACAATGACACCCATAAGTATATATCAATATCAAATTTTGATGAAAAGTAATGTCTTTCAGTAGAAAAAGGCTCACATTTTATAGATAAGAACAATCAAACAATTAAAATTTAAAAGTCACGATAGAAAAATTATATCATTCAATGAAGTACTATTTAAAAGATTTTTTTTAAGAATTGTAAAACCTTAGCTTAACTAAATTTTGAAATACTGACATTGATTACTCTTGCCTTAAACCATAGACATGACAACATATTATAACATCAGTGTAAATATTATTATTAGAAAGTATAATTAGTCTGGAAATGTAAACATGTGTTTATTTGTAATTAAACCACAAAGAAATTTTAAAAAAATACTAAATGAAAACAATAAAATAAGTCCTAAGATAAAATTTCAATTTAAATTAAACATTAAATCATTCTTTAATAAGTTTATGAAGCTTATTACTTCTTTAGAAATACAGAAATTAATAGGCACATGCAAAAACATTATAACAAAAAACTTAAAAATAAATTTAGAAATAAAAGAAAACTAATGTTACCTCATAAGTAGTTAGCCTGTCAACATAATTTAGAAGCTTCAAGCGGCATTGGCATAGTTGCTTCTGTTCCAAATTAAGTCTGAAAATTAATAACAGATATTTATTATTCATTCATTATTTTGGTACAAACTGATTATCTGTGGACCTTGTCATAACAAATAATAACCCACATTTTTTGTAGTCTGGACATAAAGCAGATTTATATTTCCTTAAAATATATATTTATTATAACATATTTCAAAATGGAAAACTCAATGTTTAGAAACTGCTGAACATTACTTGAGCAGAATGGATTAATCACTTTTTAACTTATGAAGTCTTCATATAATCAATTTATGTTGTTTTATAGCAATCCTTAAAAACATGCACAAACAATGTTTTACTATGACTATTTCTACACTTCCTGAATAATCTAACTAAATATAGTTCTTATATTGATTACTTGAAAACTATTGAAAAATTGAATAAATTAAAAAAAACATCAGTTTTTTTATTTTAAATTGGGCATAATTAAATTTCAAAGTTTGTATTTACAATTGATGCAGTCAATGCTAAAAGGGGGTCTGCAACATTTTTACGAAAATAAGCTTTTTGTTGGTTTTGGAATATCACTCACCGATTATCAAAAACGGAGCTATTATATAGACCACCTAAAAGAAGAGAATCCGACAATGTGAAAGCAATTAAAAAAAAATTTCACAGTTGACACAGTTTATTTGTTGTTTTTTTTTTCCAAAGTGCAAACTTGTAGCATACCCCTTTTAACATTGACCACTTCAATTGCTTAAAATTTTAACTAAAGTATGCAAATTTTTTCATAATAAAAATTATAGTAGATATTAGTAGACAAAAAAGCAAACTTCAACAATCTCGTCAATTAAAAACAAATTCCTTAGTTATCCCAATACAATGATACATTTGGTCAACCCGATTTTCACATTAATTTTACTGTAAACAACATAATTTACGATAAGCTATCATCTAAATATCAATCTTACATCACTTTAATCAATCTAAATATCAATTATATATCAATTACTATATGAAAAGTACGAAGAGATAAAAGCTATACTTACTTTGTAAAATTAACCTCTTTCAGGAACTCTGCTCTTTTTTTCTGCTGTTTTATCCTCCTCATCTCATAAATCTCACCAGCATCATAATTGATGTCATAAGCAAAATGGTCCATATATTCATCATCAAACTCATCATAAAACGATGATAAGATAAACCTAGAAATATTTAATTGTTCTTAATGTACTTAACAGCAAGGAATGCTTGAATCAAGTGTTCTGAGATAGTTTCAAAATTATAAGACAACAGGATTTGCTATAGTTTTGTTATTTAATGTCAAACAAAATATATATAATAAAAATGCATTTCTTAAAAAAAAACAGCAAAAAAAGGGGAAGACTAAAATATTTTAATGCCTGATTAGGAAAAATGATGTAAAATTTTAGAACAGGCCTATATTTCTTTTCCTTATATGTCGAATGAAAACAGTTGGATGAAAACAATTGAATGAAACATAAATGAAAACATTTATTCAGGAATAGTGTAAACTGTAATACAGAATAAGTACCCCATCCAACTTGATAAAAATTGCAAACATGTTTGATAAACTGTACCAAAGAGAAGGGAAGAAATCTATTGCATATAATAAAACCTAAATGTTATTTAACAACTTAATTGTATAAATGAGACATTATAAAATTTCTCTTTTTATTCGGCTAGTCGTGTTTATTTTTATTACGAAGGTCAAGCACCTGAGCATAAAAAGATAATAAATATACAAGTTAAAATTGAAATGCATAAGTAAGCACAAAAGCAGTTGTAAGTGAACTTTGGTAGCTTTGCAAAAAAGGCCTGTTAAAAGACACACTCTTGACAACCAAACTAATACTTCTGATAACTTTTTTTCTCCATAATGCTTTGTATTTACTGCATTAATGCTTATTTGTGTAGAAGCTTATTAATATGAAATACTTCTTAGTTAATGATACATAACACTACTGATTTATTTTCCAAATAAAAAAGCTAATGTAGATATAATGTTAATGCCAATTTTATTTTTTAAATTATAAAAGTAATGTTTTTATTAATAAGCATGAAAAAAAGCATATCAAGACAAGTAAAAGTTTCTTTTGGATAGATATTTTTCACACTAACATACTTAGAAAGGTTAGTAAATATTTTGAGATTTTACACACCCCAGAAAAAAGTGACATGATTATGTGATTTACAAAAATTTAAGTAAATAGTTTGAGATTTTTAAACCCCAAAGAAAAGTAACATACTATGTGATTCATAGAAAGGTAAGTAAATATTTTGAGATTTTGCAATCCCTCAAGAAAAGTCACATACTTAGTGATTTAAAAGACAATTAATACCTTCCTTGATCCTCGCCTCTGCCAATGGCAACGAGTGCTTTTACATCTGTGCCTCTCATACCATAATCAAGAAGTTCTTTGGCAGCTTCAAAATTTTCAGGCACTCTTTCTAGGCATTCATGGAGAACCCAGGATCGCTTTTTGATTTTACTCTACAAATGCAATTATTGAAACTATCACTATGAAAAACTTGAATAAAACAACAGCTATAATAAAACTTTGTTGTTAAAGAAACTTTTTTATTTAGAAACTATTGTAGGAAATGTATCTATTAAATTTTATAAAAATTATCTAACATTATCAACAAAATTAATTTTTAGAAGTTAGAATGCCGAAGATTTTAACCTAAATTTATTAACAGTAAAAATATTATAAAACATATTTCAAATCCAAAGTAAATTACTTATTTGCCAAAGAATATAATATTAAATAAGATACGTCTATCAATACATTGCTTTTGTTCCATTAAAAACTTGCAAAACTGAAAAATTTTGAAACATTATAAAGTAGTTATTCACCTCTTTTTGACTATCTAAAACTTAATCATGCATAATAAATTTCAATTTTCAAGAAAAGTCAAGAGAAAAAAGAACAATAATACCAAATTTAAAAATTATTTTAGCTCAATCAAAATTTTAATGACATTAGATTTCAACTTACACATAAAAATATATATTTGAAATTGAAATATTATATTACTAATATATATAAAAGAATGAGTTCTTCATGTCAGTCAGTTAGTTGGAAATATCACTCTTGAACATTACTTAAGTATTGTTAATTAATTATTAAATGCATTTTAATGCTTTATTAATTAATAAGCATAAATAATTATTATTAACGTCATAGCAGCATATATATAAAATACTCTCAAAATAAATATGTTTTAGCACTAATGATTTAATAATAAATAAAGAATAAACTACTTTTTTGAGAATTATTTTTAACACAATCAAGCTTTAAGCATAACAATGCTTATAAATAATGTAACATTAAAAAAATATATACTGATAATATAAATTAATTTGAAGTATTCTTCAATCTTCCTGAATTATGCTCTTTTATATAAGAATTGTATTTTGAAAATATTAAAATCATAAATAAAATAATACTACATACATACAATAAAAATTTGTTTACACAGATAACAGAAAAGTTTTAAAAAATCTGAAAAATATAAAATTCAGAAAGGACCTCTTTTCCTTATATGCTATTGATTGTAAAATACAAATGAATTATTTAACAAAATTGGAAAAAAATGAACACATTCTATGATTACATTTTTTAAATAATTTTAAAAACTATCAGAACATGCAGTCGTTCATGATCTGTATTATTTTAAGATTTTTTAGAAATATTATGAATTAGCTTTAAATTTACACATAAATTTATTTTATAAATATATTTTTGTAGTAGAGCAATAATACTTAAATATTAAGAAATCACAATTGTTTATTAAACTTATATTGTCACGTAGAATGAATATGAATCAGTTCAGAAAGTTGTAGAGATTCATTGAAAACTTTCAAACATACAGGGAACAAAATAACTGGAGTTTTGGTTTGAAATGCCTGGTCTTTTATAGGAATAAATAACGGAACATGAAATGACAAATTAAAACATTCTAGCAGATAAAGAAATAATAAATAAAAGCTTATGTTACATTTATAGAGTTTTTCATTTTCTACAAGTTCTAAGGATCGAATTCGGTATCTTTGTCTCTCCAAGACGACGACTCTAACCTTTTGGCTACACTGACACACGTCAATATTAGCAATAAACTCAATATAAAATACACTTTTGGAATATTTACTATTTTTTTATTCGATGAAAATTTAAATTAAAGTATTTAATATTTAATTAAAAATATATTGTAGTATAATATATTTTAAATTAACGTATTGTATAGATTATTTTATTTATATATATATACAGTCAATTCGCTATAACTCGAAGTACGATAACTCAAATATTACTATAACTCGATTTTTTTATGAGGGCCCGACCCTTTTATCTTCAATTTCATGTTAATTATTCTCGATTACTCGAATTTTACTCCCTTTANACCGTTTTTAATTTAAAAACTGTTGTAGGAGATGCAACTATATATTTTTCATAAAATTATCTAACATTCTCAACAAAAATTAATTTTTAGATCACTTAAAGTGCAAAAGACTTTAACCTAAATTTATTAACAGTAAAAATATTATAAAACCTATTTCAAATCCAAAGTAAATTATTTATTTGTCAAAGAATATAATATTAAATAAAATATATTTATCAAAACTATGTTTTTGCTCCATTAAAAACTTGGAAAATTAACAAATTTTAAAACATGATAAATTATTTATTAACCTCTTTTTGACAATCTAAAATTTAGTCATGCATTATAAATTACAAGAAAAGTCAAGAGAAAGAAGAACAACAATATCAAATTTAAAAATTATTATAACTCAATCAAAATTTTAATGACATTACATTTCAACTAAACATATAAATAAAAATTTGATATCAAAATATTATACAAGTAATGCATATAAAAGAATGAGTTCTTTGTGTGAGTTAGTTTGATGAAAATGTCACTCTTGAACTTATTTATTAAGCATTATTAATTTATTATTAAGTGCATTTTAAGGCTTCTTTAATTAATAAGCATAATTAATTATTTAACGTCATAGCAGCATAAATATAAAACACTGAAGCAATAAATATGTTTCAGCACTAATGATTTAATAATAAATAAAGAATAAACTACTTTTTTGAGAATTATTTTTAACACAATCAAGCTTTAAGCATAACAATGCTTATAAATAATGTAACATTAAATATATATATATATATACTGATAATATAAATTAATTTGAAGTATTTTTCAATCTTCCTGAATTATGCTCTTTTATATAAGCAAAATATTTTGAAAATATTAGAATCATAAATAAAATAATAGTGCATACATACAATAAAAATTTGTTTACACAGAAAACAGAAAAGTTTTAAAAAATCTGAAAAATAAAATTCAGAAAAGGACCTCTTACCCTTTTACGATTTTGACTGTAGAATATAAATGAATTATTCAACAAGATTGAAGGGGAAAAAAACTTAACACATTCTATAATTAGATTTTTTTAAAAATTTTAAAAACTATCAGAACGTGAAGTTGTTCATGGTCTGTATTATTTTAAGACTGCTTAGAAACATTATGACTTAGCTTTAAATTTACACCCATAAATTTATTTTATAAATATATTTCTGTAGTAGAGCAATACTACTTAAACGTTAAGAAATCAAAATTGTTTATGAAACTTATATTAGCAATAATAGCTCAATATAAAATATATCTTTGGAATATTTACCATTTTTTCAATCCATGAAATTTAAATTATATTTTATAAGTAACAGAAAATTAAGTTATTTATATTATCACTTAATTTGCTGCAACAGTCTGACTTATCTACAATCAATTAAAATGTGCATTAATGCATTATAAAATTAATGTATTCACTAATTCTGTTTTCTAGCATAACCTCAAGCTATTATGATCCAATAAAAAACTTTCTTCTGCACTTTTTAAAACTTTTCAACGAATCAAGTTTTCCGAAAGAGAAGAAGCTGATCTATATCCTTACTACTACCTAGAACTAAAATGTTAGACTTATACATGCTAGATTAAAAAAACTTATTATTCAACGACAATACCTGTAAAATATAATGATAAATACTTCACAATGTGTTAAATAGTGACACAATTTGAAGGTAAATAATACCAGCCTTACCAAATAATCATGAATAGTCTCAACAGTAGCTGGCATTTTTCTCCATTGACGCTGGTAAACAAGATCAGTATCTAAATTATAGGTCTGAGCAAGAGCCAATGCTTCTCCATATTCTTCGTTGTTAATCTTTGCAAAAAGATAAAATAAGAAATATATGAAAACATAGCTTGCAAGTGAGAATGCATTGGAAATACGGTATTTTGATAAGAATACAAACACATAAAAATTAAACTCAAAATAAAATTGTTTTCTAAATTACAATATCTTATTCTAATTACTTTTGTTAGGATAATTCTCAACTGGTTAAATTTTTATAAGTTTCTCTTTTTTTTTTTGGAGGGTATAATTGATGAATTTTTAAAAGGATTTTAAATTTTAAAAATATTTTTTCGATACCTTTTCTTTTTAAAACTAAGCAAAATTTTGAAGAAAAAGAGGCCTTGTTAAATATTTATTTCCTGCCTCGTAATTTTCAGATCAAATTGTAGAAAAAAAAGTTTTCAAATTGTTTATCAATAATCATTTAGTTTTTAGTTTGCTTTAAAAAAAAAATGCGCACAGAGATTATTTTAGCATGCCTTTAATTACTTATTTTTTCATAAACTACAAATTTTTTTCTTATTTTGATAATGAGAGAGAATTACTTTTAGAAATATACACATAAAATAGTATACGAGGGTAAATTTTTAAAATAGTGCAAGAGGAAAATTGTTGAGGATCAAATTCAGCTACTACATAATATTACACATTTTTACAGTGTTAAGTGAGTGCCCTTTCAAAACTCTAAGCACTTTTCTGTGAGAAAGTACCCTGACCTTTTTTATTCCTAAAGAGAACTCCGTGCATAATGTTTTCATAAAAGATTTTTATAAAATAATAATGTAAATTTAAAAGTACAAAGCAAATAATAATAATAACAACACTAAATAAACGTTTCAATAAATCATGATTAGTAGAAGAGAAAATATTTCATAGCAAGCCAAACTTACTTTTCTCACATATAATTCTTCAGGTGTTGTAGATTTTAAGCAGAGTAGACGATAAACTTTAGTACTCATTCTAAAATAAATAATTAAAAAAACAAAGATTGATATAAATAAATTGATTTTTAAACTTTAATAAGCTCACCACAACAGTTAACAGACTTAAAAACTGAATTCCTTTTATAACTGTAGAAATTCAATTAAAAAATAACACAGTAGAGTTTCTGCTACTATTTTCCTCAAAAATAGTAGCCTAAATAATTTTCTCAGAGGAAAAATTAAGTTGCTTTCCTCCATGTAGTAGTGTTTGAATAATTATTACAATAAACCAACAAAAAATATGAATAGTTTCAAGTGCATTTCCATTTAAAAGGTATTTATTTAAAAAAAATAATAAAACTTGTAAGTTTTTAAACATTAATATGTAAGAAAAGAATGATATAAATATTAATATTTATTCCTTTCCACATGTTGGTAGCTTTACAGTATTCTGCTTCAAGTTTATTAATGTTATAAGTTTAAAGAGAAAATTTAGTTCTTGTTATTTAATTATACTAAATAACAACAAATTTTTATGAAAAGAAAATTAATTAAAAATAAAATATCTAAAATTACAAAAATTATTTTGTCACTAATTATGCTATTTAGTACACAGTTTTTTTTTTTCAAATTTCAATTAGTATCTATTACGAAAAATAATTAAGCATCATAGACATCAATAATAGATGATTTATTACGTTTCTCCAAAATGAATTAGTATCATTTCTCCATTAGTTTTTTTCTTTAGTACGTCACTTATTTGTTTTTAAAATTCCAATTAGAGCATTTTACCAAAATGAATTATTCATCATTGGCGTCAATAATAGTATGGCAGTTTTTTTTAACTTTCATTTTCATTAATTTTGCTTTTTAGTATAAAACATTTTTTCTTATTTCAAATATCGTTAATTTTAAATTACTTATTTTAAGATGTTTAAAAAGCATAATTCTATAAAAAAGTAAACAGGAGGTTTAACATTATTTAACACACTGACGAATCTGCACATAAAAAGTCATACTTTCACCTGCCGTTTTTTCCGCTTAGCAAAACTGGCTTTTCTTTATCATTAGATTAGGAATGTGTAATAAGGTGAAATCTCCCAATTTGGCCCATATTCTAAACTGCAAGTAGGTTAAATACAAATTAAGTGACATTGTCCGCTTATGCTATAATGCTAACATTGATCATTGAGTTTATCTGACATATCGATTAAAAAATAAATATTTAAGAAAGTGTTATTAAACTCCTTTTTTGGTTAATGAGAGCTATCAGGGGTCTGTCCAGAAATTTTGTGAAAGGTCCGTTTTTGTAAAATTGTGAAAAAATTACTCGTAATTTGTAAATATAAAATAAACGTTAAGTCACATTCTTTCAACCAGGGTCCGCTTTTGTGAATTTGTGCAAATAGGGTCCGTTATTGAAAAAAAAACTTTTTCAAGGAGTTTTTAAATTGTAAAGACATACAAGATTATGCTCAACACTGTAAAATTATAATTAAAAAAATTAAATTTTAAAAAATAAACAGCAATTGCAGCTACTAAATTAGCGATGCAACATACAAATATTTGGTATTTAGCCTATACTGCTGAACGCAGAATATTAATTTCGGATGAATAAAAGGAAGAAGCGTCTGACGAAGACAAAACTTAGTTCGTTTATATTTGTCTTTCTCCCCCCCCCTTCCTGGGAAGGGTTTATTCAATTAATAAAACAATAATGAAGATAAACAAATTTGTGAAGGATCCGATTAAAAGATAAATTATTTTGTGAAGGGTCTGTTTTTCAGTTATAATATTTTGTGAAGGGTCTGTTTTTCAGTTATAATATTTTGTGAAGGGTCCATTAACGGATCCAAATTTCTTCTAAACAAACCCCTGGCTATACAAACATCACTAACCCTATCTTTAAAATTGTCTTTAATTTCGTTTATATCAATGGTGTTGGCTCAAAACTATTGAGAAAATTCCTTTTTTTTTAATGTCTCGCTCGAGCGTTCTAATTGAAACTTTTGAAACGATTTTTAGGACCAGGGGGATTTAAATTGTCCGTTTTACCTACTGTCCGAATTTCAGGGCAATAGAAGCTACAAATGAGAGAGAGACACACACTCTTTACTTTATAATTATAAACTAAACTCAGTGGCGTGACAGCCCGTAGAGGGCAAGGCCTACTATGTCCATCTCAGTTTTCTTAACCTTAGGCTCTGGGGTGCAGGAGCAGATGTTCCGGTCAGGTGGTCAGCCGAACGCGGAACCCATTTTATAATTATAGATTTATCAAAAACCACAGAAAAAGTATGTGGTGTAAAACTATAAAAATAGTAACTAATGAAAAGCAAAAATCTATTGAAAGAGATTAAAATTTAGCATCCTTTTTCTAGCATGTTACTTTCAGTCCATTATTAAAAGCGAATGCGGGGAATTTTTTTGCTTTAAATATATAAAATTTGCAATTAGATCAAGGTAATAGTTACAACTGAATAATTAAATAGATTAAGTAAATAAAAATGAATTAAGTTTCTACCACTTCTTCCATTTGTACGCGCACATGACATCCCTGAGATTATGAATAATTAGAAAGATATTTCAAACAAAGGTTAATTTCTTAAAAAATTTGTGATCAGCTGCTAAGAAATGATCTTGGTTACCACTGTCACTCCTTCATAAAAAGCAGTTTTGATTTAATTTAAAATACGAAAGCTTTAAAAAAATAGAAAGATATCTATCAAAATAAAAAAATTAAGGTTGAGTTTCTATTCATATAAAATATTTTTAACGTTATTTCTTAGGAGGAGGAAAAATAGGGAAATTATATACTTTGTTTTCTTCCTGGGAGGTTGGAATCTATCAAGGTCTGTAATGAAGTAAAGAGCCCTCTGTGCCATTTCATAGCTGTAAGTAAATATCGAAGGTTCCTCATCATCACTGCTTTCTTCATCACTCAATGAATCTTCTGTATCACGTTTCTTACTTTTCAACCTATTTTCACACTATAAAGAAACACAAATGAATTAAAATCGCAAACACAGGTTGCTTTGTATTACAGGGCAAAATGAAGAGTCTCCATTAGCCACTAAATGTAACAAATAGTGATCAAAGTACTGTCTATCAGTCACCAAGCAAATTGTCACCTTTTTCAACAAGCATTTTTTGCCACCTTTTTCAACAAGCATTTTACTATTCTCAATGAATATGGAATTATGAATAGTTTGAAATATTTTGAAAATTATTTTAAATCGGGCTTGTTTCTCACAATTTTTCTTTGTGGTAGAAATGAATCTTACAATGTTTACTATATCTTGAAAAAATGCTTATATTGTTAATCCTTTAATGCAGGTGAGACACTATACAGTTTATCAATTTTTGAAGCAAAGATTTCATCATAAATCAATACTATTTTGTGATCATTTCATCAGCCATTTCAACACAATATTTTGAATTCCTATATAATGATAAAGTGAAGTTCATGTCTCTTGCTGATAGCAGCAAGTTAAAACTTTTACAATTATGTCTGATGAAAAGGAAGTTACAAGCAGTCAAATAAGTTCAAGAGTTTAATGGTTCTACTACCCATTCTGCCTCCTACAGACTGAGTGATACATTCAACATTGGTTGAGCTAATTGCCATTAAAATGGTTAAGGAATTTCACAAAATACACTTTGTTGTAAAACTACTGAAAGGGATAGAGCACTACTAAAAATTTCATTGGAGAGGAAGAAGTTGATTCTGGATACATATTTTAAAATGTGATATAGATAAATATGATTTCAGGGTCAAAAAAGTTTTTTTTTCTTGTTTAACAATAGTTATTTTCATAAATAATACTCACTTCTATTATTATTCTTAATTGAATAGTTCTACTATCCATTCTGCCTCCTACAGACAGAGTGATGCATTCAGCATCTACTTGGTTGAGCTAATGGCTATTAAAATGGTTAAGGGATTTAGAAAAATACACTTAGTAATAAAACTACTAAAAGGCGCTAGAACACTACTAAAAATTTTCATTGCAGAAGTTGAAGTTGTTTCTGGATACATAACTTTAAAATGTGATTAATTGTGACTTCAGAGTCAAAAAATTTTTTTTTCTTGTTTAAAAAAGTTATTTTAAAAATAATACTCACTTCTATTACAAGAAATCCTCTGTCACAAAAGGAAGTGACAGCTGGTGACGGTTCAAACCACTCTGGTGAAACTCCCAACAGATTCTGAAGGGAATGAATAGAAGATACGGTGACGGCTCCACATCTCCTCACGATTATGAGAGACTACGCAAAACAATAAATAATTCTATTATTTTCACTATGATGAAACAAATCATTTTTCAAATATACATGTTTTTGTTTTTAAAAAAATTTTGAAGGATTTAATGCATTCACAGAAATGTACATAAAATGTAAGCATAAACGTTAATAATAATTAAATCAAGCTAACTGTTTTAAGCTTTCATGTCTGTCACGCTAGTAAATATTGGGTGTACAAATAAGTTCCAACCACTCATCACAAAATGGCACTGCCAGAAGGTAATGTAGAAATTGACTGGTGTTAAACATTTTATTGTAAGTTTGTTCAACTGGTAACAACATAACCTTTAAGTATTTAGTGATTCCGTATTAGCATTACGAAATTGTTTTCGTGCAAAAATGTCAAGCTTTGTGCCAAATAAGCGTCATTTGCGGGAACTTTTGATTTACTTCTTTAATTTGAAGAAATCTGCAGTTGAGGTGCATTGATTGCTTGGAGCAGCATATGGTGATACTGCTTTAATTGAGAGAAGTTGTTGTGAGTGGTTTCAGAAGTTTAAAAATGGTGAGTTTGACATGGAAGACGAAGAATGCAGAATGCCGAAATTGTAAGAAGACAAGGAATTGGAAGAATTATTGGAAGAAGATTCGTACCAAATGCAAAAAGAGCTTGATCTTAGACTACAAGTGACCCAACAAGCAATTCCACATCGTTTAAAATTGTTGGGAATGATCCAAAAACAAGGAAGTTGGGTTCCATATGAACTGAAGCCAAGAGACATTGAACATCGATTTTGTATTAAAATTAATTTTGGTGTTTGGAAACACATCAATGGGAAGTCCTACCCCACAAGCCGTATTCATCGGACATTGCCTCTTCAAATTATAACATATTCTGGTCAATGGTACATAGTGTGTCAGAGCAGAAATTTACATCATTTGAAAATACCAAGGAATGGGTCAATTTGTGGATATCCTCGAAAGATGAAGAGTTCTTCCAACGTGATATCTGAATGCTCCCAGAAAGATGGGGGGAAAGTTGGGTCTAGTAATGGAAAATATTTTGAATAAAAGATAATGTACCGTTTTTTTACTATAAACTGCTAGTTTTTGATTAAAAAAAAAGGCAGAAACTTATGTGCACTCCCAATATTTTTTAAAAAAAGGTACTTCCTTTAAATTTTATTATTTCTGTCACTGAATTAAGTCTTGTTTAGTAAAACAGAAATTTCTGCAGCTAAATTATGTACAGTAATTCGCAATATTGCTAAGATACTCCTTATCCGTGACCATTTTTCGTCATGGATAAGGTACATTTAATAATATTCATATCACGCTTCACAAGTAATGTTTAATAATAATCACAGTAATTGGTCATATTGTTAAGATACTCCTTATTCGTGAGCATTTTTTGTCACGCCATATTTTTTTTAAATGTTTTTTACCGAAAGAAAATATGTATAAGTGGCAACACAGCAAAATTTGTGAAGATATCTTGGTATTTAGTAGCTAAAATTTGGCAAAAAAAAGTTGTCTGATATCGTGTTTGTTATCATGGAATTGACTAGGCGTGTGAGCTATCATAAGCATGAAAGCACAAATGCACATGTTTAAAAAATTTTTAATGAAATTTATTTTCTTGTGTGGACAACGGAAACCCGAAACAATCTGTGTTATAAATTGGAAAGAATTGAAAGGCTAAAACCAAATAATTGACACCAACAAACAAAGTATTCTATACTATGTTCTATTATACTTATGCAAGTTCAATAATAATAATTTTATTCATCAAAAAATGAGTCTTAGTCATGCTATTTTGTTTTTTAAAAGTTAATTTTTTGTTTTTGCAAGTTTTCCTGTGGCATGTCATTTATTGAAATTTAAATTTCTTTTTTCAATAACTTTTGACAAAGACTGACTTTGCAGAGTCTCAAAGTTTTTAATAATTGATTTAAATTCTTAAGATTTTAAGCTAGAATATATTTTAAATGGTTTAACTTAATAGCAAGCCAAACAAACAGAGTTTGCAAAGCAAATCATAGAAGATTACATGACTATCTTTGAGGGTTGGGTGATAAATATTGCTTGAAACAGTTTTGCTCACAACAATTTGTTACTTGTGCAGCTCCAAAGAAAACAATTAAATAAATAAATTAAAAAGAGCAATTGCTCAGGTCACTTTTATATTTGTTTTTCTTTGCTATTTGTGTGAATTTTTTTCTTTGACTTGCAATTAAAAACAAGACAAAAAAAAAAAAAAAANAAAAAAAAAAAAAAAAAAAAAAAAAAAAAAAAAAAAAAAAAAAAAAAAACCAGTACCAAAATTTTCATAAACTTAAAATTTTGTAGCGCCACACTATCCTACCTGACTGTAACATAAATATTTTAAGTGCAAGCAGGAGGGATGAAAATTATGCATGTACCTCACACTTTGAAGCTAACTAATATAATAATGGCAAAAAATGCAAATTAGAGCGAGAAAAAAAATCAGGCACGGTTCAAGTTGCGAAATACATTACAGCAGTTAGTATCCATGCAGGATTGGTAATTACAAATAATTGTCAAATAAAAAGTTACATCCCACTTACATCTTCTGACCACCAATTGATGTCAATGACATGAGAATGAAACACATCAGACAATTGGAAATCACCATTTTTCTTCACTCCAGGTTCACAGTGTTGGGGGTTCACATCATTGTAGTTAGGCTAAATAGATAAAATGAGAAAAAAAGTTTTAACTGCATGTCACTTATTTTTCTCTTCTTTACAATTATTTTTTAAATATATTCAAATTCATTTGGTCAATAAAGTGGTAAGCACTAAAATAGAATAATTTATGATTTTTACAAGCAGTGAATACAACAGTCATAAAATAAAACTGTAACAAGATTTTTACAATGTTGTTGTTGTCTCATGCCACTAGTCAACAACGACAAGCCTATTTTAAGGCAGAGGGGTGCACTTTTTGTTTTCTCATGGCGCCATCAATGGCCAAGAATTCAGCTTCTGCCACACAAATATGTCACAGCCCGTTTTAGAAGAAAGACACGTTCACATACCATCTATCCATTTGCAGATTGTAATTTTGACCTGAACTAGAGCACGACCAGTCTTCAATCCAGTACTCCCAGAGGTATTGATTTGTTATAGGAATTAGGAGGATGTTGTGACCCCAACAGATTTAGTGTGTGCCAGTCATCATTTCGTACACGGGGAGTCCTCGGCTGGCAGTGATCGAACTCACAACCTCTTGGATATGGACCCAACCAAATCAGTCTACAGTAAATAACCTGAAATTTTTTCTTAAGAAAAGGCTAAAGGTTTTAAGTGATTAATTGACAACTCTTGAAAAACACTGATAACTTATCTTTAAGCTTTAAGGTATCAGATTATTTCTTTAGGCTAATTTTGTCAAAATCACCAAATTTCAGATTTTTACAAAAAATAAAAATCTCTCTCAAATACCATTTGAATTATATTTCCATCTTAAACAAAATTGAAGTAATTATATTTTTTAAAAAAATATGTACCCATAGCCTACCATACCAGGTAGTTTTTCCTTTCTATTTTTAGAAACAATAGCTCAAATTCTATTAGTCTAACTTAATTTATTTCATAACCAACGTTGAACAGCTGATCTGATTCTGGATTTGCGACTATCAGTGTTCAACTCCGTAGCCTTGTAATTTTGACCTCAAAACTCTTTTAAATATTTCTAATTATGTTTCACATTAAATATTTCTATCTAGAGCTAGATTTACAGAAGTTTAATTTAAACAATACAAAAGGATTGAACATTTATCAAAATTAGCAACTTATAATTTTAACTGTGCTGTAAAACTTCTTTTTCGGGCAAACTCTATGTATAATCTCCAAAAGCAAATCCTGAAATTAATTAATAATGGTTTCTTCTGTTCATAAATAATTTAATGACATTTTTTTCTCAATGGCTCTACAAAAGATAAAGAGCATACATTTAACAATCATAAAAAAAACAATTAATAATGAACCTGCAAATTAAGAGGCCAATGTTTCTTCAGTCTTAAAGATGGTAGATCCCACAACGAAACGGCTCCTGAAACATGAATTGAAGCCAAGAGTTTACCACTGGGAGATATGCTCATCTTAAAAATGAAATCCTGCAAAAAATAATTAACAGCATTCAAGCCTTTTGTTACAACAATTAAATTAAAGCTATAAAAAGTTTTTATTTATTAGTTAATTTCGAAGCAATGTTATATATCAAAATAACAGAATTCATATATTTGTTTAAAAACTTAGATTAATCATTACATGTTGTTTTTAGTTTTCTCAAGATGTGAGTATGCAGGCATGCTAATAATACACAAGCATGTGAATACTGTTTTCAAAAAGTTTTCTTTTACAGAAAAAAATGTCAGCATTACTTATTTAAAAAAAATTTACCAACTTACCTACACTATAAAGTAAAACAAGGTAAGTCAATAAGCTATTTATATGTTCCATGCAGCTATTTTTTTCCATCTCCATCAGTTTTATGCTTAAATAGCTACAGTTATATATAAAGATGCTATGAATGATGCAGAATATGCATCTTGACATGTATTTCATGCATTTGAGTTTTACTCCTCAAAAATTCTCCAAGAGTGAAAATGTTCATCATAAATTTTTTTCTCAAAATGTTATTGTAATTTCGCAGATACGCCGCATCCCTTAAAATTTGACTATTTATTTGATTTGAAGAGACTATTCGTGGAGTGGTTGCGGGAGGGGAATTCATCTACAACTTCTTCTGTTGAAAGGAAAAGCTTCTGTTGCGCTATTGTTACATTCTAGCAAACTTTTTTCATCTGCATGGTCAATTCTTTAAATTATTATTGATCGTAAATTACAAAAATAAATCGCAGCAAAACATAAAAAGGGGAAAAGTAATAATAAAATTTTAGTGAATAAATTCAACAAAATAGAATTCTTAAGCTCAGATAGTTAAAAAAAAAAACACTGGATAGGTTGCACCATTACATATGCTAAACATACCAAAATTTAATGTTTTAAATCATAAGCGCTGCTGCATATATCCGTGAATAGTTTACCCATAGTTTTTTTTACACCTTTGTCATGCCTCCATTGACGGGGTCAATTATGGCATAAATTTTGAACAGGCTGTTAAAATGGTAAATAGAAAAATATACATAAAATTTTGAAATAGATTTATTTTACTAAATAAATTTTGCTTGTTTTAGAAACTTTAATTTCATTGATCAGTAAATAATAATTTTAAAAAAAACTGAAAATAATGAGGAATAATTTTTTTGTTTAAATATTTAAGTCATAATTCTAGGGTATTTACTTCATATAATTCATATTTTAATTCTAATATAATCTGCATTATAAAATGGTAGCAATTTAAAAATATAATTTCTGTTTAGAAATTCCCCCTTCTATTTTAAAACTTATTCCACAAAAATTAACAAATGAGATTTTATTAATAGCAAGCTCATTGCAAAAATATACATCAATATTTAGGAAATGAATTCTGTGTAGTTCATTAATTGTGGTAAGCAAGTAGACATGGCAAGGACAAAACCCCCAATCAGGCTGTCAAGCATTGAATTATGCTTCTGAGCCGTAAATGATATCCTAGCCTAGAAAGACTAGGTTATTTAGTGAAGTGTCACAACAGTAGGAATGGACTGTCATCAATGCTTTATGTTCGATTCGCCAAGCATTTTAGAGAGTCCAAATAGTTAAAAAAAAAGTCAACTGTTTGAAAAATCTCCTTCTGTTTAAGAAATAGTTCATTAGTAAGGAATTGAAAAGATAAATGTAGATTAAATTTATTAACAGATGTTTTTTAGATGTAAAACTCTGTTAGTTCAAAACAAGCAGATATAAATAAAACAATTTTATTATTTGTTAGTTTAATGCTTTTAATTTTTTAAATTGTAATTTACTTTATACCTAAATAAACCATTTTCTCTACAAAAAAAAAGAGCTCAATATGGAAATAATTAAGAGGAAACTGAAACTGTTTAAGACGTTTTGGTTTAAATAAGAATATTTTAAGTTTGACTGCATCTTTAAGGTAAGATTTATTATTATCTTTACCTTTAACTTACCAGGGCAGGGGGGGGGAGAGACAAAATTGGGAGAAACATAAACATCGCCATAGAAATAAATAAAGTATCATTTTTCATAAATGTATCACATTAAATTGAAAGAAACCAAACTTAAGAAGATAGAAATAATAGTTTAGGCATGCTCCAATTAAGATTTTATGTAATCACAGAACAGTTTAAAAAAAGAAAATTATTTAATATTAAAAGAACACACAATTTTAAAAATATTTAAAAAAGCTTATGCTGTCAAAACCTATCGCACTTTATTTCTGATTCCATTCAACATTTTAAATTTTAAAAAATGCTTACATCTTTTGAGCTTTGATAGAAATTATATTGTGAAAGTATATCTTTCCAGCTTTTTTTAGATTCCACCTGAAAGAAAGGCATAAAAAAAACATGTTAAAAATTGTTTCCAACAAACTTTCATTATTTGTAAAAAGAATTAATAAAAAAGTTAATAAGATATTTGCAAGAAAATTTTATTTAGACTATTGCTAATTATTGTTACAAGGTGTATTGTTTATTTTTTCCATAGGGTTATTTGAAGTCAAAAGTTTATGTCAACAAGCCCATTATATTCTCCCATCCGTGCAATGAAGAAAGAAATTCAATGCTGCATCAATAAAATTTAGGAGCATTTATGCAAAATAACAATGGAAAATTTCCCTAAAAGAATCTGTATGTGCCCCAAAGCTGCAGAACTCATTTGCCTAATGTGTTATTTCACATAGAACTCTATTCTCTGTACTTTATAAACGAATAAAAAAAATCTAAGACTTAGAATTGTTCTGGTTACTCTCACTGATTAATCAGATCTGACATGACTCAAAGAAATAAGATAATGAAATGGCATGGCATAGTTGAGTACATGGCTGGCACTAACATAAACATAGAAAAATGGCAATATAGGTGCACAGTGGGTGGACTCAATCTCTCCACAGCTATCTGCAGCTTCTGGTGGATTGCTCCCTAGTTACTCCAGTCTGATACATCTGAATGATAATAAAATGGAAAAAAGGCCAAAAACAATATTTACACTATTTAAAATACTTCATTTTTTCTCTATTCAGTTCAGATCTTGAATAAATTTTAGGACACCCTTCATAAAGGTTCAAGTTAATCCTTTTTTTTAAATTTAAATTTTTTATAGTTCATATAATAAATAAAATTTTATAGATTAACAAATTATATAAAAGTTCTGAAGTTTTACATGATTTCTTTGTGAGTTATGCCAACCAAACAGTCACGTTTTTTTGGATATACATTTACACAGCATAAGTAGGAGAGCAAACTCTATTTTTAGAACTCGTACTCAAACATACTGGTGAAGTTCAATACTGGCTCTATGAGTTAAATAAAGTTTAATGCAGTAGGGTTTTTTTCTTCTTCTAAATAACAAAATTACAATGAGTTTTTTTTTTAAAAAATTGCAATGAAATTTAACCTTATTTTCATCCATAGATAGTGCCAGTTTGTAGTGAGGATATTCAGAAAGAAGTCTCCATGCTGAAATTCCCATCTGAGAAGCCTCAGTTGTACCCTGTATGAATGTCAACTTCTGAGACCTGCCACAGGCAATCAAAATGTTATCTGTCCTGTTATACACAACACTCGTAATTCCATGAGGATAACAGTTTGACATGGAAAACTGATCTCTCCTAGCCTGGAATCCTTCAGATGGACTGTACGAAATTTAAAATCAATTTTATTAAAAGAAGATTTAAACAAACTAAACTAAATCAAATGAATATCATAAACAACAAGCCGAAACCACAAATGTAGAAAAAAAAAGGACTTCTGAGAATAAGACAATAAAATATTTAGTATTGAACGGGTTTTCCCTGAATTCATAAACTAAATTTTACAAAAAGGAAGAGTACATTATAATGTTATTATAAGCAGGTCCCGGGGTAAGCATTCGTCGCCTCGCCAACTGTGATAAAATCGTAAATTTGGCAAATAAAATTGTGTTTTGGCGAATGACTTTTCCACTGGAAAGAAAAATATATATTTAACTTGATCCTCAAAAATACATCAAAATGAATATTTCTAAACAAATCAGTATTTTTTATTCGATTACAGTAATTTTTGGTAGATGTGCTGCATAACTAATTAGAATTGGGCCCAAATAATATAAGCCGGAAACAAACTATCGTAAAATAGTTTTCCATGGGAAAAAAGTAGTTAAGATTTGCATTTGGAGAAGACTTTGAAAATAGGCGAATAATTTTGATACTTGGTTAATAATTTGAAATCCTTAGCACGGACCTTAGGAGCGCTGATGTAATTATGAACCAGCTGTTTGTGTATGTTTGAAATAGTGTGCTATTATACATAAAAATTATTCTCTCTAATGAATCTCTCTCATAAAAATTATTCTCTTAAATATCTCTCTCATAAAAATTATTCTCTCTAATTCTATTATCTCTAATGATTATTGTTAGAATAGCATTCAAATAAGCATTAAAAAAGCTATTTTATCGATATTTAATAATCCAGTAACCAATTTTCTAAGTCGGCTAAGTTGTTCACTAAATCATTAAATTACCATAAAAAAACTATCTATTTGAATGTGATTATTGACTATAATCATTAGAAAACATAAAATTAATAAAGTTTTGTTAAATAACAACATATTAGTACAAATGTACACAAACAACCTGTCCATTATGGAAAGGTGTCCCTTAAGGCTTATGGTGACATTTCTGATCATTTGTTGCTTTGCAATTCTAAATTAATATGAAGTTTGTTACCTTCTCATAAATTCAGCGTCATCCTGTGTATATAATACCATAAGTGAAATAAAGGTTTTTTTTTTAAAAAAAAGTTATGAATATTTCCAGAGTACTTAAGAGGAGCAGCATTCAGATCTATCTTTGGCAGAGTTACAGTAGGTAGACCAAGAGACAAAAAAAAATAAATAAATAAAGTATATAAATATATATACATATATATATATATATATATATATATATGTATATATATATATACATATATATATATACATATATACATATATGCATGCACCTCCGAGGACCTGAATTCAATGTTTTTCATCCTCTCTTTCTCACTAATAATTCGACAAATTCCGATAGCATTTATATTTTCTCTTAGGTTAAACATTAATTCACGTCCCCGACTTGTTTTTACCTCATTTGTGATGAGCAAACATTTAAGGAAAATCTATTTTACGGTTGGCGATTGCAGAACACCATGCAAATTATTTAAGTTCGTCACCATTTATGTATATATCAGTCACCATTATATATTAAGTTATAACCATTATATATATATCACCATTTATATATTAGGTTCCTCACCATTTATATATATTTTGCATTTCTAATTTCTTATTTATGTTTTAATTTCAGGAAAAGCAATCAAAGGCGTCGAAGATGGCTCTAAAATAGCTTTAGAATAATAAAAATCATTGCCACAAAAACTTAAGATTTAAACATTAGACATGGAACCCAAAGCCGTATTACGAGACAAATCTGTAAGAGACATTTGGGCTGCTATTGATAGAAGCACAATCAACATTTTACAAAACACAAAATCTCAGAACTTGTATTCATCTCCGAAAGCATCCTCTCCTGATAAACAGAATGTTGTTCCTTCTGGGTCACAAGCAAAAAGCACTAGCTCCTATTTCAGCACTTTGGAAAAAGCGAATCCTGCAGAAGCATACGGTTCATTTCAGCCTGAAGTGTGTAAGGTTGAAGACGATAATGTTTCCTTGTATTCAATATGGACCCCAACAAACAATGATAACTTGAAAAATAAACACACAAGTTCTTATGAAAGTCCTTTAATTGACCTAGACACATCAGAAAATTTAAAACAAACAAAGGCTTTCCCTACTAATTCATCATATGAAACTAATGAAAATTCCTTAATAGACTTAGACGTGCCAGTAAATACAAATATTTATGCTTCAAATAAAGATAGCAATTATGAAAGTTCTCTAATTGATCTTGAAATACCAGAAAATTCATATACAAAACACAATAAATGTATTTCACCTAAAGATTATACTTACCGAAGATTCAGACATGATTCAGGAAGTAACTCGAACAATGACAATGTTTCAGAAAAATCATTAGATGGACTGAATGAAGAGACATTTGGAAAGTTTTCGTATGCTCCAAATGAATCGGAGTTGACTTTAGCTGCGATATCAGATGCTACAGCGGCGTATGAACTTTCAGAAGACAAATCAATCCAGGAGACATCAAAAACAAAGGTTTTCGAATGTTCCGAAACTGCGNTGTTTTTCGAGTTGTTCGGTGCTCGTCGGTCCACTGCTTCCAAACTCGCATCACTGTGGAACTGTTCCGCTGCATACGAGCTGCTATTGCGCGATAGGAAAATCCTCCTTCTCGAAGGCCGATTATCCTCCCTCGTTCAAACTCCGTAAGTTGCTTGAATTTCTTATTCTTCCGTCGTGGAGGCATACTCAGGTCTCACTAAACGTTTGCCACTAACAAATAATCATAGACTATTTTCAACGTCCCGCTACAGCACTTTATTTATACGCTTTCAGCATCAATTCAGAGGGCGCTGCGCGCGCCACGCACGCGCGATGGCTCTGAAACTTTATTAATTTGCATAATATCCTATATATATATATATATATATATATATATAAATAAATAAGACAAAAATACTAAGAAAGAAAAAAGAAAATTATAAGAATAAGAAGAAGAAAAATTAAAAAGAAAAAAATTATTTTTTTATAAAAATTAAAAGGAAAGAGATAAAACAACAAAAGTATGTAAGATCGTCAACAGCTCACACGATTATACCAGCAAGAATAGTGCTTTCAAATATTGTATTAATAAAGCCAGAACAAAAAATATCAATACAATAATATGAGGAGAGCTAGATAAAAAAAAAAAGAAAATGATTCAAAAATAAAAAATTATATACAAGCAAAACTCACAAAAATAGTGCTTTCAAATATTGTATTAATAAAGCCAGAACAAAAAATATCAATACAATAATATGAGGAGAGCTAGATAAAAAAAAGAAAATGATTCAAAAATAAAACATTATATACAAGTAAAAATCACAAAAATGCAAGAATTAATCACAAATGCCAACAATGCAGAACTTCTCATCTCTTTTAATACTTAAATCCAAAAGATTAAAATCATCAATTCTCATTATGAAACAATATTAATTACTTAGGGTAAATATTTAACAAAATTATATAATTTTTAAAATTAAAGATAATAAGGTCATTAACTCCAAATTTGATATTTGGAGTACAATTTTAAAAAAGACACATATTAATTAGAATTACCTGTCAAATAATTATTATAGATAATAATTAAAAATATAATTATTAAATAAGACACATATTATTTAGAATTTCTCAGAACTCAAATTCAAAATTATCAATTCATTAAAAATCTTAAATTTTTGCATTAATTAGTAAAATATACTATACAATTAAATTTTAAAAAAAATATTTTTAAAAACATTTTTATTCATTTAGCTGAAAGGGGGCACAGAAAGCTTTTGAGTGATGCCACCCCTCACTGACATTAGTGAATCATGTCAAAAAACTGGCAAGATATACCATGGCTTAGACTCTCAATGAGAGTGCACAACCCAGTGCCATATTGCCTCAGGTGTATGGGGATTTGGAGATATGGAACCTTTGAATTAGAATATTAGATTTTTTTAAGAGCTAGCATTAATTATCTACCATTGAGTATTTTTCACTCTAGCATCAGTAAATGCCATTCCAGCAATAGCATAACGATAGTCTTGTTTTCCATTAGGAGAGGGAGTTTGTACCATCTATGGAGGAAGAAAATTAATCAAAATGTAGAAAACTTTAAATTGATTAATACAAGGTATAAAGCAATGAAAACAATTTAATAACTAAAATAAATATTATATAACAATCAATAAACAAACATTTAAAGCATTCATATTCAAAAACAATGATTGATGCTTTATAAGCCTTTACTTATATTGTTATCATCATTATAAAAAAAGGAAGCAAAAAAAAACAATTTAAAAAATTTCATTTTCTGATGATAGATTTTAAACCGACAAGCTGAAGTCTTACTGTTCCTTCTAATTTTGATCTGAATCTATATCAAAGGATATCGAAAATTTTACAGAAATGTCTACTTTTATTGATGAAGAATTGTAAGTCATCTGCTAGTGTGAAAATAATTTTCTGTTTATGCTGAAAGTGAAATTTTTTTCAGGAATAACTAAACTCGAATTTTCTTTATTATCCTACTATTATTCCTAATATTATTTCCTAATATTTCAGATTCAGCGTGTTCAAGTTATAAGTATCTAAAAGTATACTTAAGAATTTTGAGGTGCATTCAAAAATAAGTCCATGTCCACATTAATCATCAAAAAATCAACATTAAGCATGTTCACATTAAAGAAGTTCAAGATATTTTATTATTTTTTAAAAAAATTATATTCATAAAATTAAACTTTGTCAAACTATTAGCATGCTATATGAAATAAATCCATCAAAATGCAAAGCGAAAAACATAAACTGAAAGATGGAAGAATATAGAAACTTTTCAGCAACAAATTAAGAGCTTCACTGGCTTGTAGTATTTAAATTCTCTGACAGTTAAAAATTTACATTTGAAATTTTTAAATGTATTACATCTTTCAATGACTAAGTGATGAAAATATTAATAAGAATTTACAATGAGCAAAGGATGTCAAAAAATCAACCAAAAACCAATAATTGTAAAAATATATAGTTTAAACAATGCACAGATCTTTTTTTTAAAAAATCAAAGTAACAAAAACTAAGAAAAAAAATAAAAATTACAAATTTTCTGAAAGTTGAGAACTAACGAATAATTCACTAAAAATTAAAAAAAAATAGTAGAAATTAATTTAGAAGGTACAGGAAGTAAAAAATTATAACTTTTACATTCATTCTGTTATAACAAAAACTAGCACATTAATAGTTTAGCTTGCAAAGAGAGAACAGTTAATAATCAAATGCAGAAGTAAAAAAAAAAAAAAAGAAAACTTTTTAACAATTGTTTTGAAACTTTTCAAAATTCAAATGAATGCAAAAACTATAACAATGCAGGATAGACAATAATTTATGAAATTGAACATTAAATGGGTAGGTATTTCAGATAAGATCCAGAAATTATTAGATTGATCTAGGAAATTAATTAATAATTAATCTTGTAAAATCACACCTCGCACAATTACACACCTTGCATGTAGTTTAACAAAAGATTCATTAAGTGATTGAAAAAAGCAAGAGATTCAATTTGGAAACTTTAATTGAATTTAACAAGGAAGTAATGTAAAAAAATCCCACTGCAAAAAGGTGTAAATACTAATTTCCAACACCCACTCTAGGATTGAACAAACAGTTGGTGAGTTTCCATACTTAAAATTTTTGTAATACCTTCTTAATTGTTCTGACACTGCCCCTCGAAAAGAGCCAAAACCTCTAATCGGTTTTAATCTTCAGATCCTTCTTTTTTCGGTATGTATAAAAGATTTTGTAAAGAATTAAAATGTTTTGAAAACTAACTTTTAATTTTAATACAAAGTATTTTCCAGCTTAGTGCCAACTTTATTCATTAGAATAAAAATTCATACCAACTATAAACAAAGCAGTTTGTATACCTGAGAAAGTAAAATCATTCTTTTTTCTAGCTTCTTTTTGGAAAGAACAAATGTGTGTGATTACCAAACTTATTGAGACTTATTTTTCGTAGAAGGAAACAGCCTTGTATATGCATTGTTACTTTTAAAATGTCTTGGTAGCCAAGGTTCTGTATTTCCTCTGTAAACGAATTGCAGATTGCTTTTTCGACCAAATATTATTTTTATTTTAAAATTTGAAGAAATTTGGTGCTGCAAAAGCACCATACCTTGGAATTCACCCAATGTAAATAAGCAATTTGAGTATAACATATTGAGCACAAATAAAAATTATGTTAGAACTATTCAAGTTCAGAACTTACTTTATCTATGGTAAACATATGAGCACCGATTAAGTCATAGAAATCAAGCTGACCATTGCTGTGAGCAAATGCTAACATTGTACAATCAGGAGACCACAGCAACCTCCTCCACTGAGGATAAGTGTCTTTGATAACTGCAATACAAGGCAATAAAACTGAATCAATTAAAGTCTTTTGATTTTAAATGAAATCAATAAATACATAAAGGAACTAAATATCAAATAATTTATACAGTACATAATCAAGTATTGACACAATTTACCTTCAAATATAATTAGAAACACTTTATATAATGGTAATTACACATCAAAATGAATTAGATACAAGTCATTCAGGAACTGATTTCTGAAATATCATTTAATTTTTGGTAAGCATACTAGTGCAGCTGGAAGAAAAAAAATGTTACTATTCTCCATTCAGGGACGAAAAAAAAATCGTCAAACTTTTGAAAGTGCAAAAATGTTTTAACACCTGTTTTAGGTGTGATTTTCTTGAAATTAAAAAAAAAAGGGGGAGGGGGAGATTTTGGTCATCATAATGGAATGAATGGTCCAGTTTTGATGCTCAAATGGATGTCAAAATAACATCACGTCCATGGAATAGCAACCGGGACATCGTGAAGCATCGTTATAAAGGGAGCTCATACTAAAGATAGTAGACTGTAGTTACTTAGATGATTTTAGACTAATAATCATAATATATTTTTCTTTTTTCTGCTCATAATAGAACACACCAAATAATAGAATGAAATAAAAAAAAGGAATCAATCAGGAGCAAATCAAAAGACACTAAGTAAATTAATCTTCAAAACTATGTCATGAAAGGTTTCCTTTTTGAAATGCTAGAGGATTCTAATATGACTAAGGTGAGAAAAGTTTTTCTTAAATGTGTCTCAATGATGCAAAAGTGTTCATCTCAAGCAGAGACTACCACTTAAAATTATAACTTACTTTAGTTCAAACACGTTAAAGACAATATTTATTCTGAATTTCATCTTGACTCTAATAAACACTGAAGTGTTTTCTGTTAAAAAAAGGTATGAGAAAAAAAAAACCCTTCAATCTCACATATAAAAGCTATATATTAAATGATATATAAAAGATATATATTAGTAACTAACAAATTACCTTGAGTCTTTCCAATTATTGTCCCGAATTCATCCCTTGATGTTCTGAAAATTTAAACATAACCTAACATTAAAATGCAGAAACATAATTTGAGAGAAATTTGTAAAATAATTTCTTGCACAATTAGTTTACTTAAATACAGAAGCAGACTAAGATTTTTCAAATAACATAATTTGTAATATTCTATCAAGGCATGTCATCAACTGTCCCAATTCTATGATGTTTCCAATTCTTCACTTTGTTTACATTTGGGACCTCTGTTTACAGCTGGTTTAAGGATTCAAAGTAGTCATGTTACATATTAATACAGTAGGGAACCGATTATCCGGAACGATCGGGACCATCGCTATTCCGGATAACTGATTTTTCCGGTTTTCTGAATCGCTACAAAAAGCCGTTTTTTTATTGTTAAACCCAACTAAAAAAAAATTTTTTTTTGGAACTAATCTTAAAAAGAAGAAAAAACGATGGAGTAATACACTAATGATTATTTCCAAAATGATGGTAAGATAAACATCTTTCAAAAAAGAACAAAAAATCCTAAAATCTTATGAGGAAAAAAATTTTTTTTCAAAAAAATGGCGGGAAAATTCGTCGAATTTCGTTCCGGTTTTTTGGTTTTCCGGTTTTCTGATTTCCGGATAACGGGTTCTATACTGTATCATAATTAAAATTTGCATTTTTTTTAAAACTTAAGTTAATCACCATAGCTTATGCTTTTTTTCAAGATTGTGTGGGCATCAACCTTATGTAAATCGAAAAAGGGTATAAATAATTTTTTTGTTGTTCACATTTTTATTGCTTTTTCTATTGCTTTTACTAAGGCAATTACATGAAGAAAATATGAATGCTTATTTGTCTCCCATTCATAGTCATTTTAAGTTTATAAGTAATGTTTTTATAGATTATGCCTAGTATTTATATTATTTATATATATATATATTTATAATTTGTATATATTTACTATTTATATATATTTATTATTTACATATAATGCCTAGTTGATTATGCATTGGATGTTTCCTTTTATTGTATCTCTGATCAAAATATATATAAGCCTTCATAGCATGCTAGTAAAGTTAATAAGTTTATGATAAATTGCTGCCAGTGTCTAACAGACAAGCCATTGCAATGTCTTCATCATAGTCAGAGTGTGTTATCCTCACAACATGTGTTTCTTTATCCTCACATTTTTCAAAATTGTATGGTTAGACAATTCTACTACCTATTGCAGTAACACCACAAAATTTAAGGTGATATTGAGAAGATAAAAAAATATTTTAAACGTATGTTTAATAAAGATAATGTCAAAAAAATATTATAGTAATATTAATTTAGAGTTTTTAAAATAAAGAAAAGAGTAAATTCAAAAATAAGTTTAAAAACAAAAGCTGCAATACTTGCTTTCAATATGAAAGTTTTATCTTAATATTATAAGAAAAATTTTCAAAATAAAAAAATAGATAATAAACTAAATACATCCTAATATAAACAATGTGTTTAATTGTTTAAAATGGAAGTTAATAAAAATTATATTTACTGAATTATGAAAAAAAAATCCAACTCTTTTTAATTTTTGCCAGTTATAATTTAAATTTCTATTGATAAAGTTCAAAGTAATGACAGACGAATGACCTAAAAAATCAAAAGATTTTAAAAACTATGATTAAATAAATTGCATTGTTTAAGAAAGATGATACAATTAGAAAAATTGAGAGCTTCATGAGTAAAAATGAATAAAAAAAAGTTTCTATATTCCTAACTAAAATATAAACTGAAAAAGAATTTTAGTAACTTAAAAAGAAACAAAACAAGTATATTTAAATTTAACAAGCATATTTAAATGTTTATATAGTTTAAAAAAATACAATAATGAACACGCATACATTATAATACATGCTTAAATCAGACAAACTTACACTGGGATTTTATTGATTTAAAACTTTTGACAAGGATAAATTTTAATGTTTATTGGCAAAATCAGAAGTAAAGGCAAATGCAAAGGAAAAAATAAATTTTAAAAAAAAGAATGAAAGTTTGTTAAAAATCATTTCATGATCTACTATTAGGAAGTTAAGGGTTTTATCATTTCTTTTACTACATCAGAAACCATACTAAGAATCCAAGGACCATAACTTCTCAAGAAAAGAGTTAGGCAAACAAAGAAAGATGTTTTCAAAATTATAAAAATAATATTTTAATAGAAACTAAGTATTCTTTGGAAAGGAAACAAAAACATTTGAAAATCTGTTACCTTATTTCCAATGAAGTATCTTGCAGAACAGCAATCACAGCACCACTTCTGAAAAGGAAATTTTTGTACAACGTTATTGCATATCTATGACAATGGCATAAGACTAAGAGATCTATATAATTCATAACTTAATGCTAATCCGCAATTGACATTGAATCACAGCACTTCACAATGACATTTCAAGTCCTTAACCACTGAGCCATCGCAGCTAATTTTCTAAAACTTTATATCTATTGTAAATTTATTAATTTAAAAGCCCATTACCACTTACTTACTTTTCATAAAATTTCAAGTCATTATTTGATATTTTATATTGACCTACATTCTTCATTTTCTAGAATCTATTGTTTCCAATTAATGGTCCCATGAGAAATGACTGATCAAGGTTATAATGTACTCATAAAATAAATGAAACAAATTTGAAATTTACCCTCCAATAGCGAATGCCCATGGCATCTGAAGATTGTTAAGTTGTTGCACCAGTAATGGAGGACATAACTGAGAGGCAAATGGACCCAAAAACTTTGAAAGTATCCCTAAACATAAAAACAGTTTAGTTAGATAACTAAGAGAATTTTAAACTAAATGACATTTTTGAAAAAAGAAGAAAAAAATTGGAATTTACCTTTTTCATTGCCATCATTTTTATTTTCATTTCCTTTGATCTAAATGATAGAAACAAAAAAAAACAAAAATCATGAAGAAAACAAGTTATAGTTTCATAAACTCAAATGTTACATACATAAGACAAGAGTCAGGAATTTTTATTAAAATATCATTATAATTGTACTCGTAGTTTCTGATTTCGCAACATGGCCTATTGAAATAATTGCAATATGAAAAACAACAAGAAACATACATAAACTGACAAAAGATCGAATTACAACAACTATCAAATCACATTGACAAATAGATGAAGAAATGAAATTTAAAAAATGCATAAAATGTTTTCTGTCAGCAATTATATTTTTTTAAATGTAATTAAATTATGTTAATTGCTCAGAAACTAATAATAAACAAATTTAGCAATAAGATTAAAAATGAAATTAAAAAGATTTAGATAAAGGAATAACATAAAATGATTAGAAAAAGCTTTTTATGTTACATCCCCAATCCTTTAATCTTTCTCCCGATTCCATGAAAGGGAAAAATCAAAAATGTTAATTAAAGCATCACTTGAAGTCAAAATAGGTTGAAAGACATGGTGTGATTATCAAAGTGTGAGAAAAAGCATTTAGTTTAGAAAGAAAAAGATTCAGATAAAAGAATAACTTATAAAGATTAGTTGAAGCTTCTTATGTTACATACTCACAAACAAATATACACATATATCTAGCACAATAAAGATAAAAAGAAAAAAACTAAGAAAATTAATAAATTATATTTACTGTAGATAAGCTGCAAGCATATAGAATTCATAAAATAAGTTAAAAATATAGAGAAAACATGGAAAATAATAAACATTACTAAAAAGAGTATAAAGAAAGATAAATAATTTATAGAAGAAAAAAATTATTAAAATATTTTTTTTTTGAAAAAAAAAAAAAATATTACAGTATATTAAAAAACTGGAAAACAAGAAAAAATTAAAGATATAATCTCATCAACAGCGCACATGATTATATCCGCAAAAGAAGTGCTTTCTAATATTGTATCCATATAGTCAAAACAAAATATATCAACACAATAGTGTCAGGAGCACTAAAAAAAAAATTGAAGCAAAATGGAACACATAATAGTAAAAAATATGTCATTTAAAATACAGAAAATAAACTTAACTATTATTTACTTAATGTGTTCTATTTTGATTCAGATTTTTTTTTTTTTTTAGTGCTCCTTACAATATTGTATTGATATATATTTTGCTTTTGCTACATTGATACAATATTAGAAAGCACTCCTTTTTGCAGATATAATAGTGTAAGCTGATGAAGAGATTATATCTTTTTATATTTTTGTCTTCTGACACTTTTATATATATATTTTTGTAATTTTTTTTAAAAATATTTCATGTTAATAATTTTTCTACTTTTCTTTTCTTCAATCTGCATTATTTTCCATGTTTTCTCCTTATTCTTTCTTAATTTCGTTGTATACAGTGTTTTCACTACAGTGCGAGAACGCGAGAATCTCGCATATTTTTTTATATTCTCTCATTAAAAAATGATTACCGCGAGAAATTCGCTCATTCTATAAACCAATTTCAAAATTCGCGAATTTCTCGCATTTTGAAAAAAATTCTCATTTGCGCCATTTAGAATAAAATCCGTTTCACTTTTCTTCCTGGATCTTTTATTATTTTCAACATCTGCCCCATTATCTAGCTTCCCTATTTACCAGTATTGTTCAGAACCTTTAAGAACAACAGAACACCATCCTTCGGAACGAAGGAACCTCTTACAGAACGCATTTCTCTGCAACCATGTGTAAGGTTTCTTCATGTAAGATGTTCAAACTTTTTGCTCGTTAATGTAAGTTGGACAAATACCTTGTAAAGCCAATATCTTCTACTTCGAAACGGACAAATGAAAATAAAACAAATGTGGGTAGAAACGATCAAAACGAAACAAATACGCATTTGAGCAACCTAATGAGAATAGCTGATGAAAAAGTAGATGTAGAACATTTTCCATATGATGATGCAGCAAAAATATTCAATGCTTTAAAAATTAGAAGAAGTTAAAAATGCATTATAATTAAAGAAATGATATTTTTTTTCAAGTCTCTTGGTGTTTTTTTGTTTTTTTTTTAATTTTTGAAATCTTACTTAACTTTTTGAAATTTCACCCTGTTTTTGAGAAAGGGTGAGAAATTCTCACCCATTTTTTTTCTGAGATGAAAACACTGGTATATATATAATGTTGATTTGATAATTTATAATAGCACTCTGTTAAGGAGAGGATAAAAACCATAATCAATGAGAACTGAGTAGCACATAGTGAATCAGTAAAAAAAAAAAATGCATAAATGAGTAAATAAGATTTGGCAGCTTTAGCATAGTTTCAGATTAAATTAAAAACAAATATAGAATAAAAATGCATTAAAAGTAGAGAAGAAAAATGAAAGTAGTGTTGTTGTATTTAATTTACGTCGCACTAAAGCTGGACGATGGGCTATTGGCAACGGTCTGGGAAACACCCCTGAGGATGATCCGAAGACATGTCATCACAATTTTGATCCTCTGCAGAGGGGATGGCACCCCCGCTTCGGTAGCCCGACGACCAGCACACAAAGTCGAGCACTTTATGGCAGAACAGTTTAACAAGGACCAATACCGCACACCCTCGGTCCCTACGCAGACTGATCCAAGTGGGTACCCACCCGCACACTGCCCGTAGTCAGTGATGCTTGACTTCGGTGATCTGTTGTGAACTGTGTCTTAACGATCAGTCCACTGCGGGACAAATGAAAGTATTAATTACCAACAAGAGCAAATCACTCAGCAATTGTAAAAGATACTTACAATTTTTTTTAAAAATTAAATATAATTTTAGGAGAATTTTTGATAGTTTTTAGAGCTTTCTGCTTCCATTTTTAAGTCAACAATGCCTAGCTCTGATAATAACATTATTGACATGCAAATATATGATTATATCAACTTGGTATTTATTTTCTTTAAAGCTATCTAATATATGTGATAGTGAAACACATTATATGTTGAAATTTATTATTGTGTCTGTTAATTATATTATTAATGGAACAAGAGCTGATAGCCGTTTGTACAACATTAAATACAAACCTTATTGTAAACTCAGACGGTTTTGTAAGCTACGTCTGACGAAAAAATTAAACAGTGGGGGACATATTACAGTACCGCAGTGTTGTGAGAATCATATTTCCCTGAATAAAAACAAATTAAGTCAAATCAAATAATCTTAAATGAGTGATAAAATTGAAATTTAACAATTTTATGTACTGAACATAATTTTTCTACCTGAATTTCAGGCTCTTGCTGCCATTCAGCATAAATCAGTAGTTCATATAAAATATTATTCAATGTTGTATTATCAATTTCCTGCATTTTTAATAAATATAATTTTGAGAATTAAGTTCTTTAACACGAAATCATTTGCTAATTGCTTGTCAACTTCTGGCCAACAAGTCTTTTTCGATGGTAAATAAATATAAGATTGAAGTTGAAGTTTATACTAAACAAATAATATTANTATAAAATCCAGCTCAATCAAATCTAGAAAATGGCTTTGAAAAATAATTTTGTTTATGATATGACAGGAAACTATAGATGCAAAATAACTGATTTCAGTAGTGAGGTAGTTGGAATATATGGGTAGCAAGTAAAAATATCCAAGGCATTTTGAATTAATTGAGCAAATGGTGCAGCTCTTAGCATTCGAAAGAACATTATTGGAGATAATATAGTAAATTTACAATAAAAAATATGACTTACCTAGCGAATTCGTTTCATTGCTTAATCATTCCGAGTACGTCCAGCTCAAACATTTTCGCCATTTTCAATCACGTTCAAAATGCGGGCATCCAAGCGGTTGGCGATAGATTTCGTTTGGCAATCACCCATTTCAGCTGATCGCCAAAGTTTAGGGTTATAAGAGGGCGGTCAACCAAGACAGTGCGTTTAAATATAAAAAAAACTCCATTTTAAGAAATTCTTTAAATTAGCAATAATCTAGGGTTAAAAAATGTAATATTTACTTTAAATATAATTTTTTAAAAAGTACGGCATGAAAAAGAAAGCGAAAACCGCGCTGGCATCGTGCCAACTTTTTGTTACTGAAGGCTAGAAGTGAAAAGAGCGGGTCTCATTTATAATAACAATTTTAATAACATAACACGGAGTTCCCTGTTGGATTCCGTGGTAGCATGTTGTATTTGAAGAAGAGCCTCAGAGCTCAAATAAATATTGATAGGCTAAATTAAGCCTTACCTATTGAAACGCAGTGCTATAAGCGAAAGCAGAGAGCACGCCGCACTTTACTTTACTCAATAACATAACATAGCAATTTATTGTAACATAAATTTAGCAACGTGAAAGGGACGAGCCAAATATTTAATCATGGAAGATTATTATTCTGATGGTTCGTCAAACATTTACATTGATTAATCTTTTGATTATTATGAAAAGTCACATGAATAAGCTCTGTTGAAGATCGTATAAATTGATTGCTAATGTTGTTGACAAATTACTTTGCGTTTAAACTTATTACTTGCGTTTAAACTTAGATTTCTTATAGATTCCTAGAGAAAGAAAATTTTCTTTATAAAACTGCATTCTTGCAGTGATTACATGTCCCATATCTAGAGAAGGCATTTTATCACTTACCTTTGCAATATTATAAATCAAAAGTTTGCTGCATTCTTTGCTATTATAATTTGTTTGTTAGTATGTCATAATGTTTGTATAAAACTAGTGATTTCTTTTGAAAAAAAGAAGTAATTGCAATTTTGATCATTTGATTTTGTGAAATACAGTCTACATAATGGGAATGTATCTTAATTGTGATCAGTCCCATTATCTTCAATCCCAAAGGTACCCTTACAAATTGTATTTTTTTTTTTTTCTTAATGTCTAGGTTTGTTCTGGGGTGGCTAGGAGTTAAGCTTTTGAAGTCGGTCTCCCAATATGATTTTTTTCATTTCTTCTGGGCCACTGCTTGAAAGTGGCCAAGATTTGGTCCTCCCTGCATATTCTATTAACTTTTGTAATTTTTTTTTAAACTTATCACTAAAGATTTTTTGTTCCTAAATATCTAGTATGTTTATTTTTAATCAGTGTTAAAAACTGTTTTCCAATATATATTGAAATTCGTTTATTGTGTTAAGAAAATATATTATTTTGAAATCTGTTAGGAAAATATTAAAATTCTTTTGGTGTGAAACAGAGCAACATCGTTTAACAAGTAGTATATAATGACTTCTAAAATCTGATTACCTACTCAATCATCAAATAAATTTAAGTTATTTAAAAGAATTTTCTTCTCTATAATGTTTTAAATGTATCTAGTGTGCTCTTTATTGAAGAAAAAAAATTAACAATTTTCACCTATTGCAATAAGATGTTTTTTATAAATGTTAAAGCTTAAAAGAAAGTTCATTTGCATGCTTTACCAAAAAAAACGTATAGTGATTTCAAGAATAGTATTAAAATTTGATTTAGTGTATTATCATTTCATCCCAAAATTAATTTCATATTATAGAAGAAAAATCACTTAAGAGGTCTTTAGATGATGAATTTAGTCGAATGAAAGAAAACTCTAAAAAGTTGAAGGATGAAAGATTTGCATTAGAAAAAGAAATTGAAGGTAAGCATTACCCTGTTAATTAAAATATCTTTAAACATCAAACATACATAAAAAAAATTTTTTTTAGTTAAGTTAAATAAGTTTTTTTATCGCTTTATTATATTGACATATTGTTTTCTTCATGCTTGAATTTTAGTACATTTATTTCACATCTATAGAAATGTTTTAGATATGAGTGGGTTTGCTTGAGAAAAAGTTATTGGTGATGCTTAGCAATTATAAATCTTTTTTTTTTTAGAACATTGAAAAGATGTTTAGAATTTAAAAGATTTTCTAAACTGCCCATTATTTTTTTAGATTTACAATTTATAACTTATTTCTCTTTGCACTTATATTTTTGTTTAAAAGTAGTTTTTTGGTAAAAAGAATCACAGCCAGAGTTTTTTAAAAAATGTTTTCTGCGACTCCAGTTACTGTTAAAATTTAAAATGAAATTAACGTGAATTTTTAAAAAAATTTTAACGTGAGTAATTAATTTTATTTATAGGCTATATACATTAATAAATATTTTATTTCTTTCAATTTTATTGACATATTAATAAACAAATATTAAGGGAAGAAGGATGCCATTATTCATTAAATGGGATATTCACCATTATTCTCAGCTCTAAGGTTTATCAAATTGGACCTCTATCATATTAGATCTTGCCAAAGCTATACTGTTTCTTAGAAATTACCAATACCAGTTTTTCAATTTCATAATATTTTTCTGTTATATCTGTTACTTTTATATGTGAGGAAGTTTTACAATTGCAGAAGTTAGAATCATTAATTTCCTTTAAGAACTTCACAGCCTTGTTTCTAGCTTACACTTGGTCCCATTTAGTGCAGTTAAAACATGAAAAAGAAAATAATAATATTTATTTATTTTTTACTTTTNCATAGAAGATTCCCGGGGAATTAAAAATATGTCCGTATTGAGAGGCGTCCGTTTTGCAGGAGTGTCCATAACAGGAGGTTTCACTGTATATGAAAGGCATATTGTATAATAGCTTAATTGTAATAATAATAATAGTAATTCAAAAATGTTTTAGCATTATGTTGTAGAATTTTCTTCTGGTTTATCTTTGTGTTAATGTTTTTGTTTCACCAAGAAGAAAACAATCATAATCCCTTTAAAGCAGAAATGCAGGTCATAGATTCAAAAATGTATTTTTAAAAGACAGAGACATCTTTAAATTAAAGTGTTAGAGAGTCGTTTTTTAATTACGTTAATTACTTGGGATGAAAGAAACAGCCAGTGAATTTATTTACACTTAGAAATGATTTATTTTCTATATTAATTTGTTTCTAAGTTTACTTATAAAGTGATTTCATAATATGTATTTGTTTATTTAAAAATGTAGAATTGGAAAAAATATCACAAAGTAATAAATCATTGGAGGAAGAAACAATTTCTGAACAATCAGAACAAAATGAGTCTGAAAAAGATGAGTTAGAAAGAACTTTGAAAGATTCAGGTATTCATAATTGTAAATAAAAATGTTTCTAAATATATTTGTAAAATCATTTCTTGATATTTATTTGTTTATTTAAAAAAGTAGATTCTGGACAAAAATCAAAAAGTAAGGAATCATTGGAAGAAGAAACTATTTCAGAACAAAATGAATCTGAAAAAGATGAGTTAAAAAGAACATTAGATGATTCAGGTATTCTTAAAATTTAATTTATTACATAAATATTAAAGTTGTACTGGACCAAAGTTTCAAATGATCGGTGGTCAGATAATCAGGGTTTTACTGCTGTTAATAAATAAATAAATTTATTTTATCCTCTAATTTTTTTTAAATGTTATACTGCAATCCTCCCATTTGAACTTGTTGAACTGTGGACAATTAACTCCTTCATATGAGCTTGAGCCCGTGGGCGCCTGTTATGTTGACAATGGAAAGATGGGTAGAGTGGCAAGCGAAAACACAGAAGCGGTAGTCACAAATCAGTTTATACTAATAGTGAAAGGACCTAAAATATAGTGGGGATGTATACAAATACTTCAGGAGAGTTATATACTGATATGGCAGATGTGGGGAAAAAACAAAGTTACGATATGAGAAAGTGGCAATATAAAAGTTAGGTATAAGCTAGGGGTGGCAATCCTCCCATCAAAATAACTTTTGGTTTTATTTAAGGATTTGTATGATATTGTTTTATTTATATTTATTAAAAAATAATAAAACTTAATATTTTTGCTCAGATATGTAATTTTCTTCTTTCTTTTTTTTTAATAATTTTTGCTATTACTTTCTTAGTTTTTTTTTTATCACTTTCTACTTTTGTGCCATGTTTTGAAAATTATGAGAAATAATTGCATTTTAAAAAATGTTCAAATCACAAATAAATCATTGAATTTATGTGCTTTTAATTTGAATTTTACAACATGGCTTCATAGGGTCATTAACTAATTAATTTTTCTAAAATATTTTGTTATGTCAAAAATGGAGATTATCATGATAACAATTGCTATAATTTTCTCATTTATATTAAAAGTTTTCATAGTGTAATTTAATTTTAACTGTAACTTTATGTTACTAACAAACATTGCCAGATACTCTATATATAATTTCTAATTTAGTGTAACAACTACAGTACTGAACCGAATTCCTAAGCAATTGTAGGGTACGAACTTGAAAAGATCTCATTATATTATTTATATTACTTTTATATAAATGAGGCATAGTGACTGTGAAGCATTATAGTTTCATCCCTGGTGGTAGCTTGAAATTCAATCAGCTCTAAATTGGTTTGTACCAGGTCTATTAAATTAAATATGAGGAGGAATGGCTGAATAATAAAGGTACTGAGGCAAATCAACGGTACAAGTTTGTCTGAGAACTAAAAGGCAGTCACCATTATGCTGACTACATCATGCCATTTGTTCCAAATTTGTGGAGTCTGGAACTCAATGCTCCCCCCTCCCCTGCCGCGAATTCTAGGAATATGTGTCATATACGTGTCATTATTATGAATGTTCAATAGTATGAATTAATAGTGAAGTATTTTAACAAGATTTTTAAAAAAAATTATTTTATGACGGTGAAAGATATGATAATAATATTATTATGTATGCTTATAGAGGAGGAAGTGTCTGAAAACGATTTGGAAGATGAGACTGCAGGCTCTGACGTGAGTGAATCTGTTCTTAAAATAATTCTAATAGTCATTGGTATGCAAAGGAAGGGCTTTTAATCTAAGATTTTAACATTGTTAGAAAACTCTTTTTGTGTTTTCTAATGCATGTAGAAAAATAATTTATTACTCATATTTTAAGAGAAAAATTTTATTCGAAACTACAACTAATAAAAGTTATGATGACATCTATTAATAGTTTTGCCAGTGCTGCAGTAAGTGTTACTGTCTTAATAACTGATTTTTTTTTTATTTGAAAAAAAAAGGAAGAAAGAGTAAGCTGAAAATTGTCTAACAGGATAATTTTTTAATATCTTAGAAAAAAAAACTTCAATTTAAAAAGAGAATCATATTTTATAATTTGCTACTTTTGACCATAGTTAGTGTTAGTAAGTCTGTCATAATTAGTGATAGGTTTAATAAGTCTGTATTAAAATTATATAAATATAAATAAATCAGTAGATTTATATTATATCCTTAAATTAAAAATCAGGGATGGAAAAAAGTTGCAAAGTATTTTTTAATTTGAAAGCAATATTCATTTAAATTCTGAGGAAATATTTTTTTTCATAAACAAATAGTAAAACAATACAAAAACAAATATTTTTAACAACCTCGGCTTATACTACTGGTACATACTTTCCATAAAAATTGTATAAACAAGCGTTATTTTAACTTTTATACAAGCATTTTAAAATGAATAAAATATGCTAGCATGAACTCTGGTTTTGCTATTAGCCTTTCTAAAACTAACAAACTATGACACTAATTTGAAAATAAGAATTGTGGCTTAGTGGGACGGTTTTTATCCAAACTTTCAATTTGTAGCGTTCAGAGTTAAAAGGGGGTATGTTACAAATCTGCACTTTTGAGGAAAACCAAAAATATTTGTCAATTGTGGAAAGATTGTTTTGATTGCTTCCTAATTGTTGGATTCTCTTCTTTTGCCAGTCTACATTTGATAATCGGTGATTGATAATCGGTGATTGATATTCCAAAACCAACAAAAAACTTCTTTTCAAAAGATATTACATACCCCCTTTTAACATTGACTACTTTATTTTTTGAATACTAAAATATTTAAAAATTAAAGACACATCAAAATAAGGCTTTAGAAGGAATTGACAAGGTTGCCACAGGCTACTAAAATGTGACTATTTGCTACTATTTTCGGCCTCAGTGGTGACTTTTTTTGCCTGAAAAGGCTAAAAAAGCAACCATTTTCAGGAATATGCGACTATTGAAAGACTTTTTTACTCTTAGCGAAGTTTTTTTTTCTCAAAAATGAACGTTACTTTCAGTCCCCTCGCTGACACTTTGCCTACCATGTGCGTAATGCTCAGTGACATCATCACGCTAAACCATCCCTTGTTATTTCACTTCACTGAAGGAGACAGCTGACAAGTTGTTAGAAGAAGCGAATGAAAGACTTAAGGAAGCCCTTAGGAAGATATGCAAGGAATTAGAGTTGCACAAGGCATGATTGAAGGTATTCTGTCTGCAATTACAACAAAAAGAAAAAGAGCATGAAACAAACGAACAAGAAATAAACTAAATTGTTAATAAAAGAAAGAAAACTCATATACAATCATGTATGTCCAAAAAGCCAAACATTTTTAATTTTTATTAGATTTAATAAAGTACTTGTTATTTTTTCTTTCTGAGGGGCAGTTTTGTTCTTTTTAATTGTTTTCCTTCTATTAATATTTTATTGCAATTAGACTTTTGTTTAGGTATCTATTTTCTAATATGTATACCTTTTATATTTGTACAAAACTTTTTTTTAATTGGAGCATAGTTCATAGTATATGACAATTATGCTATAATTTTAGTTATTTGGCTACTATTTTTGATAAATTTTTATCCCCGTTCAGACAACTATTTTCGTAGTTTTAAGCAACTATTTTCCTGCTTGAGACTACTAAAAGAAACTATTTTTGTTCCTTTTTTGCTGTGGCAACCCTGAATCGAGGATAAAATTTAGAACAAAGCTCTCAATGAGAGAACACTCTTAATAAATCGACACTCGACTGCTGTCTTTAAATTTAAAACTAGCCATGACTGTGTTACCAGTTCATTGAACAGATCCAGAATATTCTCTTACCCACTCTATGTCCTTTGAAAAAGTAATCAAATAATGAACATGAAACATCTTACCTTAGTGTTTTAAATTTTTATTGTTGCTTGTTTGAATTTTCCTGAATGAATGTTTCTATTCTTTGTTTGTTCTTTCTGTAGGTATGATCAGAATGTCATCACTTGAGCAAATGATACATCAAGTGCAACTGATAGAAAAAATTATTTTTAATGTGAATTTTCTACCTTCCATTCTAGATTGAAGAGGAAGTTGAAGAGATATCAGATCCATGCGTGAAACATTTTGAATTCACATTACCTGATGAATGCACTGAAGCAGCTCTGAGCCCTAAAAACCCAAGATTAAAGTACAAGCTTGCAGAGGAAGTAGAAATGCCTGGTTTAGGACAGATGAATTTCTTTAAAATGTTTCCACATCTTGAGAGCCCACCATTGGATAAAAAAAATATATCAGAATTTGCATTAAAAAAGAATTTGCTTTCAACTGTTTCACAATTAAAGAAGCAGCTTACCGGTTTAGAGATGTCTTTTTTAAATATCATCACCAACTACATTGACGTATTGTTTACCAAGCAATATTTCAAGGTCCGAGAAAAACTTCGACGGGCCTATTGCATCCACATTCTCAACCATATATTGAAGTCCAAAGCTAGAATAATTCACCATAACAGCAAGATGAAAAAGAACCCTCAAGCAGAGTATAGAGATCAGGGATTCACGCAGCCAACCGTTTTTATTCTCGCCCCTTTCAGGGGTGACTGTCATCGCATTGTCAATCAGATCATATCTTTGATGCCACCCAAGTGCAAAGTTATGAATAAAACTCGCTTTGAGAAAGATTACGGACCAACTGGAGCTAAAAGCAAAAACAAACCTGAAGACTTCTACGAAATATTCGATGGAAACAACAACGAAGACTTCAAGATCGGACTCCGCATCCAGAACGAACATATCACTCTCTTCTCCGACTTTTATAAATCTGATTTGATCATAGCCTCACCTCTTGGTTTGAGACCCATTATAGGGGATACTGATAATAGGCAAGGGGATGCGGACTTTCTATCTTCTGTCGAAGTATTCATTGTTGACCGATTAGATGTCCTCGTGATCCAAAATCCTGTCCATCTTGGTCATGTTTTGCTTTGTATGAATCACCTTGTTAAAAAAGAACACGGCAACAAGAAAATTAATTATTTCCGAGTGAGAGAATATGCATTGGATAAAAAAGCAAAATACTATCGGCAAAATATCTACCTTAGTGCAGTGGAGAATTCTTCTTTTGTGTACAACTACTACATGAGCCATTGTTATAATTATGTGGGTCACATGAGATCTCATGATTGGGTTGCGCATCCAATCATTGAATTCATTTATCCTGCTATGCAAATGGTAAGATACACATCTTTATTTGTTAATTGAAAATTATTTGAAAGTTTCAATTATTTAGGCATGGAGTGAAAGCTTTCAAGTTTTGAAAGTTTTTTGACTGATTTCTGTTTTTTTTTAATAGTTTTAGAACTAAGTATGAAACGAGTGAAATTTAAAAATAACAAATTATAGTGAGTCTTCAATTAAGCTTCAATTTTGTCAATTCTCACTTTGAGCAATAAGCGGTACTATTTTACAGAATTATGTCACTTCATATTTTCCCCCTCTAAAAATGTGCAATAGGAGTACACATATTTACCCCACTCTCATCAGATTGCAAATCAAATGGCCTCTTTAAAAACATAATTTGTGACGTTAGGTGTTTGTAAATAGATAGACCAAATTTTCAGTTTCATTTCAATTCTTTTTGCTTTAAAAAATTAATTTCAACAATTTAATGTATATACTATGAACACAGTGAAAAAGTATCTATATTTTCTTATTAAATCCATAGAATCTGCTAGTTAAGTGCAAATGTTTTGGTAAGACCAGGGTTGGGTTTTTGACGTCAAAAAGTGGTTTTTGACGTCAAAAAGTGGTTTTTGACATGACAAGGGTATAATACTGGTTTAAACTGTCAAAAACTGAAGTTTGCCAAGAAAATATATGAACTTCAAAACTACCAACAGTTGCCATGCATTATATTGAAACTTAATTATACTATGGGTAATCAGCAGGTTTTAAAATATTTTTAATTAAAATTAAGGTAAAATAACAGATTTAAAATCTCAGAAATTTATATTCAAATGCATGTGCAGAAAAATTTTGCACAAAAATTGTTTAAATATTTATATTTTAAAAAAAAATTTTTTTTTTTTTTGATACTTAAGAAAATTAAAAGTTTATTACTATGCATTTTTGACATATAAGGAACATATAACTAATATTTATAAGGAACTTACAAGTTATGTTGTATAAATATAAACTTGATACAAGTATAAAAAAAAAATTTCAATGTTATACCGAATATCTTTATTATCCAGTATGTTAATTTGAATTTAAAAGTATTTATATTTATGATTAATGATAAATATAATTCATATTGTTTATTATACTTATTTATAATTATTACACTTAGCAATAAAACAATATTTTTCTCTTAATTTTTTTTCTCCACTTGTATTAAGAATACAAATAATGTATATCTGCAAAAACCTGCCAACCCTGGGTGAGACTTCTGTCAGAAGAGTCATTGAAAAGCTTAAAGCTGTACATCACGCACATAGAAGCATACCTAAAACATGTGTGCATTGTCCTTTTTATTAATGTAACTGTAAAAATGTAATTTATATTGTATTTTATTACTTACAAAAAATTTTTTATTAAATTATTAAGTAAAAAAAGGGCAAAATTAAGAAGTATTATATTTCATGCTTTGTAAATATGGAAATCGAACACACTGAATTTCGTTAATTGCACTAACTGAAGCTGACTACCCCTGGTTCAACAAATTCACTTAATGGAGTGATTGAATTTTAAAGGGGTGATTTAATTTTTTTTACCTGTTTGGTATTTGTTTATGTAGATCAACTAACACAGGTGATCAATATACAGAGGTAGTCATCTTAACAGGTTTGACTGTAATGTATTTTACTTGGCCTTCCCCCTTCATTAGATTTGGGTTAATGTCTTCATAAATTTTAATATTTATCATATCTCGGACTATCTGAGCTAGGGCCTTAAATGGTGGACCTTAACTAATCTCTTGTATCTGCCAAATGGAATTGTTTTTATAAACTATGGTTTTGATATGTTTACCATTGCCCCCATGTTATTGAAACAAACCATCGCATACCATGAGCGATTGAATTTAAAACTGGCTGAATCACGCTATTGGTAGAAAGTGACATCACTGCTTGTGGGAAAGTGGATGGTATGTATTGGCTGGCTTTAACACGATTTTGGAAAATTGCTGAAAACTTACCATTTAAACAAGTTAGGTTTTGATTTTCTGTTTAATAAACTTATTGTTGATTTTATCAATCTCAATATGTATAACAATTAATTCTCAAATGTGTTTTTAGTAGCCTCAATAATTCAAAACAAAATAATAATAACTGTTCAATCGCAAACAATAATGTAATTTGCTGAATTTAAAAAAAAGCAAGAAAAATAGTAACGCTACTATTGTGGTTAAATTTTAATGAGACCTAATAGGTAAGTAATATAAATAATGTGACTATGCACAGTATTTTGTTTTGTTACAAATGTTTGGAATGCATAATGCACACGACTAAATAAATATTTCTTTTACTTATTAAAATTGTGCAAAATAAATGCTATTTACACAATTTTGTGATAATTTCTATTAATAGTCAAAAGTCATGGAAATAAAACTTAACATTGATATTATGTACACATTTACAGGAATGAAATAAGACCAGAAAACGAAATCTGTGGCCAAAGTTAAGTAAACACCAATCGATGTTTCCCTACATACACGTAATCATGTCATTTTCTAATAACATGATATGGCCACTATGAAATTTAATCGCTTGTCACATGTGTGGCTGCCCATTCTTCTGGATTTTTATATTTAATATGATAGCAATTTTTTTCTTTCTGTTTTAATCAATACCAAATATATTAATCGATACATTTTGCTACCATTATGTTTAAAGAAGGTCTATTAGTTACCTTATGTTTAAAATGATGAAATTATTTAAGCTTTTGCCTACAGTTTTACTTCAATAGTCATTTAATTCTAATACTTTTTATAATGAGTTTAAATATTGGTGGTTCTGTCATCATTTTTATAATATAGCTCTTTAAATTGTTAGTTTTCTGTCATTTCATTAGAAATATTTATCCGCACTGTTGGAAAGACCTTTCTTACTATGTTTTTCTCATTTGCAGTGTTTCAGAGTTCTTGACTCTGATAATCCTCAGCAGGAATACAAAGACAGGCGCAAGTTTTTCACAGAAAAGATTCTCCCAGAGTTTGTCAACGACAAATCTACCGTCCAGACACTCATTTACGTGCCCAGTTACTTCGATTATGTGGAACTTCGACATCATTTCCGTACATCCGAAATCAGTTGCTTCATGATGTGTGAATACACAGACAAAGGAAAGAAAGCTCAGGGTAGAGATCTGTTTTTCAAAGGACACAGACACTTCATGTTGTACACAGAACGTACCCATTTCTACTTTAGACATTGGATCAAAGGTATCCAGCATGTTATATTTTATAAACTGCCCACGTACCCCAAGTTCTTTCGAGAGATATGCAATTCTCTAATGGATTCCCATCCAAAGAGAAAAGATGAAGAGAGGACGTGCACCGTTATTGTGTCACCCAGAGACTTCTTGCAGTTGAAGCATGTGGTGGGTATTCAAGAAGCTGACAAAATGCTGAAATCTAAACAAAAAACTTTTGTAAAATATGTTGGCAGCTGATTAATAGTAAAATGGTACGATTATTAATAAATATATATTTTTATTGTTAAAATGTGTAATATCTGAACCTTTTTTTTTATAAGCATTGGATTCTTCTACTTTTTTTGCACTTTCTTCCTTTTTTCTGATTTTGAATCTTAGATCACAGACTCCCAAAGTAAGTTCCCTGAAAATCTACACACAGTAGTAAATCAGAGAAAAATAAAGAATTAAAATCCTGGAATGAACTTAATAATTTTAAGTTTGCTTAAGTTTTGTAGTAAACAAAAATAATTATTTATTTTCATTGAAAAGTAGTACAGTCAAATTTTATTATAGGGAACTGCCTGTTGACCTAGCAATAAATCCACAATAAACAATGGTTTATACTATATCAGGGGTCTGTCTAGGTCTTTTTTAGAGGTACCTATTTTGTGAAAATGTAGACATAATTTGTGAAATTTAAAAATTTTATTAAAAAATCAACACAAAAATAAGGTAAAATACGAAAATATTTTTCGAAAATAAGTTAAAAGTATTTTTTTATGAAACTATCGCTTAACGGCAGTAAATTTGCCCTGGACAGATCCCTGTATATCAAAGTCTTTTGAAATTTTTTTTGGCATAGGTCAGTACTGTTTGATATAGTGATTATAATAGTAAATAATTTAGTTTTAAATTCTCAACTTAAAGATAATAAATTAAATATTTAAATAAAATATATCACATTCTATTTTTGATTGACTGCAATTCGAATCAACAATTAGTAAAGAACTCTGAGAATTAGAATATTTAATGCTAATTTCACTTCTGAGATAAAAATTAACGAACTTTCTTGTTCTTCCTCAACATATAAATGATAGAGGCATGTGCTGCATAACAACTTGTCCACTCTAACTTAAAAGATTTGACACAATATAAATGAGCAAAATGAAAATGCAATTTTATTATGCTATAAAATAAGATATTTTACAAATCTCCATACAAAAGTGATTGTATGCATATATATACATTTGAAAACTACATTACAAATTGAAATGACTTATGTGAATACTTAACAAATAATTTCAGTAAATTTTAAAAGTGAAATAACCATAAGAATATGCTTCCATTATATGGTAATAAACATAACACTGATTAAAAAAAACAGTAAAGTTATAATTTATATATTTTTTAAACTTCAGATTTTAATAATTTAACCAGCACTAGAATAGGAGTAATTAATAATATGGAAAAAACTTTAACCACTTTTATTTTGACAGACTTATAACTCAGTTAAACAAAATCATTGTGCAAAATTGAAATTGTTATGGTTGATTTCAAAATAAAAACTTATTTAACAAAATAAACTTAAATTTTTAATCAACACCTCTTTCAAGAAATTTTAGAAATAGTTAAATGAAAAAATTGAAGGAAAACAATTACATAATAGATGAATTTTCTTTTAATAACATTTAAAATCCAATAAAATTATTTTTAAAAAGTAACACATTTCAAACAAACTCTTTTTTGTTCAAAATTTCTAATACCATTAGTTTTTCTACCTGCTATTTACAACCAATGATGTTGAACATAATATTTACATATTAAAACTTGCTATTCAAATCAGTCTAAAACAACAATGTCCATCACAGGTATAGGCAGAATGTTTTTAGCATTTGTAGACAGCGCTTTCTTGGGAGATTTCTTAGTGTTTGCTACCCGGACATCAATGCAACTTCCACTCTCCATGTCCAGATCTACAGGTGTTTCATCTGGTTGAATTACCTCCCCATCAAACTCAAATGTCAAATTTTCCAGTGGAAGTTTTCTTTGATCCGCATACTTTTTCATCACTTCTAAGAATTTTTCCAACTAAATAAACAAATGAGAAGGGGAAATTGATTTTTATTTCTCCATAAAAAGCAACAAATAAGAAGGGAAAAAAACTGAAATTTGGTTTAACTGGATGACAAACACTCAGGAAAAATTTTCTCACAACTGATTTTAGTAAATTTTACTTAATGCTTCCTAAAATTACACTTAGCTTGCGACTTACTATTCGAGTTCCAAATAAACTTTTTAATATATATATTGGATTACCTTGAAATATAATCGAGTGCCTGTCTATATTTCCTGTAGTTATATTAAGATTAATTTAGTGTTTATTAGGGGTTTTTTAAAATGTTTTTTCACCCTTTTACACACATTATTAAACCTTCAACTTTCTAAATTCCATTTCCGATCTGGTAAATTTTGAGATTATGATCTATAGTCTTTCTCCGATTTGCTGTTTAGTTTTGTTAGTTTTTCTTGGAGCAGTAGAGGGTATGATTATCTGCGGTAATATACCCTCAATTATTGAAACTGCCCTCACACTGGCTGCATGGCAATACCCTCCTGACGATGCTGCCATGTATGTCAGTGCCTCCAATTTTATTTTTTATTATTTTTCCTTTCTGTTAGCACTTTTAGTGCCTTCACAAAATGGATTTTTAGTTTGCCAATTTTTAGTTATACTTCATCCTTGTATAAGGAAATAACTTTTCATATTTTGTTTTTAAATATATTCTCTTCAAATATATATATATATATTGAACATCTGAAAATTAGTTCATTTTCGCTGACACTTTGCATATTTTAATGAAATTTTCAGACACTGCTCTGATTTTTTCAGTGTTTTCTGGTTACCGTGATTTAACATGCAAATAAGAGGGGGAAATTGAATTTAATGACTAACAGAATGACAAATAAGAGGTGAACACTGAATTTTAAACATACCACAAAAAACATTAAATAAGAGAAAAACGCAGAAGTTAAATTTTAACAAGCAATTACACATTGTGATCTGTATTCCCGTACATACATAACATTTTTTTGATTTCGATTTTCAGCCTTTTTGGATTGTAACCAAACTTTTCCTTGAAAAAATAAAATCATTCCAAAATGAATAAAACCAGTACAAAATTACTTACTTTGTGTGCTCGGATTTCTGTCTTTTTTCTAGTATCATTAGACTGCATTTTCAAGAGCAGTGTATTTGAGTTATTCATATTCTCCTCATCTTCATCATATGGAATACAATCTACAAAGAGAAAAGCACATTCATACGCATATGTACATATTTTTTTTTAAAAATTTGCAGGGCAAGTAACTTGTCATGTAACAGTTAATATTTGATGAAGAGGAAAACTATTTGATGCGTTCAGAAAATTCCTAAGTTTTCACAAAACTCTATGAATCAAAAAATCTACAAAAATTTCAATTAAATGCAGGGTTCATGTTCACAAAATGAAGAAGAAAAAAAATTTTTCTCTGACTATTCCAGGTCAATATACATTATATTCCAGGTAAAAAAAATACAAATACAAAATATAAGTAAAAAAAAAAGGTAAAAAAAATACTAATACTAATATTCATACCATTGTCTAAATTAAGTTATTTTTAAATAAACTTTTCAATTTAATAAATAAATAAATAAAATTTGAAATAAATTTTACATGTCAATGTAAAGATTTAAACTAAAAGATTAAAACTAGTTACTTAAATAATCTGACTTTCTAATAACATAATTGATTTAAAACATTAGTGTGAAAATCAATTATTAAGATATTTGATATGATTTAGATATCAGTATAAAAATCTTTAAAATAAATATAACAATAAATGAGGAGAGAAACAATATTTTACGCTGAATTTATCAAGAATAAAACAACCAAAATTGCAACAAGAGATAAAATGTCGGAGAGTAACTGAAATTTTTTTTTTTTACTCTGAACTCTCCTTTACTTGCAAAAATCTATGTTTTCTATATTACCTTAATATTTATGATAGAAAAGTGTTGTGAACAGAGCAGAAATGGAACACATATATAAAATCATATTACATATGTAAATTAATGAATGACCCCTATTATATTTTCATTTATTATTGAATTGTTAATTTAATACAATCATCATATAGACTTAAATATTTAAGCATTACAAAGTTGAGAAATTTATTATACATATAAAAAATATATCCTTTGAATTTAAAAATTCAATAATTAATTAAAATTAGTAATAGGTTTCAATATTTCTTTATCAAATAATTAAAAAAAGAATTTTTAAAACTTTTTTTTTTGGGGGGGGGGAAGCAAGTAGCTAATCATTTTCGCCAGAAGTGAATTAATGCATGGTTCCTCTCCACAATTTTCATACTTCTATGATCGTTGAATTTTTAAAGATCAATTGTTTTCAGTAAATAGTTTTTGGAAATGGTAAGATTAAATTGTATGAAATTAGTTGCTGCATATGCTTAAAATCTTCAATAAGTGAACGGTCCTAATATTGGTACTTTATTGAAGACTCAATTGAATTTAACTCGAAATAACTCATGAGCACTGAAATTTCTAAAAATCACAAATTCAGTAAGATAGATAAGAAAACTTAAATATTAGTAGACTTTTAATTTTTTTACCAATTAGTGCCTTCTACTAAAATGAATTAAACATTGTTGGTGCCAATTATAGTATGATGATTTTTTTCACCTTTCTTTTTAACTACTTCTAGTATTATTTCTCAACCAATTTTGCTGTTCAATACATAATTTATTTCAAATATCAATGACTTTAAACTATTTAGTTTTACAGAAATAAGTTTTAAAAGCCAAATTTAAGTCATTTTTTTTAAATTATGTACCATTTTCAATTATGTTAATGAGCAATAGCTAATTTTGGCATTTGATACTTCAGGGACTCGACTAATCGCATTAAAGTAATGAAACTAGTCAGAAGTCAAAATATCAAGGTTACCTATTATATCACAGATGCGAATGCCAAGACTTTCAGGAGTGTCAGTTAATTTGATGTTGTTGTCTCCTAAACAAAGCAGAAATCCTGTTGGTTTCAGCCCATGTAAATCTGCAACTTTTTGAAAGATGGACTTAAATTCTTCTTTCTACAAAAGAATGAAATCATTGTTAATATTTTGTTATGAGCATTATGTTTTTCAGTGCTGAAATTTTGCTAAAAGAAATAACACCAAAACAAAATTAACAACCTAGTTTATCTCAAAATGCAAAAAAAAAAAATAATAATGTCACTGCACTCCCCTCATGAAAGAACCTTTTTACTTAATAATAAAGCATCAAAAAATCACATAATGAAACCTCTGTCATAATGATATTTCAAAATTAATCATTTAAATACCAATATTCTTGATTACTCAATACAAAACAATTGTAAAAAAAACTTTATCTTTTATACAGTAATACATTTAAAACAGAAAAAAAACATTTTAACACCAAAAAGAGCGAAATTAAAATTGGTGGAAAAAGAAAATGAGATACCGTTAAACAAGATTGAACGTAGGAAAATCAATGGGTTGTAGTATTCAAAATCAAATGTATGGTTTAATTAGATGTTAGTTTAAATTAGTAGTTGAAAACTTGAAACTGTTTGATATGAATAAAAATGTAACCCAGTAATAGACTTGCATTTTCTTTTTTTTCTTCTAATAACCGTCCTTGAACAGCCGACCTAATTTGACGACCGAATTTGACCTCGTAGAAGATTTTTTAGCTAACCCACATTTGCATTACACTGAGAGGGAAATCATGAAAACCTCCCACGCTTAGCCTGGCGACAAGGGGACTGTAACACATGATTTGTCTACCACTAAGGATACTTTAAGCCAGCACTGATGCGAGCCTTGTGCAGAATTCGTATCGACCAGTCATAGCTGGGATTCGAACTCAGTTCACCTCATTGGAAACTATTCCTTGAGCAAAAAATGGCTTTAATAGAAATGCATTTTTAAAAAAAATAACAAAATGTTAATATAACACTTGAAAAATCTAGTTAATTGATTATTTAAAAAAAAAAAAACATTGTGCCACTGTTTATAAATTCTATACCGTAAACCGGGGCGAGTCTACCCATCCAGGGGCCAGTCTACCCATTTTAGTTTTATTTAATTTTCACTATTTTAAATTGCAAATAAAAAAAATTTTACCGACGGAGGACTTAATTCAAACTCTAAAGAAGATGGCGCTGTAGTAGTTTGATCCGTTTTTATTTATTTGGTGTCTTTTTAACCGAAGTGTGTTCAAAATTAGGCAGTGG